ACATTTTAGGCAGAAAAAAACGTCGATCTAACGACAAAAACAATGTATAAAATTGTCAATGTTTAAATTTCCAATTTTTTTTTTTTTGCACATCTTAGTGTTACTTTTTACACGTTGAAAATCCAAAGGTCATAGCAAATCGTCGAAACTTGAAAATGTTATCGAATCGGATACACTATTAACATACCATTTGCGCACATAGATATTGTATTATTGTACGACTACTGTCTGTAATAGTCCGTAAAACAAATAGTAACCTAACTTAAGTATGGCTATCGACGGATATTCACAAGGGAAAATGCCATTAAAATTGTGGTCGGGACTTAAGTTGGGCCGAACTGACTGAATGTGATAAAATCACTTTTAAAAAATGTCATTAAAACCTAAAACTTATGCTTGGGCACTCAAAACTTACCAGGACCGCTCAAATAGTATCCATTAAAATATTGGCATGATTTGATAATTTTTTTTTAAACATTAAACATCTGCGAAAAACAGTTTTCCGGCAATTAAAAAAAAATGTCGTACTCCCGAATTATTTTATTCGTCTAATATGTTATGAATACATAATGTTATGAGTTCTGACTCCTGGAAAATGTTTTCAACTAATAGGTCTTAAAATTACGGCTAAAAACACAAAAAAACTTTGACCCCTAATAAAGTAGCAGTCAATAATGCAAATATATTTCAGATACCAGCTGTTGACTGTTGATTCAACCTTACCCATTCAACCTACAAACCTACACCGTAACATAGTAATTCCCCTCTTTAGTTTGGGTTTTCCCTAATAAAACAAAGTTTCACTACAGATTTTTAAGTAAATTTTATGTGCTCCATTTTACAAAAACTTATGGTATACTAAGTAAACACAACTTTATTGTTTTAATAAGTAAAAACTTTACTATAGCTATAATCAATCTCGAAAGTCTTTTCATATTCTTTTAAACGTCAGTATATAGAACCGCGTGCCTTAAAAATGTACTGAGTTATACTAATTAAAAAAAAACAGTAAATATTAAAAAACAATTTATAAAAACTATCACTGTGCCTTGAATCAGGATGTGTGATGATGTTTTTTGCGATCGGACAATCAAACGAAGCAAATACTGTTCATTTTAATACATAGATAGTGTTTTAAAAAAGTTTTTAAACGGCAAAAATTGCAATAAAAATAATTAGGATTAAAGGAAAGATAAACGGAAGAAGTTAAGACGAAAACAATTGCTGGTTGATAAGATAATTTTCATAAAAAAGACATAAAATTGTTAATGTGACATTGCCGTCGATAATATATTTTATTTAGTAGAAATATGAAATAGGTATTGATAAAAGCACTGTGAAGGCAATAATGTACTTAAAATTTGCCTATAATTATTGCATACAATCAGTACGAATCATGTTTTTAAGGAAATTTAATTTAAAGATTAAACCTGCTCCCAAATGATTAATTTTAATACTTTGCAATTATTTTTGCTACCAGTTGCTTGTTGTTTTAATTTCAAGCTACTTAGTTAAATCTCAGCCAGACACCAGAATTTTATGTGATAGCTATTTATGCCCATTCCACCTTTATCCAAATGACGGTACTAGTTATCATACAATTAAAATTATAACTTAATATTTTATTAATGTAGCAAGTGAGGATGTTGTAGAAAATTGGCAAATCAAATTTAACTAGTATGACGATAATAAGGATAGTTTAATCTTTAAGGGTTTTTCAGAAACTATTATTCGAGGTCAATAGGTATCCATACTAGATATATCTAATTCTTGTTAAAGCGACACAGCAATGTTCTGCGTTCATATCGTTATACAATCAGTTGACATAAATATTTTCTGGAGATGATCAAATTATATTTGAAAAATTTAATAAATTGTAACCGCTAATGACAATTTTTAATTTTTTTGCATTTTTCCATAATTTTGAATTTTTTTACTTATTTCCTTTACCTTTATTTTATGTATTAAATTACAATAAAGAGAGCTTTTTAATGATTTACTGTTACAACTTTTAGTAAGTTACATAAAAAAAAATATAGGGATTACATTTCACAATTTGCCTATAATATATATTTTGTCCCAAGACGTATAAATTTGTATTTGTGTATTGTTAGCCGTAGCAGCTGAATCGCAAAAAAAAAAAAGAAGACACATCATAAGTATACTTTAACAACTGTCAACTAAGGCCACCGTTTGTTCGACTGTTTATGACAAATTTCAATATTTTACATAGTTATCGTTACCTTTAGTAGTTAGCATAAAAAAATATTAATTGCAAAAGATTTCTCTGTATTTTCGGAAAAATATTCTATAACTCAAAAGAAAATCAAGCGTATAACTTTGCATTTAAGTTTAAAAAGTCCACCTTTTTTAGACCCCCAGGAAATGTACTAAACTTTTTCAGTCGTTATTTGGCTACATTCGTTTACTTTGACTACTTTTTGCTCATCGATAATGAAAACAAAATAATATATCGTTGTAAAACATATACCTTACAATATTATATAAGTACTTTCAAATTTGCTACTAAGACCTGTAATTCTTGTAGTTTTGGTAATTGGAGACACTTCAGATTGTGTAAAAAAATGTTTTCAAAAAAAAATAAGCGTATTATCATTAATGTATCACCCTATATATATATATGTGTGTGTAAAATGAGTGATTGGTTAACTATGGACCAGTCAATAACTTAGAAAATGTAAGATTTTTTTTAAATTTAATAGTTATTGGTTGGGGCAATTTTAAATGGTAACGTATACCATTAAAAATTTATGACGGGAGGGGAAGGGCGGTTGAGCAATAGGCGCAGATAAAAACATCTCTACTCTCCACCCTTCCACCCGTCCTAAATTTTAAACTTTAATTACTTTAAAACTAATTATCCAAAACTGGTTATCAACCAGTCAAAATGTTCAGCAAATTTTTCCTGATTTAAAAAGTTAATGAAATATATACGTTACCATTTAAAATTCTTAATTTCATACGGTTTTAACATATAAGCGATGGGGTTATAATTTTAAAAAAAATATATTAAATTTGTACCAACTAATAACTATAAAATTATAAAAAAAAAAATGAAAAAAGTTTAATATCTTCTAAGTTATTGACTGGTCCATAGTTAACTAATCACTCAGTATAATTATTTACCTCCTTGCTACACACTAACCGTACATCACTTTAATTTTTTTTTTTTAAAACATCTAAAAATTAAAATGTTTTTTTTTGTAAAATATGAATAGCTTTAACACTAAGAAAAACAATGATACCCTTAGCGAAATCATAAGCCTAAAATGTAAGCTAATAAAAATAAATTAACCGACATTTTTTTTACGCATTTATCCCGCTCCTACTTTAAAAATCGAATATTCTGATTCGAGACTATAATAGACTTTCACATTTAATCCACTGTATTGCACTGTAGCTGTCAAAATAATACTGACCCACGTGCGACGAATTTCGTCTTAAATACCCTCAGAGATCGAATATTCTATTTCTAGAATATACAAAAACACGGTATACTCTAAGCTACTATATCTAGCAACGTTCCAGAACAAAAATAAAGTAGAAAAAACAAAACAAAAACAGAAAAACTCAACACTTACCTTGTAAACAAACAAAACAATGTTGTGGAATACTTTCGAATGTTGTAGAAATTTGTAGAGGGCGAAACTTTCCACCCTTATATCTTCAAAAGCACGCCCTTTTGGTAAAAACGGAAACTCTCTTCGTGGATGGGGGATAGAGGGCTACCACACCATATAACTGCCTTGATCGTACAAGGACTCGTTTCTGAGTTTTAGCGGCACGCACATATTGTAGACTTTATTTTATTATATATAATGTTTGTTTACTGAATTCTTGCCTAAGCGTTTACTCGAAACATAATTAATTTGCTTTAGTAAAACACTTGTGTGATTCGATGTGCGTTTAAATTTTGCACTGTATGCATAAATGAAATACAGTGCTCGTTTATGTTAAAAAAATTAGACAAAGCCAAAAGGCTGTGTCTATTTTTTAGATACCCATGTTAAACTTGCATTTTAATAACGGTGTACGACAAATACTCATGGTCTTTAGAATTTCAAGGCCAACATGACTTGTTGACGATTTTTTTCAAGTTATGATAAAACCACCTATGTGAATCATTTTTTATTTTTAACATACAATGATATTTCAAGGTCATTGTGATTTTTCCGCCCTTGGGTAACAGGGTTTAGGGAGAGGTGATTTTGGAATCTCTTATAGCAACCTGTATATTAATTTAGTTATGCTTGTTAAGCTTTTTTTTTGGTAAAAGAGAATTTGACTGAACTTTGAAGTTTATAACGTCAATAAAAAGATCCGTAGCATTTTGAAATGGTTTTAAAAAAATGAGATTTCTACAATAACCGTAAAGCATTTGAAAGACTTTAAATTAATAAGCTGGATAAATTAGGTTATTATAACTTTTATATAAATATCCACTGTTGAATTAATAGGTTTTGGTTGAACGTCGGTTTGTCGTTAGCTTGGTTTTTAATAATTGTTTAAAACTAATTTTTTTTTAATTTTATTGTAAGTATAAAAAAAAAAAAAGCAAAAAGAGGTGTTACGTATCAGCTATAAACTGCGATATACATATGGTGGGAATTGTCCACCATGCGCGACACCGGCACAACTTGCAATTCGTATAATTTGGGTTTCATAATAAACAACAGTGAATATTATTATTTACATTATTATAATTGTGTTTTGCTTTCATACTAAGGTACATCATCTACCAAAGAATATCTTATTTGCAAGATAACCTGTATCACTCATTTACTTAATCATCCATGTATTGTTTACGAGGTTTTTAGAAAAAGATTAATTTTGACATCATGTCTTTACACAGTAATTGGGTGTAGATACTGATAATCTATACACAATGGTTCACTGTACAGTGTATTGAAATTCTGTAAAATTCCCCATTCGTACACAAATGTAAACAGATATAGGTAGAAGAAAAAAGTAAACTACTCTTACTAAGTAAGTCAGCTATATTTGTTAGTCATTATACACAGTTGTCACATCATATCAATATATTTTTAAAATGTCTATATCTCGAGCGTAAGCCGGAATAGTTTATCATAAGTTAAAAAAACAAATACGTTTTAAAATTATTTTGAATACAATTATTCAAATGTCAGTGAAATTTATTTAGAGTCGAATCGAACGGTCTCCTGATTCGTGGAATCTAAGTCATCCGAGATGGTCAACCAATCACTCAGAAAAGCTTTTATGGCAATCCGTGCTTTGGTCAGCTGCGGCAGATCCGTGGTAGCCGATGGATACATATTTGCACAATGAGCCGTTCCTGAAAGAGAACCAAGTTAATAGCCATTCACGGACCTAACGTCTTACATAATATATAAAATAGGACGGCCGGTTAATGGCAAGATACACTATATTAAGTTGTGTTTGAAAGGGGGAAAATTCGAAAAACTCACCGACAATATAGATTGCAGCTGTATTCACTGTTTTCGTACGAGTTATCCCTAACGCATGCCACGGATCCACCGAACCATGGACGTAGACGACTCTGGTTTCTTTGATGTTCAATTCTCCGTACATCCAGTTGGTACGGTCCACGCCTTTAGCCAACAAATCTGTGTTGAACCTGTTTAAAACGCATTTATTATTGCCATTATTTTAAAAATTACTAAAGAGGATAAGTGGCCGAGCAGTCCTTTCAGTTCGGCATTTCCAAATAGACTAGTAAAAAAATAACATAGACCACGTTGCTAATCAATAAGAAACACGAGCTGTATTAATAATGTGAGAAGCTGTGGAGGTTCGGAAGCAGTTTAAAATAAAATTCTCAAGTAAATCGGGAAGGCAACTTACTAAATATCAAGAACCTAATGAAACGCCTAGTTTCAAAACCAGCTATACAATTTTTGAAAATTTTCACAAAACAACAAATAATTTCATTAGATAGAACTAATACAACTAAGATTTTCAAATAAACAAAGTTTGAATTAGTTATATTATTTTTTTGATACTCAATAACAGTTTTACATAACATGTAATACATAGTGGTCACTTAAAAAACAAACACGTTGTCAAAATGTCTTAGGACAGGTTTTGAAACTAGATGCCTCAAATCTAAAAAGTTCATACAGTTAAACCATTGATTATTAATAATATAGATAGCCCACTGGCATGTAATTTTTGCTGCGCGCACTACGTCGTTCCTGGCTGTATTGCGCCTGCGCGTCGATCGTCAGCGTTAACCGTATCTATCGCCACAACTAAAAACTGTAAAAAGACGTGTGACGTGTCGAGTTTAATGGCTAATATTAGGCTGGCCTGAAAAGTGTGGTGTTGAGGTCTTTTCATACTTTGTTACTAAATTGTTTAATTGTTTAATATTTTAGTGATTAACTTTAACAGAGACTATTTATATCTATTAAACAGACCACGACAATCGAGCATCAGAGCATTATAACAGAGCATCAGAGATACACACCACAATAACATCATACATTCATACATTTAAATTTAGATAGATAATTATCTCCAAAATTTAACAGGAATACAGGACCCAAATGTGAGATATCAAAGTTCAAAATAACTTACTTTTCTCCATAAACATCTACGCACATGTCGGTAAAGAAATTCACAGGATTTTTATTGCCAAACACATGTTCGTCTTGATTGGATGTTTGATAAAAACCAAATTCCGTACATGTCTGGTACGTCCATTGTCTGCCTGTAAAAATAGTTTCGTAAACATTACAACATTACTATGTCTTAAACATCATAATGGCCATGCAAACTAAATAGCAAAGAGGTCATGGTTATTAAAAAAATTAACTCAATAGGTACAGGGAAATTAAATTAACTTTATAGCATCTAGTTAAAAGTTAATGGTTATTAAACTGGTTAAGTTAAAAGTTTTTTTTAATGTACTAAAACATTGACGACTGGGCTATTATCAAAGTTAAATAAGTTCTATTAAATAATTGTTCATTGTTTGCCGTATGAATTATTGCTTTAAAATTATTTAGAAGGTAGCTAGGCGATTATGTACTTATTTTAACATGATACTGCTACAATACTAAAACCTAAGATAAATGCCAAGTACTCACACACTAATCTTATTAATAATTGTAGGTACATAAAATATGGTTCTTACTTGAGGCGGCCGAGCTTTCCCAAGATACATTTTTAAGGATATTCACTTCTTTTTCGTACACATAATCCGTACAAGTTAAGTTGTTGGAGGATAACATTCTGTCGTTAACCGCTGCGTACTTTTCTAACTAAAAATAAGAAATGTGATTTACTTGAAAGACATTTTTTTTTTTTTTAGAAAAATATATAAATAAATTAGTACAATAAGCATATGGTACTACAATAAGAAAGATATTATATTAGCTGTGTATGACGAATTTGAAGATACACCAATGGCTGGATCACGAAAGACATTGTATACACAAATTTGTGTACACATTATTTGATATTTCAACCCTTCCGTCCGAATAGTTAATTATAACAGACATCTGACAAAAATAGGATTAATTTTTGGGGGCTTGGGCGCGCTTAGCAATCTTAGTTATGAAATTAACTCCTACAAAATTGTCTGTGTTCAATACTGTAGTTAGGTCTGTGAGGGGACTTATTTAAGGGGATTGTATGCGTTATTTCATGGCGGTCCCGATTATAAATACTTACATTCGTTATATAACTACAATTATTAGCTATATATAATAGTTATTAATATAATCTAATATTTATTATAATATCAATGTTTATCATACTTGAATATAAATACTAATATTTATAATCAATACGAATATACTCAAGATTTCATACAGGGGATACAATTGATTCATTAGTCATTATGTCGCACAAAGTCTCTAATGTAATTATTGCATTTGTATCAGTCATGTTGCTCTTTCTGTTATCTTTGTTGTATTGCACTATTTCCGCAAAGTTATCGGCTAACGATTCAAACAAATTCGACACGTCTTTCTTGTTATTCCTGTCCAGCGGATCACACAATCTAAAATAATATATTAAGCAAATGTTAAAAAAAAACAAGAGTAAACCTTTGGCGTTGTTCAAATATTTAAACGCGAGTACTTGAATTTTTTATTGATATATTTTATTTCCTTGCCACTTTTGATGATGGCGTTTAACATTTGATTGGCTAGTTTTATTTGTGTCACACAAGCCGGCTTATACGTCGACAAAGCGTCTTCCACTACTTTATAATATTCTGTAAAATAAAAAATATATATATATACATGTTAAGAAATGAATTGATTTTTGAGTTCGGTAAAATGTAAACTAATGGTAAAGATTCAATTAGTGTTGTATAATTTTTTTAAATCATAAGAAAAAAACACAATAGTCAATATTCATCAGACATTTTTTCGTATATTTGTATACCTGTCGACAATCTATTGATTAAATTTCCATTTTTTTTTTTGCAAAATATCATTGCCAACATTCAACAAATGATCAAAGACTATAGAGACTATAGATACGAGATTAGAGATTAGACATAAGAAAATAGAGATAATAGATGAGATATTAAATATAAGAGATAAGAAATATAATATCTAGAGACGTGGAAGAATTGGAGGGAAGGTAAGGATAGTAAGAAGAGTAGTAGAAAACCTCTCCCCCTCCCCTGATCTCTTATTGGCTGAGATCCACTTCCCCTATCCCTTCCTTTCTGTCATCACGTTTGAAGCGATACGTAAGTTAAGTTTTAAATCTAACTAATAGGTTAATAGGTTTTTTTTACTTAAATGTGTCTTATATTCGTTTTCTAGCCTCCAACGTGCCATAAGACATATTCATGATCCAATGTCTTTCCTTCAAGGAAAACACTAACCCTCTGGTCTAACCGTTTTTTTCATAATGATCAATCGAATTGTTACCGTAAAAATCAATTTTGGCCAGAAGTGGACCGCTTGATGAAACAGCAGCGTGAACCAGATGCGGGTACTTCATTCTCAACCATGCGGCCAACGATCCGGGATACGACCCACCGAACGCTATCCATTTGCTCTCAGGAGGAATATTATATTTGGCTTTCATGCCGACTATGAATTCCGCTAGATCGGCCAATGCTTGTTCGCTGCTCAAATACACCAAATTGGCAGTGCTCGCGTCTCTGAACAAACACAAAGCAATCTCTATCGGTTACAAGGCGGCTATATGCGATAATATTCTGTGCAGTCTACGCAGTGATATTGCAATTGCAAGCAGAATAATAAAGGCAAAATCGCGTTTTATAAATTTGATTTGCGTTGAAAATATTATCTGTACTATTGTAATGTATTATACTATGTAAGTATCATTACTCGGTAGGGTGGCTATCACCGTAAAATCGGTGTTCCAATTGAAAGCACAGAGCGTTGAATTCTTCGGCGTACTCTATCCAAGCACCGGAGTTGATCCATTTCGATGACATCTTGCCCTCGCCTCCTATCATAAGAAATACCGGACCTCCTGATTTGTAAAAATCTTGATTAATTTGGTACCTCTAAAAAATCAATAATAAACAATACATATTAAGCCACGTTTACACGGTTCACTCTTTGTGATGATTCATAATTATCTAGAGTGACCATTCAGAATTATCTCTACACCTAATCATAAAAAAATAAATAAATAACAATTCATATAATATTACAAAAGTATTTTTACAACACAATTCAGTGTTTATATTTGGAGTTGTACAACATGATCTTTATTGGCACACAACTGGTTAATAGTTTGGGGAAGCTAAGACCCTTTTAATAATATTAAAAACTACTGCGAATCAGTAGTTAGTATTTTCATACCAGTAAAGTCCAAACCACAGTATAAACCAGCATAGTAAGAAATAATTAAAGTGAGGTGCAGTGTTTGCAAATTAGCATCAAGCGTTTATTTGAAATTGATTTTATCCGAGAGGACTAGTACAGTAGGGTTGAGGCATAATATTATCAAAGCATAGAGGGACGGAGAAGTCACAGGTCTACATGAATTATTATTAATAAAAGTGATAAAATTACCTTCAAATAAACGCTTTGATGCTAATTTGTAAACACTGCGTATCACTTTAATACTTTTACAGTAAGCTGGTTTATACTGTGGTTTGGACTTTACTGGTTTGAAAATACTAACTAATAAGTCGCATCAAAGCGTTTATTCGAAAGTGATTTTATCACTTTCAGTTTTAATAATTCCTTTAAATCTGTGACCTCTCCGTCCCCACTACGTCCCGGCCCCATTGTACTGGATTTTTTTTTTTTTTGCAAAAACAAAGTGGCCCAAACAACACATAATAACATCTAATAGATCATACTGTCTAGGAAAATGAAAAATTAAAATAATAATATATTTATTGTTCACATTTAATTTAATTTATTTAATATTTTGTTGTTTATTCTTGAAACATATTTTTTTCAAAAATTCGTATCTTGAAAATTTGTATTTATGTGTTGTTATTTTACTTTGTTGTTTTATTACACCTTCTTCCGCACTTCTAATTTTTATGTATGTGTCGACTTGAACATCCTGTATAGCATCTATAAATTTATGTAGTGATGGATGATGATGATAAAAATATGCATTTAATTTTGAATGGAAAGATTCACATACATATTTGTTATAACTACTGATGACGATGCCCACAAACAAGTAGGGAATATTCCTCGTATATAAGTTTTGTTAAATAATCGAAAAATTTTACTGTTTTATTATTAGATGGCATACCTGTTATCAAATAAAAAACAAACCAGTCTTCGACTTTGTCTGGTTTGAGGAATGGAAGACCAAAATTTAATTTTAAAACTTTCCATTATCGGTGACTCCTTCAATATGTATTATTGTATATAAGTATAGTATATTATATAGTAGGTATATAAAATAAATTTTCGCATTTTGTAGAATGTATCTTATCATTTTTGTCGAAATTTGTATAATGTTAAATTTTTTTTTGCCGCAGTTCACAAATCAGATTATCGAAAAAGGGTCATTTTATTTTGGCGCAATTTACATACAGCCGGTGGTTTTGCCGTTTCAAAACGATAAAGTGTCTTATTATAAGTAAACGGGTCGGCCTTTTTTCCAATAAACGAGTAACGACGATTACAATAGACACACGATTAAGTCGTCTGTGATATCAAAATAATAAATAAAATATTATAATACCTACCTACCGCCTCGGTTCGATTAACCTTTATCTCTCACACCCCACATGGCTCGACGTTACCAACGGGCGGTCGTCAGTCTTTTCGTTTCCGCAATGTGGTTGACCCGAAGTAAAGAACAAAAAAAGCGAGACGGTCGTGTGCACAATATCAATGTCTAATGGACGGGATGCCCATATCAATACATAGGCGTCTATAGATATATTGTATCATGTAGTATATTAAGTAGTATGCAAAACATGAACGGGTTACAATCGGCGAGGTGGCCATTGTCTCGCTCGGTTTTGAAGCGTCCTCCACTATGCCGTGCTCACGGTTATAGATAAACTATCTAATTATAGATAATCTAACTATATAGATTATCTATAACCGTGGCCGTGCTGCCCCAGACACTGATAACGATTACTTAATTTTCAATTTTACTCAGCCAAAATAAACTTAAGTAAAAAAAAAAATTAATTAAAATCTAAAACTGGTACTTGAGTATTAAAACTTAATAGTAACATTCTGAATAAATCTACATAAAATTATTGTAATGATTTTAAGTTTTTTTTTGTTAAAATATACGAAATCTGGGAAAAACACAGGTTTCCGGCAATTAACGAAAAACTGTAGTCCCGAATTTTTTCTTTGTTTGATATGTTGATATCATATATGGATACATATGAGTTTTAACTACTGGCAAGTTTTCAACTTCAAGGTTCTAAAATTACGGCTTAAAAACCCAAAAAATAAAAAAAAACTTGCGACCCCCCCCCCCCCTAAGAGAATGAAAAATGGGTATAATTTTAATTTGAGATTACTGACGTGTGGGGTCATACCAAATAAATATTCCTTCTCGAAATTATAGCCAGTAAAAATTCAAACTTTAAAACTCGTATAGTTTTTTTTAATTTTAACTGCGAAGTAGTAAATTTGTTCAACTTTTACCCCCCCCCCCCCCCCCAAGTGACCAACTAGATGAAATTTGTGATTTATAGAGTTGCTACCCAAAGGAATTGGTCCAGTATTAAAAAAGTTGTGTACAGACAAAAAAAAAGCCCCTACCATTGTAAAGCCAATAGCATCTCTGATCCAATCGAAGCTAAAAACCAGTACAGTTGGGTTAAGACATAGTGGGGACGGAACCTATTAGGGCGAGGGGAATTACAGATCAACCAAAATTGTTTTAACTAAATTAGTGATAAACACAAATAATCTCTTTAATGCGAATCTGTAGATGGTGAAGTACAAATATCGATAAAAGCATTGTAATGGCAACAATGTGCATAAAATAGTAATTTTATTATTAGGGTGGATTCGATTAGAGTTGAACATAATTAGAAATATAATTAAAATGAAAATATTTTTAAAGTACCGGTTTACGAATGATTCACTTACGCATAGCCTGGAAATTAAGTACATAGAGTGTATATTTCCCTATTTTTTGTTAAATCCTTAATAAAAACAAGTTTGACTACATATTGTAAAAATTCTTGGTCTAATAAAGTACCTTTGAAGTGCAATTTCTGAACTATAAACTTGTTACATGTAGGAATCAGTTCAGTGTTTTAAAAGATATCGTAAGTCCAGAAACCAAAAAAAAAAAAATACTAAACTAATAACTAAATCAAAATACATCATTGTAAAGACAATACCTTTTTAGCTCCGCATCAATTATCCTAATTTTCAAAAATTCTTATCTCGTCTACGGTTAGAAATCAACTTTCTTTTATGAGTTCTTAAGAGTGCATCTGAAATTTGTAGAAAATTCCAAGATTTTAAAGTCAAATTGGCCACTAGAAAGCTTTACCATCCTCCTCGTTTAAAGTTATTTCCCATTTACGTTACTGGATTTTATTTTGATAAAACATTCTGGTAAAAATTTGCATACACATAAAAGTCGCATACCTATACAGCGTATACATTAATTATAAAAAAACTAGGGTTTTTTCGGCTACCAACCTGTTTCCATGTTCTCTTATCGGTAGGGTTAAAATGATCTAATTTCTGTTGGAACCAATAGTCAACGACAGGTTGTGCGTTCCGTGTTTCTGGCGAATTTGGTTCTCCCAAGCCGAGCTTAATTCTGCGAGCTCCGAAAGTGACGTCCCACCAGACGCAGCACAAAAACGCATAAATATAAAATCGCATTTTATTTTTGAGAAAATCTGAAAGCAATAATGATTCACAACATTATAACGATTAAAAAATTATAACGTTTAATACTTATTGAACGATGCCATTACACTAGATTGGATCGTATTAAGTATACTCCAGTATTGTCTAATAACAACACTTATACGTAGTATTTTTAAGTGTAAGTATGTTTCAAGGGAGTTTTTTTTATACGCAGAAATTGTCACTTCCCAATTTGGAATATATACCTACACCTGTTTGCTTACAGTTTATGTACGTCAATATAACTTAATACATGTATAGTCTATACTCTACAAGCTTCGGTTTGCTTCACCAGTCAATATATTATAGATTTATTGTATGAAGGTGGTATATATTTTTTTCAACTCGAATCATCGATTGAATAATAAATTAATTCACTGATAATTAATTACCTACATTAATGTCTAAATGCCAAATGGAGACATTTATATTAACACGCATTTGTTGGACACCACGTCTTATTGTTTATAATAATATAATTATAAAATTGTGTAATTTGTTTTTTTTGTTCTCAATAATAAAAGTGTGATACTAGACATTTTTGAAGTTTAAAAAAATCGTTGTGTGTAAAAGAGAAATCATAAAAGAAAAAATCACAAAAAATACAAAATTAACTTTTTTTATTTGAAAATAATCTACTGAAAATGTTGATTCGTCAATTATCCTCATTCACTCCGCATCAAAGCTAAAAAATACCCATTTCATGGTTACATTTTTTATTGTTTTTTTTTTTTGTGCGAACCGATATTATTTTAACCACGTACCCGCAAGAGCAAAAAGCCGTGGCTTGACGGACCTAACCTCTGAGTTTACACAGAACAATAAAATCACAGGTTGATAAATCATTTACAAATCGAACATTAATGAAAACATGTCTCTTGTTATCCTTGCTTTAAAATTATCCCGACCACATCATAAAAAAAATATTTAAAAAATACAAATTAAGTTTCTCTAATTTAACAATTGGTAAAAAAATGTAAAGCCCTTTTCTTATAAATAAATTTAACACAAAACTAAAACATGTGTACTTAAAATATATGTAAAGTAGGTATCAAATTTTATAATAAATAAGCAAAAAAAATGTAAGTATTTAAACGAAAATAATCATATATTTATCAGAACATATCCATGTATTAATGTATCTACATAAAGTGTGGACTTTTAACTTTTTTTATTATAAATTTCAATATTAAAAACTGATTTGAGTATAACTTAAATAAAAAACTCAAAATGTATTTTAAAGTACTTAATTCGAAAAGAATTCGAAAATGTACTTAAATATAATAGTAATAAGTTATTAGGTATGTCTAAGAGTAGAAAATCCCTCACAGATCTGCATCTAAAATTTAAGTTTAATAAAAAAATTTCGTTGAGGTATTATCATATTACTATTTTTCCATGGAATGCCTAACAAATCTTTCTATCTCTGTTTAACGATATCGATCCTCGGACCTCTCTCTTTACTATCAGTCCATTTCTTTATAGGTCTATGATTAATATTAATAATATCATACATCAGGAAATCACAGCTTACTTTTTAAATATATATTTAAAATTTCACAAATCATAAAATTTATTTTTTAAAAAAGAAGTCTGACAACGAGAATGGCGGTACGCAAATTCTAATTTCCAGTAGATTTAATGTTTATGTGAATATGGCATGACAAAATATTCAATTTCCATGAGGTATACCGGCGAGTGGTATTACCAAAATTTACAAAATGGATGCTGGTGTTCCGCCCTACGAATTACACGGCCGCCGAAAACACCAGACGCCATTTTATGGTGATCACATAACTCTGATATACCTTATACTATTGTCATGGAATAACCGATGCTTAACCGTTACACTAGTACAATGAACGTGGTTACTGTCAAAATGTATTTACTTCCAAATGATAACAACTAGAGTCTAGACTGGTTTGTGTAAAATATTATCATTTTTTGAGTAACGACAAAGACAAACTAGTTTTTTGTTACAAATTGTCACAATTTGTAACAGTATTTTAACTTTTATTATTTTAGTTGTACTTTTAAAACGTCTCACTAGTTACGTTTGTTCTATTTACAATGGAAACACACAAAAAAAAACCGACTAAACGTAAATCTGTCAAAAATAACGTCACTATTAAAAAATCCGAAACCAGGTCAACTAGTAAATATGCTACAAGATATGGTGGTAGGAATCCTTCCAAAATCAGAAAATACACAGATACCACTGGGCCAAATTCTACCAAGTCCAATGCATCGAAAAGGTCAAAACGCCGAGATGAAGAACTAATGTTGTGTGATGAAGACGATCCCTCGTCGTGTGATGATTGTGATGATTACGATGATAAATCTTGGAAAGATAGTGATGAAAGTAGTGTTTCTAGCGTAGAGTCTTTTGATGAAAATGTAAGTAGTGCGGGTAGTTCGAAAACAGTAATTAGAGAGCTTAAACCTACGAGGCCTACAACTACTGAACATCCTGTAAACAATCATATTGAACGCAAACTTGAATTCCCATCTGAACAAGCCATTGTATCGTACATGGTCAAAAACGTGTTGACTGGTCAAGCAACATATAATTCGATCAAAAATTGTTCATATACTATTTTGGTAGGTACAACTGTGAATCATTAACAATCAATTCTTACTGTATGTAAAATTAATTGTTTATCTGTATGCATTTTTACAGTCTTATAATAAAAATCTGGAAGAACTGAATGCCAGTCAATTCGAAGATATGGTTACAGAAAAAGTTGCCGAAATATTTATGGAACGCAGTCATTTATGTCAGCAATTTCATGAGGCTAGACGTATAAAGAATGTTCAAAAAATTTGGAAAGATAAATTCTTAACACTACAAAAGAGGACAACATTACTTCAAAAGCGACTGGCAAATTTAAAAATCAAATCATGCTTCAAAGAGGTATCTGTGAGAAATGTTGGAACACAGCTAGATTGGCCGTATCTCGATGAAACAATAAATATAACCACTGACATAAAATGTGAGCCTAGTTCACCTACCTAGTTCTAACACTATTATAATGTGTAAGTATATTCAGTACATTAAGTTGTGTGTAATCTACATAATGTACAGTATAAAAAAACATTAAATATCAATGATTTTGATGAAGTTTAAAATACGTTATAAAGTTACTCAATAAAAAGACATTTCTACTTATTTTGTTAGCAAAGTATTTATCAATGTTGTAACTTGTTTACTTAAATGAGAAAGTAAATGTAATAATAATAATGATTAGGGAATCAAAATTTTACGTTCTACGCAAAATTTGAATTGTATTATAGATACATTTATTTTCAATATCATTGAAAGTTCGTAAAAATTGTCTCAGTGTTTTATTAGATGCATAGATGTTTTGAAATAAAACTAGATTAAGGGGTAGTAATTAATATCATGACTGCTTTGTAGGTTTCAACTTTTAGTAGGTCTTGCCAATTTATCAAATTATATTATTGACAAAACCTTGTTTCTTTTAAAAATGCATTATCTTAATATTTCTTAACTGTATACATATTTTGTCAAACTAATAAGCTCTAATTTTTTTTTCAGGTTTCTAAGGATTAATATTAGATTTGTACAATTTAAGTGCTAGATTATTAAAGTAAAAGATTTTTTTATGAGAAAATTGTTTGTTTTGTAATTACTTACATTATTTATTATGTATTTTTAAATGACGCGCAGTAATTATATTTTTTAATGTAAAACAAATCACGTGTCAAACTTGAACAAGAATAAAAAAATATACTGTAAACATTATAGACCCTAAATTATGATTATTATATACTAATATTATAACTACTAGTTTAGAATTGAAAACCACACGCACTGAATATTTAAGATTTGTAAACATTAATCATTAGTTCCTATTATTTCAATTTATAATTTAGGTTTTTTTTTTTTTTACAGTAGCAATAAAGTATTTTTTATGTATTAATTTTAAACTAAAGATCAAAATCATGATTAGCGCAAAAATTGTATAGTGAATTTTTAAGAGGTTACGTTATAAATAAATTAATTTACCTTAATATTGCCTTGTTAACAAAACTACAATTATTTTGTTACAAAAATGTATGTTTTATTAAACTCGTTTGTTTTAAATTGTATTAGTGTTTTTTTTTTTTTTTGATATATTTACATGTCAACTAGAAAGTAGTTTTTTTTTACTTTTGTAATAATAAAATATACTTATTTCTCTCAGAACCATGTTGTATTTAAATAATTAGTATTGTAATAAAAAGTGTTTATGTATTAATTTAAAATTGCACTTTTTATTTAAAACATAATGCTAATAGTGAATAATATCAGTAAACTTATTTTAATTCCTATCCTATTTATAAATTTATAAATAGAATATGATGCAAACTGCAAACCTTATTGGTTGTAAAACAAGATTGTAACTATTGTGTTTATCTAAACTTTAAGGCGAAAGAAGTGTTGTAAATCACAATCTCTACTTCACTTGTGTTGGGACATTGAATTCGTTTATACATTATAAATTCATACTGAAAATATGATGTAAAAAAGTTGCTCGTTTAGAAGAGTCGTCCAAGTTAGCTTAAACTTTCTTTGGAATAACACAAATAAGTTTTGAAAATTTCAGATTGTTGAAGGGTTTTGACTTCTGAAGTTACGGACATTATATGTACAGGTTTTCACATTTTTATATATAATATTGTGCAGTGGTGACTGGTGTATCGAGAATAGAACGTGAGGAGTTTTTAACACTCTTGTAATAAGTTGTAATTAAAAGAATTGTCAAATTATAAACGTTTAAAAAAACGTGTTGATGTAACAATAGTTTATCACATCTTAGTTCAACATTACATAATATGTAGCTGATAACACCAGAATTCGATATTGATATATTACAATAATATAATTGTTTTTTTTTTTTTTAATTATTCTTTCCAAAATATATACCTATTTATGTAGATACACGGAACAAGCCAACGATATTATGATAGGTATACACGTATATTTTAAGAAAAATACCTGCTGTGTAAACTAATAAGTCATCGTGTCTAAAATTAAATATTATTTAAGTATTTTTAGGAATTAGGTGTTGCATATTGCAACGACAAATGTAAATATAGTCATATAATGTACAAACTTCGACAAAAGCTTAACAACGTATCACACTAGGTTGTGTAGGTGAACACAGAACATTTAACAAGAATACAAGTGAGCTGTTTATTTGGGTACTGTGGTGTCGTGTGTACAACGATGTAATATACATCCTGATATTATAATGCTAAGGTAATGACTTGGATAGAATATTGTGATAGTTGAAAAATGTTGAACTTTATTATTATAATGTAAAAAAAAATGTGTCATTAAACAGCAAGTGTTAAGTGAATGATAATTGTCTGTGGGAGAATTTCAGTTATTTTAGTACTCATTTGTTTACATTGTTCTCTCTAAAAATGTAATTACTAATTTTTAAATAAATATCACAATGTCATTACGAACGTTAAAAGTAAAAAAAAACTTTAAAGTAATTTATAGCTAACATGAAACATCTGATGTTTTATACTATTATGTTCAACGCTGAAATCAAATCTCTTCGGCACGTTTACAATATTATAATATCCCATAAGAAATTCATACATTTTATCAAACCGTGATTTTGACCAGTAGATAGGTATTATAAACTTGGACTTCGGGCCCCTTGTACCAATCAGCTTTGTTTTGCTTACAATTAACATCTTTTGAATTTTTCTAGTTCTCGCCAGTCATGCTCGTATTCGAGTGGGAAACAAAGAAGACATTCTCCATCAGCCATGTATTTTTTTTAAATAATTTTATTTACCTATGGTGGTAGATTGTTTACATTTACAGCCGTACCGAAAATTAATTTTATACTTAGGCGAAAGAAAATGCATTTCATACGTGAAGAAAGTTTCATTTATAGTTTTTAACAGAAGCAAATATAGAAAAAAAAATGATGTATACCTGACTAAACATAATTCTTAACTTCAAACCATTAGGTATAAAATATTCTAAAATAAAAAATTCGAACAGAATATGTAAATTATTACAATTTTATGCGTACAAATTAAGGATGGGTGTTTGAATTTATAGCGGTGCTAATTTTGAGTCTTGGGGGTGCTAAGTCCCCTAGCACCTTCCTAGTTGCGCCTATGGTGGTATTTATACAAAAAACTAAAGTTTTAAAATGGGTAACAATTGTACCTATGTATAGGTAAAATATTACAGAGGCATTTTGTACTGACAGTATTAAATATCAATTGTAAATGTGTTTTTAAGTCATTGGGCTGTCGACCATATCTTATGTTTAACATAGTCCATCGGTATATCTATTTTTGTAAAACCTATACGTTCACGGTTTAATAAAAGCCAGTGTATAGCTAGTATTTATTTATTTAAAAAAAACACTTAGCTAGAAACAAAGATTGTCAGTCGATATTAGTATTTTCGAGCGTTCATTGAAAAACCACACACGTATTGTTCTAAACCACTCATACCACTACCGCACGCACATATGTCTTTTGTTAAACATTTATTTTTTTCGAATTTAATTACTTAAAACCACACGCATTTACTATTCAAATAGTAACCAGGTTTATTTGTATTACATTAGATTGATGTCAATAGTATAATAAAACTCTCCAATAAATTGAATAGTTTACCTACCTACCAAATTTCAAAATATAAATCGTTGACTTTAGGAAAATAATTGTTACAATGTAATATGTTAAATAAATGCTCAAAGAACAATGCCGTTTATTATAGCTTTTTTTTTATAAAATTATCAAAACTGTCAAAGAAATATCCTAGCTACGGCATTTTTTCAGTATATATTATATTGTCTACACTTATCGGAATTACATAAATAAAAATGATTCGAATATTTTTTATTGCCTCCCGGTAGAAGCTTTATCAAGTTTTTTGACTATTAAATACCTATTAATGTAGCATATAAATATTTAAATACATATATGTACCATTTTAGTACCTTAGTATATAAAAGTATACTAGGTACCGTCAAAATAAGAATTGATTATATTTTTAAGGTGATTGGGTACCGGCCTTAAATAAGGAGTTGTAGGTAGGCAATTTCTGGTTTTTTTTTCTGTTACGCGTTGTCATTGTGTGCGTAGTAAATGAACATTAGTGTGAGTGTTGTTATCTTACCCTACCGTCCTCGCACTCGTATAATTCATTGTTGAAATGACTCTCGTACGCACACGCACAAGTCGGTTAAAACGGCTACTGTTCAGGATTCGTACAATTTTATGCTGCAAAAATACTGATTTTCCTTCATTCAGTCCGATCGTTGTATTAATGCGATAAGACTTCTGGAAATCAATCTGAGTTCAGCGTGAAGTCTACTTGAGATCGGTCAGGCCACTTTTCCAGTTTCATTTATTAGTATTTTTTAAACACTACTACAATATTTAACATTTTTCAAAAAATTTAAATCAAACTTGTGGAATTTTGAGGGCAAAATTAAAAAATGTAAGCTAACCGATCTCAAGTAGACTTCATGCCGAATTCATATATATTTTCAGAAGTCTTATCGCATCAATACAACGATCGGAAGTAAAATGGGTAGTTTTTGACGGAAAAATTGGCCGGTACCCAATGGCCTTAATATAGTGATTTACTTCTCCGAGTTCTCACTCTGCTTCTCACTTATCAGACATACCTGTATCGGTGATAATAAGTAATTTATCAATTAAGTATGTATATCTGACGTTATCTTATTCTTATACCCACGTCCCACCGGTTAAAGTATAATCATTGAGTATTTATTGTAATAAAATATACCTATTATGTATAAAATATATATTTACAATAACACAATAGTATAATATAAAACAAATTTTATAACTTTTAGACACAGCGGTGTGGTGTCACTATTATTATGGGTAATCCAAGATCTTTAATAATAATATATATAAGTATTGGTGTTCGTAAATGTATTACACGACGTATGTGCCTATAATGTATTATTAAAATCAGTAATAATTAATAACGTGACTTACCGGTAATTCGTAAAAATAAAATGACCGTATGAAAGATAATGTATCTTTATATTATTATGTACCAAAATTGTGGTACTCGAGATAAAAATCACTTATTTTAAATTAATTGCAAACGGTAATTCAAAATTTAATATCAATTTACTATCAAAAAAATAAAATAATACACTTAATTATATATCGTTTAATGACAAGTGACAATTTTTTAATTCATTGCTCACTGCGGACGTCTTTGCAGCGCGCGGCTATTCTAAGTAAGAACAATTTACAGACATTCGATAAAGGTTACAGTTAGCGTCTATGACAACTAATAGGGATACTACAGTCTACAACTGAAATACTGTCATTCCCCCTCTTTGTACACTCAAGTATTATATACCGTTACTCAATGGTATTACTTAATTTGTTTTCAGTGTTTATAAAAGCATAAAAGGAGGTCTAGTCTATATAGTCTATATAGTCTGTGTGTTATGAATGTGCAGCGTTTATCTTATCAAATCATAATAATACAAAATATATTATTAGTTTACTTATACCTATAATCCACCACCTACCTCAGTTCTTAATACATAAGTACCGGTCTGTGTTACACGTCATATCGATCGTAGACATATAATAAATGTATCATGTATATACCCGTTTATTTTCAAAAACAAGGTCTTAATTTTTCAGAATTTCGTGTAGTAAAATCAAAATTCTACCTCATTAGTCATTATATTTAGTTATACATACTTACAGTGTCAAAGTTAACACTTTTACATAATAAAGTGTAACAATATTATGTTTATTACTTATTATAATGTACACATGAAGCTAAGTTTAGTTATAATGAATATGTTTCTAGAAGTAAACAACATACACTTGCACGTATTACATAAGCACATAGATAAATAAAAATTATCTAAAAAACCGTCTACAGCCTATACCTTCTTTATAGGTACTTTACATTTTGTATAGTTGTTATTAACGGTGTTAAAATACAAATCATATCACGTGTTGTGTAGTGTACCTATACTTGCATACGTTTCGCGTTTTATAGACATAATATATCGTAAAAAACCGTGTTCATTGCGGCTAAATTGGTGGAAGATGACCGATGCCCATATTATTTATAAAACACACTAAATAAGGTACCTACTATGATAATGTGCGTTTATCATAATTATTTCGAGAATGGTTTAATCTTTACAAAATTATATAAATTGCTTTAAACAATAGTAAGTTAGGTTAATAGTAAGTTCGGTACAACTTCAATTCGTGTAACGGACCTTCTTTTCTTATAAATGTAAATTAATTTGTTTTATTACGGATATTAATAAATAAATAAATAAATAATTATTACCTACCTACGATATTCAAATTTTATAATTTTATAAAAAAAAATTCATAAACCACTTGTTTAAAAAATTTTGAAAAAGTAAGTAGCTTTTGGTCAATATCAAAGAAAATAAGAGAACATTTTTAAATATTGTATTTTTTTTGCTCTAAACATATTAGATACGAGAAGTTCTGCTTTCACAAATAGTACTGAACCTGTTTTTGTGAACACTTCAACTCAATTGATCAAAAATCATTGGAAAAGAAAACTAGAAATTTGTATTAAATATTCGATTGCACTGTGCATTGCAATTTGCTTAACTTGCCGAGTTATGAATAATGCATGATTTTATCGAATATTTAAACATAAAAATAAGTGTCACACAAATAAAATAAGCAAACACAAACCCGTAAACAATATCTTCAAACTACCTACATATATATATATATATATATATATATATATATATATTGTGTGTATATATATATATATATATCGTTTTGCAATTATTTACAATTGAACTGCTAATATCCTTTTGTTGTTCTATTGCTTCTGCTGGACATTTTAAAAATATCATCATAATTCATACAGTTTCATAAATTTATAGTATTGTAAGCCAGTGACCCGGAATTTACAATGTCAACATCGGTAGTACTTAAGTCCATTTGATTTGGTTACAATATTACAATTGACGCCGAGTTTCAAGTCCAGTAAATATTTGTATTATTTATTACAAAACATTAATATTAATCAATTATTAGGTAATTTATTAATTTATTATTTAATGTAATCAAACAAATTTGTATATAATATTATAACGATAACCAATCGTTTTGCATTTGACTATTAAAATATTCACGACCATTGTTGTATAAAGACTTAAGTGGTTTCTTATTTCAAATTTCAATTATTATTATTAATCACAGTAGTGAGAAGTGGGAAGTTGGCACACAGGACAGTTATTCAGTATTTTGCGGTTGGAAGTTGGAACACGGTTGTCTTATCAATTAAGTTGTACCTCTTATCAGTTATCAATATCCGCAGGCCGCATGGTCAATTTTATAATTTATAACACTTATTATTATTATTATTTATGAACGCAACACACCACACAGAAATGCAAATACAAAGTACAAACTGATGTTCGTTTAAATAAAACTTGTTGAAATTTCCAAGACAGTTTGTTGTTTGAAGTATGAATAGATTGGAAGGAAATAACGTCGATACTACGAGTTCTGACGAAGAAGAAGACGAAGAAGCCAAGGTATTTTATAATTAAAAAATATACTAATTCATTATAAAAACATTTAACCATTTCGTTAATTTAAACTAAATAATCTTTGCTCATACTACACAAAAACAAACAATTAAAAATGTTTTAACATAAAATAGATACCACAATGTTTTTACAGCTTTTTTTGTCAGTTGCTTTTGTTGAAATAGTATTTTTGTTTCAATTTCGTTACTTCCATAATATATCGGTCTGTGTTTTAGGAATTAACAGAAGATGTGGAGAAAAACTTTTTCAAAACTCTTTCGTGTTTGAAGAAAAACGATCCAAAAATATATGATGAAACTGTTAAGTTTTTTGATTCGTCAACCATTCAAGATTCTTCAGGGAAGTCAAATAAAAGTAGTACTTCGACTTCAAATCCAATTTATTTAGAAGAGTACAAAAGAAAGATATTATTGGAACGCGGCCCCGAATTTGATGATACTGAAGAAGTACATGGTAAACAACTTTCCTGCCAAGCTAAGCAAAAATGCAGTAATTCCAATTTTTGTAATTTTGTGATAATAGTATCTAGAGGTTTATAATATAAACCTCTAGATTATAAACTATATTATAGCAGTTTTGTATGATTTTTTAAAAATGAAGTAATTCCATTAAACTTATTTTATTAAATTTTAACAATAGACATAAATGCAGTATATTCACAGTTATTTACATGTCAAAAACTAAAACGCAATAAATTTAAATCAGAAGAAAAAATGCAGTAAAACCATGAATCTATTATGAGTATAATTTACTATTAGTTCTATGAGTTAAAAGTTTGAAAAGTTGGTGTATAAATATATAATATTTCAATTGCTTGCAGACAGCAATAAACATTTGTGTTGTGTGTGTCAAGTAAAATATTAGGTATTATTGTAGACTATTAATCTTATTGTACTACTTTATTAAAAATACTAAAAATACCTACAACATATTTTTATTTCAACATCAAAATCATTCTAGTATATTTGTACAGATTCTAACCTTATGTAGGTTGGTTTAATTTAAAATTTGCAAAATTTAATCACAAAAAATACCAAATTAAAATAGAGTGATTTGAATTGATTGTTTGAATGGAATTATTTATAATATGATTATCAAAATTTATTTAGATTTAGGCTAAATTAAATTGTGTTTGTGGAATTAAAAATATTTGAAATAAGAATTTGTATATTTGAGATGAAAATGTATTGTGCATAATTAATGTTTATCAATAACTAGTTGTATTTAAATTGTAGAAGTTCTTGAAAAGAACCAAGTTCGTATGTCATCACCATCTTACGTCGAGGAACAAAAGGCTATCAAAGAAAGTTTTAGAGACGCACTCTATAATTCTGATGATGAAGAAGTATTGAAGCGTCGTGTTAAAACTAAAGAAGAACAGGTACTAAGTATAGCTATTTATGTTGTATAAATTATAAACCCTAGAGAATAAACTGATTATTTTATTATTTTGCATTAAAATAAAAGGTAATAATACTAATATTTATGCTAATAAAACATTAAATGATAATAACAATAAATAAATAAATTGATGAAGGCATTCAGCTTGTACTATTTACAAACAACACTAATATAAAAATGTATTAGTGTCATTAATTAGGACCATGTATAATCACTTGGTAATATTGTTTAATTATTAATATGGTTAATATTTTTTTTTGAATTGATCTACACACTGAAATGAAATCCCGTTGTATCGTTCCTCAGTTATCCTTATTATAAAAATCAACCATACGTTTATACTTTAAAATTTTTTTTTTAAATTTACTAATTTTTTATTTAATAAATTTAATTTTTAAATATATTGTTTTATAAGATTAAAAAAGATTTTTTTTTCTTAGTGAAGAGGTATTCACAGACAAAACATTGGAATCACATCATCAGCTCATATGATTTAAGTTTTTGGTCTTAATAGTTAAAAATGATTTAGGTCATAAATTTGTTTTTAAAATTGTGTTTCCAAAAAGTATACACTATTTTTTTAATAAAAACCCGTGTCCAGTTAAAATTGTAAAAATATATATTTTCTGCTTTAGGAAAAGGAAGATAAAGATTATTTGGAATGGCTAAAAGGTAATAAGGATGAACTCGATGATGAAGAAACTAAAAAAGATCTTCAACATTTACACGATTATTGGAATAATCCAAATTTAGAAGAAGGAGAACAGTTTTTGTGTGACTACATATTAAACAAAAGGTAATGTATAGTTTTTTTATAATATACTCGTGTACCTACTGTACTGTCATTAATGTAACATTTACATTAACAATATCAAAAATAGATTTTTAGAATCAAAAGATGAGTATTTAGTAGAAGATGAAATGAGGTTTTCTGAAGAAGACGAAATGCTAGAAAAGCATGAGGAGTTTGAGCATAAATACAATTTTCGTTTTGAAGAACCGGACAAAGAATTTGTAAGATATACTTATATTATACCACTTTTTATTACCCAACTAGGAATTATTTCATGTAAAATGTAATTGTATTTGTTTTAGATCAAAACGTATCCTCGTACAATGGAAAATTCTTTACGTCGTAAAGAAGAAAAGCGCAAAGCAAAACGTGAGGAACAAGCTATGAGGAAGAAAGACGAAATGGGAAAACGTTCGTTGGAAATAAAAAAACTAAAAAAAATTAAAAAGCAAGAAATAGTGGAAAGAATTAGAAAGCTTCAAGAAATTACTGGCAATAAAGGAGTTGGATTTGAGGTATGTGTTAACATTGTGAATTATATAAAATGTTTTAAAATTATTGAAAACCATTGGAACAATTTTTTTTATATATATATTTAATTTAAAGTTCTCACAATTTTGTTGCTGTTTTTCTCTGTCTTGTATAGGATGCCGAAATAGAAGCAGATTTTAATCCTACAGAGTATGATCGTAAGATGCATCAACTATTTGATGAAGAATTTTACGACCAAGTAGATGACGATTCAAAACCTGTATTCGACAAAGAAGAAGACGAGTTTATCGTACGTAAATACTTGTCAACTTATTTTATTGTAACACAATTTGCTTTGTATGGAACTATACAGTATACTGTGTTATAAATAAATATAAATGAGTACTAATTTGTTTTTTACAGATGGATTGTGAATACGATCCTAGTTTAGATCGAAGAAATAAAAAAAAAACTAGAGCTGCGAAACGGAAAGAAAAAAAGAAAATTTTAGTCAAAGAGATTGAAGATGATGACGAAGAATCTAGTTCTAAGCAAAAAATTCCCAAGTACGATCCAGCAATGGGATCCTTTGAAAAGTATATTGATGAATATTACAGTTTGGACTGTGAGGATATTGTCAGTGGTGTGCCTACAAGATATTCATACAACAAAGTTATTCCCAATGACTATGGGTTAACGATCGAAGAAGTAAGGAACCCTGAGATAACTGTTTAATTTCTGTAGTACTTAAAAACATTTTATTGTTTTCATTAGATTTTGTTGGCTGATGACAAAGATTTAAACAAATGGTATCCAATTGGAAAATTATCGAAAATTCAACCAGAAGCTGTTCAGAAATTTGAAGCAAAAATTTATAAGCGAAAAGCCAATGATATAGAGTTGAAAAAAAAGCTGTTACCAAGCTTGTTTATAGAGGAGTAAAACATGTTTATTTTACATTTAATTAATTATATTATTATATTTATAACTGCCTTATATGTTTGTAAAAGTTAAAGTTTATACGATATTTGTTTACTCTTATAGTTTGTAGAATGAACTGCCCCAACCTTAGCTCTGTAACTCTTAGATCTGACTAAAGACAATTTAATTTAAATTCTCTAAATTAGTATTTGTCATACTTTTTCAGAAACAAAGCAGAAGAAAATGAAGAGAATGATGTGAACAAGAAGGAGAAAAAGAAAAAGAAATCAAAGTCAATCTTTAAAAACACAGAAAAAAACTGCGACCAAAAGAAAAACGAAGATTCCTCGAATATTAAACTTGAAATTAAACTCGATCCTAAGAGCATAAAAAGTGATAAGAAATCAGAAAAAAGTGAAAATGAAAAACCTAGAAATAAAACGTTGAAAAAAGAAAAGAAAAGTGTTAAACAAAATGCTCATCAATCATCCAACGGTGTGAACAATAAACCACTCGTTAAAGTAGACAACATAAATAAATGCAGCGACCAAGCTAAAGACGGAGATTCTTCAAATAAAATCTCTGAAATTAAGCTTGAAGTCAAGAATTTGAAAAGTATAAAAAGTCCTAAGAAATCGGAAAACAGTAAAAATGTAAAACCACAAAATAAAAAGGCAATGAAAAAAGAAAACAAGAACATTCAACAAAATTCCGATAAAACTTTGAATGGGGTTAATACGCCATCTGTTCTGAAAGTAGATAAATACAAAAACCAAACGAAAATCCAAGGTTCTATAAATGATAAATCTGAAATAAAATTCCAAGTTAAGAATACAAAAGGATACAAGGGTGTAAAACGGAAACTAGATCAATTTTCAAACAGAATGAATAAACGTAAAAAGATGGCGCATAAAAATTACAGACAAACAAAAGAACCTACTGCGTTGGAATCTATGACAGATGATCGTTTACAAGCGTATGGAATTAATCCTAAAAAATTCAGAAACAAGTTGAAGTTCTCTAATAGCAAATAGTAATTAATAAAAAAATTGACTTTGTTTTCTTATGTTTTTATGATGTTGACAACACAAATTATTCCAAATAAATAAGTCAAGTGTAATGTGTAAAGATTTAATAACATAAGTATTGTATCTGAATAAAAATCAACAAACTCATGTTAGTTTTTAGTCTTTGCAGTTATATACCTGATTACCCGTGTAAAAAATATATTAAACCTTTTTGACACATTATTCAACAAAATTAAAATTTTTTTCATACCAGTTTTTTGTTTAGTATATTTAAATTAAATTTAATATTAATTTAATTATCCATCGAATGAGTTTTACACAATCATTTATGTTTATAATTGATTTGGCGAGCAGAAAAATATACTATACTTATGTCAAATCAATAGAAACATGAGTGCAAGGTTAATGAATTGATGTGCATAAATTATGGTTTCTGCATTTTTCAATATTGTATTATATATTATGGTAGTAATATAGTATTTACAAATGTTTCAACAAATAGTCGACTAATCAACAACTCAATCTTGGTTAAACCGCAGAATAGATAAAACTTTAAAAAGTATGTTAAACCACATATTAAACCGTTAAAATCGACTGAGTATAATAAGAAAACGAGATCATTTTATTATAGGGATAATTTTTTTATTGGGGTAGTTAAGTGTTTGTTGCCAGTTTAGCTCTGAATATTGATATTATGATTTTTAGTTTTGGAGAACTTTAATTTCTACAAAGAAGAGATAAAAATTAAATAATAAATGCTCATTTCTAAATCTAATCCAAATTCCAAAGGTCTAGATTCTAGGACTAATATACTGTATAATATTAAACAGGTATGTATTATTATTTACCTTACATTCCTGAAGTTAGTATCTTTCTAATCACTTATCAGTGCTAACTTGTCCATTGATTTGTAAGTAAACATTTGATAAGACAAAAACAAATATTATCAAAAACCTTAAAAAAGTAAACAGGTATGTCAGCAACTTGTGATAACCGTGAAATGGCCACGAGTTATCTCGGATGGCTCTGTATTTCTTACAGGAGAAACCCGGCAATCATTTTATAAAAATTGTTAACACATATTGCTAACATACCTATAATCTGTTTATCTGTCATTTTTTAAACGTACACGGTAAACCAAACCATGCTTTTAGAATTTAGTATTTAGTTGTACTAGAATTTTGATGTACAATTTTTTTATTTTCTTACAAGTTGTAAAGTAAACGCCAAACAACTCTAAGCCACAGTGAACTATGGCCGAGTACGTCCAAAAAAGAAAAGAAGACCTCATTGTCGAAATACCACTTCTTGAATATTTCTTCAAAAAGTCTTCAGTCAAGTATGTTTTTTCTCGTAAAATGTTATGATTTCTATAGAACAAGGTTTTTTTTTTGTTGATTTTCAGGCGTCTAATACAACAAAGAGAAAAATTTGAATACAGACTGCTTCGTCGTAACAAACAAAAATCGGACTTCACGCAGTATATAACATTTTTGGAATCCATCATAAAAAAAGTTCAAAAAGTTGGTATTCACATATATTTTCTAGTTACAGTGATGGAGATTAATTAATTAAAGTGTTAACCGTCATATGATTGTGATAATTTTGTAGAGCATTTACGTTCATTTTAACTTAAGAAATCCTTTATAAAGACATTGTGTTTTGAGTTCTGAAATGTTTTTATTTATGAAACATTTACATTTTGTTTATTAGATTGGATCAGAAAATACACAATCACTGAAACTCATCGAACACCATACAAATCGTATAACTAATCTTTATTACACGGCACTTAAATATTTCAACAATGACTTGTCCCTTTGGAAGACGTATCTAAAATTCTTAGTTAAATATGTTAGTATAATACTATTAGTTGTTATACAACAATATTTTTATACTATAATATTGTATGTTATTCTATATTTGTTTTTTTAGAAACTATTCAGGTTATTACGATCTACACTCGACCGTGCTTTATTATTACATGGTCACATCTCCGACGAAATTTATATCTTTGCCGTGAAGCAAGAGTTTGTAGACATGAAGAGCATACAAAAAGCCAGGGAATTGTATACAACGGGTTTGCGCTTGCATAAAAAATCATCTGGATTATATTTTGAAGCCTTTAAAATCGAACTTGCATTTGCCAATATTTTGGCTAAATCATTGAAGAAGAAAGGTATAAAAATAAAATCTAAATGCTTGTGTTAATTTCTATTTGTTTTTTTGGTCACTTATTATTTATTTATATTTATATTATTCAGGACAAGAGTTTCAATCAAACGATCCGTGTTTGGATGGATCTATAGCCAGAGCAGTTTTTAAATCTGCCGTTGACAATATAAAAGAAGATTCTAGTCTTTTTTTCAAAATGTTCAAAGAAAGCGAAACATACACATTTGCATTGCAACTGACACAAGAGATTAAATTGTGAGTTCAAGTAATTTTATGTTATTAAATTTATATAGTTATCAATGATGTGGGGAAACATAAAAAAAACAACACATTCGAAACTCTGACAGTTGTTAACTGTATTGTTTTCTGTACTAGTAAAAAATTTCGTAGATATTGTGTTGTTTTTGTTTCAGTGTACCAAAAAAGCGTACTACAATGTATAGTATGGTTACTCATTGGGCTTAGGACAATAACCTATAAAAAAAAATGATAGAGGATATGCTTGAAATCTGATGAGAGAGGCATTTGAGCCGATTTTATATTTCTGCTATAAATATAACAGTTGAACAAAAAAACAAATTGTATTTTAAGGGCCATTATTACAAGGTGTTGATAAATTTGATTTTAGTTAAGTTTTTGCAATGTTCACTCTATTACAAACTACTAGCTAGTTCATTTTAATCAGTATGAGGATTTTAATTTGCTCAATGAAATCAATTTAAAATTAATACCGTTTTATGATTTATCATTTTCTTGATTAATTATCTCTGATTTTTTCTCATAGCTTTAAAAATTAATTATTATATTATTATTATTTTAGTAAAAATTAAAAAAAAAATGTTTTATAAAAAGTAAAAACATACAATATGTCTATAGTTATAGATTTTAGTTTGTATAAAATGCTACCACTATATTGTAATAAGTAATAATTGTCTTAAATGTCATTATACTATTAAAAGTAAGGATTCGAAAAACATATAGAAATGTTAATCGAATTGTGTTCTCATTCATTTTTTATGTATGTGATTTTGTTTTTTAATTCTAATTAGAAAGTCTTAACATAGATTTACATGATAAATATCTATAGCCAGTAGATTAACTTTACTACCTATTGACTAATTACAATTTTTTAATATTTTTAGGTTCATGCAAACAACATTTAGTTCGGATCCGATTTATTGGCATACTCTTGCCATTGACGAGCTAAATAAATCTAACAAAATCGAAAAATTAAGAATCAAGTATGACAAAAGTTAAAAAAAAAAATAACAATATGACCGCTTACAAACTAATTTTAAATATTTCTATAGGAATTGCTTAGATAGATATGACGAAGCTTTATCTGTTGTCGACACAGATGAAATGTGGGACATGTATTTAACTACCCTATTGAGAATAGCTTCAGACGCTTCCAAAACCGAGGACTACAAAAAACTTTTACTCCAACACTCTATGGCCAACGCTCATAAAAAAAACAAATTGAAACCAACACATTACGTTCAATGGGTAACAGTTTTTATAGTATTAATAATTTATTTATTTATAATTTTTCTTGTTAGAAAAAATCAACTTTGATTTGTTTTTATATATTTGTTTAATAGGCTAACAAATCTCTGCCGTCCATCACAGACGAGATTTTGGATTGCGCTCTCGAGAAATACCCGAACGACCGTAGCATTTTAGAGCAGAAAGTGAAACATACCATTAAAACTGACAAAACTGGTGCTTACGAGCTGTTCAAACAAAAATTGGATTGTATGTCTCCCACTGTATGGATAACAGTTGTTGAACAATTTTTGGACGATCCCAAAGCGAAAGATATATTTGAAATGGCATTTGGAGACAACTCTGTTTGTGTCGATGAAGCAAAACAAAAATTAGGAAATTGCTATTTGCGCTGGCTAAACAGAAACGTATCCCTTGATTGTGCTCGCAGTTCATACCAAAAATCCGTAATGAGTAGTTGGCGAGATGTGAGTTTCTGTAAGACAATTGTTGGCATTGAAATTGAACAAGACAAGGTGGACGTATTAAAAACTAGACAGCATTTTACGGTGGCTTGTATGCAATTTGGCAAAACGAATATAGGTAATTAACATTTTTATTATGCTTGTTACTTTTGTTATCATTTAATATGATGGTTATTATAATTTTTTTTTTATCAGATCTATGGATGGATAGAATATTTTTCGAACTCAAATTCGGTTCGCCGAGAACGGTATCAAGTGTTTACCACGAAGCACTTACTACTCTAAATAATGAAGAATCCGATAAGTTTGTCGAATTGTATACACTGAAGATGTCACAAGGACATCATTCTACATTTTAAAGTACTGTTCTTGTGTTAACTCTATTATTATTAAAATCATGTTTATTTTTTACTTGCAGTAATAATTTATTAAACTTAACTGTAACCTCTCGTCCGTCCCTGATTTAGCAAACAATTAAGTGCTGGTACAATCACATGTCATCGAGTCGAGTACATCACTTCGTGGGTAGATAAATCTTTCGATTTACTATCTTTTTTTTTTTTTAGATAAACAATTAATACAATAGTTGATTCATTAGGAATACTCAATGTTTGGAAAGATGGTACCTTATTAAAATAATTTGGAGAATTCTGTTTATTAGAAATAATATAAGGTCGTGAAAATAATGTATAAATAATATAATAACGATTAATGTCATTAATACTAGTTTTCACAATGAAAAATATTTAACTAGGCACAATTAATAGATATACCAAAAATTATTGATAACCGTAAAATAACTAAAGCTTTTTCTTTATTATTTATGGTATTTTGTTACCAACTAATCGACTATGCTCAAAGGGGAAAAAATAAAGGAAACATTTATTTAATTTAAGAACAATATCGCATGAAATTCTAAAAAATGAATGTAATGCTTTAGTTTATTTTGACAATAAACAGAACACGAGTGAATTCATTGGTTGATTGGTCGGTACATTGTATGGTCGTACACATATCATTCATAGATAATTACATAGTAAATAAGGTAAGCAAAATATACAAATAAATATTAGATTAAACCTTACGCTAAAACAATAACAATCAACAACGAATTTAGTTTAATAAAAAAAAAAATAAAGTTTAGCAACAAATCGGTGTTATAAATGACATGCATAATATAAGACGTAAAATTAATTATTTTTTGTTAATTATATAAGTAAATTTAGATTATTTAAAATAAAAAATTATTCTTTATCCGATTAAAAAAAAGCAAGTGTACTTGAAATTCAAATTTAAAGAAAGATCTCGAAAAACAATGATTTTAAATAGCATTTCAAGAACAAAAACATTTTTATTTACTTATAGAAAATGTTACTGTAATATTTATTTGTACAATTTTATGACAATATTTAAAAATACAGCTACATTTATAGGATAGGTACAACTAAATTTACAATTCTATACATTTCTACTGTTCAACTGTCCACACACTAAGTTAAATTCAATAGTAATGAATAAATAATTATTTTAAAAATTGGTAAAATTTACTCTTATTTAAAAATTTAAATGTTCTACCTACATTCTAAACCAAGAACTAAGAAATGCAATATAATTGTCAAAAATTATTATACAAGTTTTGTTTAGACATTATTTTTTTTCCAAAATAAAAAACCCATTTTAATAATTAAATACCACGTAAATTTTTAAGGGCGCTTACATAATGATTGTGGTTGTGAGTCGTTGCAATTATTCCTCCTACATGCACAAGACTCGTCGATTTTCCATAGGTTATGTCTTTATCGTGTAATGAAGTCATTTGGCCTCCTCTACTTCTTAACAATGCGTGGCCCGCGCAAATATCCCACTTCTTGATGTTTGTTGTGTGTATATAAGCCGACGCATTTCCATACAACACTTGCAAAACTTTATAGCCCGCACCTCCGGCTGTTACAACAGGTACACCATACAAACGGTCTTCTAACACGTGCAACACATCTCCTTTATGTGATCTTGAAACAACAACAGATCTCTTGCTAGGTACCTAGTTGAATAAATTATTATAAATGATTTAAGGAAAATAACTTTAATATGTATTGCAATATATATATATATATATTTGTCTTACGTTAATGTCTTTGGACCTCACAGAAGTTAATTTCGAACCCCATGCCCATGTTGTTTTGGAAGTAAACGGTTCATGAATAACACCGATTATGGGTACACCTTTATACGCTACACACACCATAGTTGTTACGTACTGTGTCAATTTTTCTAAATTAGTCATTGAAAAATAAATATTAGATGTAATCATCAATTAAGCAATTTGTACTTAATGTCTATGATAGTATTAACTATATTGTTTTGATTATTAGTAGCAAGATCAAAACAGATATTAATATACATTATATCTCATACCTGTAAACTCTTGTGTAGCATCTAATGGATCGATCCAGATAGTCAAATGTTCTTTCTCGAGTTTTTCGTCGTCACTAGATAGATGCCCACTATGAAATAAATCCACTTGCAGTACATTTAATTTCTCGCATTCGCTTTCTGAATGTTCTTCTTCCGAAATCAACTATAGTTAATGTATGTCTAAGTTTAATAAGTAGTTCAAATGACATAGGTCAAGTGACAGCGGCTAACCAATGTTCACAAGGGATAAAAACAGGAAGATGTTTCTACAAACCTACAACAAATAGGTATGCCCTTGTGCGCAAGTTAGCTAATGCCGCTATTAACAATAAGTTGCCTTGTATTATGTGAATTATTAAAACAATGGTATTTTTTACAAAAAACTACGATAAATACTTTTATATCTGGAAATTTTTTTTTCAGATGATAATACATGGCGCAATGAGAGGTATAATCAGCGTTTGTAACTGGATCGTTAGCTCCTTCCTGTGTTTTTCCTTTGGATAGAGCTTCAACCAAATCTTCGTCATGAATGTTTATAATCTGTACACCGCCCAGAATTGCCGCTCGAATGGCATGGTCAAGTAAATCTTTACCTCTGACATAGTCGTTCTTATTAAAAAAACTTATGTGGCATTTGATTAAAACGACCAAGATGATTGTTAGAACTGCCAACGCTTTGATCATAGTTTTCATACGAGCCATTTTTGTGGTTCAAAATTTCACACCGACCGTATACTCTGCTGATATTTAGATTTTAGATACACATTATACGAAGAACAATTTATGAAACACCACTCTGTTTTTTATTTTCGCGGATAATTAAATCCATTTTAATAATATTACCGTACATCGGTTTATCGCTGTTCACAGTTGTGATTGCGTCAAGGGATTTTAAATACAAAATTAATAATTAACAATATTAAGCTTAATTGCATATTGACATTATTACTACAGACTACAGACAAAATCTGATAAAATAGTGATAACTGATAAGGAATATCGAATAATCAATAGGGTTGTTCGTTGGGTTGGGGGTAGTTCTTCCAAAAAATGATAACGCGTGATAAGAAAAAAATGTTACATAACCTATAAAATGTGTAATACTACAGATAGTACCAACATCGATTTTACCAAAAACCCGCCAAGAGAAATTTCGTATTTTAATATCAAAAACATTGCCTTTAGTTAGGTTCTTATCTTTATTGCAAATTGTAGTTAGATCTTTATCAATTATCTAATTTAAATCGTATACACTATACACGTAAAATTCATAATAAATTACATTATATTATAGTATATACCTATCATATAAGTATATGTTATAATTTAATATTATTTGGTATAAAATAATAATAATTTTATTAAAATTTCCCTCAAATTGTTTATATTACTATTTAAATAAAACATTATTTTTACTTTTTACCTAAATTAGTTAACGATTTCAGAATTTGGCTGTCAAGTATAAATTAGTTTTACCACATCTTACATATGTATTCTGTAGTTAAAGAATACAGGTAGGAGCTTATAAGCTTTGTCTTCAATCTTGTCTTTTAGAAGATATATTATTAACAAAATTTGGTACCTAAAGGATATATTAGAGCAAGATAACGGAACATATGACACTTGTAGTTTAAATACCTTACATGAATAACTAGAACCAAACACATATTTCATTTTCAAGTTTCCACATAAATCAATATATACATTATAAGGTTATAGTCCAAAGTGAACCTTTTGCCAGATAAAGACTCGTGAAGAGAAAAAAATTGTTGTACGGCCCCTTTTGCATGGGATAATAGGTAGATAATACGAATATGGCATAATATAAAATTACTGTAAACTAGATTTAACAATTCTGTTGTATTAATAAAAATGATCAAACTTGGGTCGTAATCGTATAAACGTCATACTCAATAAATATATAATGTAATTTAATAAAAACTTGCTTTTATGTTGGTGAGATTATCAAATCAGACTGATCGGTATTAAAATACCTTGCAAGACTGAATGTTATTTATAATCAATTAGTAGGTTTTTAAAATAATTATTATTCACTTAATATTTTACAGAAATTAGTTTATATTAAGCTACTCTGGGTATATATTTTTATTATATAAACCAAACTAAACAATATGAATTTGTTCTGAAATAGTTATTCATATGATTTAAAAATATGATACAATTTTTGGTCAATATAAATTTGCAAATTTACAATTATCTCTTGATTTGAAAATGTCCTTGTTTGTTAGAAGATTGCATAGCCCATATTTTATTAATCTATGTACTTATTCATTTAATATGGCCATTTACTTAGTGAATAGTTAAATTAATAATTTATGAATAATTACACCAGAAATCGCATAATATGACAATTGATACACATTAATGCGAGCGTATCAAATACTCATCACATAAATGTTGATCTACCCTTGGTATGGTACAAAGATCTTAATTAAATAACTGCAAAACTTCTTCAAACGATTGTACTGTTCCATCCTTTATAAATTAGGTATGGTACCCTCGTGTTTAATATATATTTTTCTGTTCTAGGAACTTGCTTTCTGTTGTAGTTAAATAATTTTTGGATTAAGTCCTGCCGTTTTACGGTGGACAATATTGACATAAAGCTTTTTTTTAATTATTTTAATTAATACTCTGATAATCAGATAGTATAAAAATCTATTAGAAATTAGAATACCTACTTAGGTATATCCATATTTCATTTAGATCTTTTAAAATTATATTTTCATAGATCCATAGATTTATAAGAATTTTTGATATTGCACATTTCCAAACATAAGTAGAATTAAATGTCTAAAGTGATGCTGTAAGATACTAGTGAAAAGTAATAAAATATTTTTGTACAAGCCTGGCAAAGACTTGGCTAATTATCTTTTACCTCGATTGCCTTTGTAGAAATACAATTATTATCAATTAGATTTGTTTCTTATAGAAGTGATATTATAACTTTTCTGTTATTAATTCTGCCTACATTCCATTTATTAAGAAATGTATACTTTTCTTATATTATAAAAAAAATAGAAATAATACATATTATAAAATAAATAGATACAATTGCAAGTTGCAGCATCTCATCATATTTATTTATCTCTTATCTCGTTCTCATCGAGATCTGCTGTTAAAGCTCTTTTTGCCCACAATAAGTTTAATAAGTTATAATAAGACTGATTTAAGTATGTTAATATTTACTTAAGATTGGTGAAGTTGTGAAAATTTAAATGATATAAACGTAGCTATGGACATATTTAATGTGAAAACTAATGAGGCTATTTCCAATTCCACTAATATGTATATAATAAAATTGTCAAATCAGAAATTAAAAGAATGAATATCAAGCGGTCAGGTTAACTCTATTTTAACTAAGTGAACATTTAAAAACAGATTAGATAATCCCATTTTTATTTAACATTAATTAAAAATGGTATAATTGTGTTAGGAATATCTTATACCCCCATAATTTTGGTTAGAAATACTAGATTAAACTAGTAGAAGATAATTCTAACTTTATACTGTTAAACAGTTGTACTTAACTAAATTGTAGTTAACAATGAAAAGTATAAAAGTTGTAGGTATTTAATTTATCATTATTTTCAGGTAAGTGCCCCAATAGTTTTAACAAATGTGTCTTCATTCCTTTACACAAAACAGGAAATAAATAATTGTTCAGTAGTTATTATCTATTATTTCAGTCGGTAATTATAATTACTAGGGCTCTAGTTATAATTACTAGACTGTAGCCATTATAAACCAATATCGTTATCACTGTCTCTATCAAAAATATTTGAAAATCATTAAATCCCAAATAATGAAGTAATATAATATTTAGTTATTAAAACATATTTACATGGTTTTACGAGTTTTTATAGTTGAATTTGAATAAAACTGAACATATGGTTTTCAATATTCAAAACTATTTTAATCTAGATAACTTAAAGTTTAGAGGTCAAAACTGTGTAGAGCTACAAAATTGTGTTTCATGAATTATGATTCATATAAGATGTAACTGCGTTACTATTAAAAATAAAATAGTTGTATACTTTGATTCATTGATAACTGACTAAAATGAAAATATCAAAAATATTGAATATGTTATAAAACTATTCAATTATTATCAAGACATTATTTATATATATCTATAGTTATTAGATAATAGCAGGTATTGTTAAGGGTTAAACTTACTAAAGCTAATTTATTATTTAAATGTTGAATCTATAATTATTTACTACATTATACTATGCATATAAATAAAGATAACGGTATCTGGACTTTATAATACAATTTATATCGAACACATCATTGTATACTCAAAGAGAGTATTCAATATGTTAAACATCCTTCGTTTAAACGTATTATATAATATCACTTAATACAATACACAGATACAAATCACTCGTTATCGAGAGTAAACGTGTCTATGAGAACAGATTTAGAAAAAATACATTTGGTTTACTTTTACTTTATTGTGTCAAAAACTACATCTAAAAACTAATGCATTTCTAAATAATAAAATTATAAACAAATATATACTATATACTAAATACGCTTTGTTTTTTTATCATAATTAAATATTATTTAATTAAAAATTATCAAAAAAGTAAGTGGTTATTAAAACATGTTTTCAGTTGTAAAATAACACAAACAAAAATGTTTTGAAAAATAATTTTACCTAATTGAAATTATTATGAGAGAAAATTAGTCAATCACACTATATAATTAAGCTAACCAAGAAAAAACAACTTTTATTTCTAAAAAACAATATAGACTTCCTGTCTATCAGGCTACCTATAGTAACACAGTATACATTTCAGACCAATTTTATAATTTATAAAGTACAATTCATAAAGTTTGATAAGTCATTTAAATAAATAATAAATAGTAATAATAGAAATAATAAATGTAATAGTTTAAAACACATAAAATAATCTGGTAAAAAGTATAAATAGTATAAAATGATACTTAAGTAAAGATATTTTTTAACTAAAAATGTATATATTATAAACTAAACATCAAAATTTACAAATGTATAATTACTTGGTTTAGCAAAAAAAAATTGTACCGTTTTTTTTTTTTAATCTAGGTATTCAAAATTTTGACTACACAATTTTTCCTAACAACATCAACATAATTTCACAACAGTTTACAAATTTTCAATCTTTCAGTTAGGTCAAGATATTTTTACAATAAATTAATATTTTAATGTTATTAAGGTAAGTAAATATTAATAAATAAGCAAATACAGAAGCTACATTTATAATTTATTTGGTAGGCTAATAATTATGTTTGTCAAAATTGTAATAGTAATATACTGTTAGTATCGTTAAACTAAAGATACTTGTATTGACACTTAAAGTGTAAAAATATTCAAACAATAATACAAGTATTCAAAAAAAAAAAAAATTTAAACAATCTTAATTTTGTTTTAATGTAGTTGAAAATTAAAAATATTTAGCCAAATGAGATATCAGTGTAGTGGTCATAAATACAGTACAGTTTATATGGACGTTGAAGACAGGATAATAAGTTATTCAATAAATAAACAACTGAATTACAGTTGATTAATAATAAATTATAATGAGACTTTTTTAAATAAAATTAAACAAAATATAAAGAGATTGGAGATGATACTACGATGTTTAACAGCAGGTAAACAGAAATACTGGGTGGCGTTTATACTGTTAGTCTGATACAGAATATTCTTCCAGGGGTTTTGCACAAAATCCAATTAACTTCAACAACAAATATTCAAATATAGTGTCAAAAATCCGTCATGGATTACAGTGTCCATGGAGAAATATATGATATGTCCATTTAATCTTCCTCTGGTCACATTCTAGCTGAAAAAACAACAAATGGTTAAATAATATTAATAATAATTATAATATAAAACCAATTTTAAATGAATTACTAATGTTAACGTTTGTTAATTGTGAAGTTAAAATTAAATATAACGAAAATTGATAATGACATTTTTTTATACCATTCAACTTAAATTATCTATCAATAACACTTGGAAGAGTGATTTCATGAATAGACTATATTTGTGACCGGTATATATCAAGTGGACCTAGTTTGTTATCTCATACCAATGAAACGTAAGATCTACAAGTAAATGCAATTTTTCTTGTACAAAAACTAACAATGTTAGAAAATAGTAAATTAAATTATTAAAAAGAAAGATAATTTACATTTGATTTCTTTTTTTTTAAATACCCTATATTAGGGTGTTTTAGATTGATATTAAACTAATTTTGTATCAATATTTGTATTAATACTACAAATCTAGAATGTTTTCCTTACCTAGTCTATTTAGACAAATGATAAAACAATTATTTCTTCCAGTTAGTGTCGAAGGAGAACTGTTCAACCAGAATCTTTGACTCATCTTAAAACTGAAAGATATATTATTAATAAATAAGTTAAAAGTTGAAATGTTAATTATTAAAATAATAGAGATTAAATCAATTAAAACAATTTTACAAAAAATAACTCCATACCTGTTACCACACTTAATCAGACTAGAGATAGTTTCAGGAATCGAACCGCTCTAATGAATAAGCATACCGATAAGCTTTTTATGACTTCAGACAACTACCATCATACTGTAAAACATAATTTACTTGTATTAATAGTTTTATTTAAATAGGATGTAATAATATTGTCACACAAATTAGTACAATATAGTGTATGTATGAACTTTGTCGCTAGGTACTATAATTGATAAATATATTATGTTATTCATATTAAATATTGCAAGTTTATATTATGTGAAAATAAGAGTTTTGAATTATGAATTAAAAAAGAATTCTAATAAAAATATTCATTTAATATTAATAAGAAACGAAAGTAAATTTTATTTACCAATAATTATCGTTGTCGTCATATGAACTAGTTGGTTTTTTGTCATTATAAATGTATCGTAAAAATGTGTACTATTTAAGAAAATATAATATATTTTAACACGGTTATTTTTTTTTATCATTTGAATTATTGCCGTTTAGTTCTAGAGATAACAGTTAACTCTGATAAACGTTAGTTATATTTTAGTTACTTTTATTCTAATAGAATTGGCAGACTGATAGAATGTGATTTTATATTTTGGTGTTTCTGGGTTGGTCACGCTGATAAAATAAAAATTGTGTTATCTTTTGGAAGAACTCTTATCTCTTATCATTTTTTGGAAGAACTGCCCTGAACCCTTGTTCGTTTTGACAAAAAGTGTACACTTTTTCACAGCGAGTGTACACCAAAGCGTTCGTTTTGAAATAGTGTTGTCGTACAAGCCGTTTGTTTTAAAAAAATGTACCAGTGTTGTAATGGCCCGATTATTAGTACCAGCTATTAAGAATATTTAATAGCGTTATTTGTGTCCTGGACGATGAATCGATGCAGGGAGATGGTTTTTAGAAATAAAGATAAGACTTCTGAATACTTTCAGATATAATATTTTATTAAACAGTACATTTTAAAAACATGTACAATTACATGACCACTTGTCATAAGATGTATACTATTGTCTATGAGTACCGTAGTGTAGGTGTGATGCCTATAATTTTCGGTGTTGGTCGTTATCATATTTCTTATCAACTAATATCAACTGATTTTTATAATCAATTCTAGTCTATAGCCGTGGTTTGTTTTAAACTCAGTAAAAGGTCTATGGTTTTAAAATTTAAGTAACGACATAAACGATTAACGAAAGATTAAAACGTATTATGAAGAATGTATACGGATACTATTAATTATTATTTCTAATATTTAATAATACTCAAGACAATAAAATACGTTATTTTAAAATTTGTATATTTATATATTAAAAAAAAATTATAAGTCGTATAGAGATTACATTTGTATTTAACATTAAATAAAATATTCGTATATTGAACAACGGCTGTTTAATTATTTGTATCAATACAAGTAAAACAATTTTAAAAAAAGATGACTAAAAGTATTGGTTTCTTAAATCGCATTTTTTTAGTTGTATCTAATTCTAAGTATTATCGGCCACCACTGGATTCTCCTAACAGTAAGTTTCTAAATTGAGGTATTTTCATAACCATTTCACAAAAATGTATTACAATGTCAATTTTTTAATTTTTTTTTTAGGTGTATCCAAATATAAGAACTGTGGCTATCATAGATTTAAATCTGATATTGCTGATCATAAAGCAATAAAAGTAAAGTCAACATTAAAAAAATGGATAATACTGAGTTCTAAGGCATTTGCTATTTCATTAACAGCGCTTGTAGGATATGGATTGTCTTTATTGAGTACCTACCTGTTTGTTTTTAAAACCAAAATTAAATTAGCTTCTTGTAGCTCGCAATTTATACATTTCTACTCTGATATTTCAGTTTATGAAGATGACGACTTAATTACCAATGTAAATAAAGATGTCCCTTTTATAATTCAGATGTATGAAAAGTTGTGCTTTAGAATTCAATTTTATCATAAGGTATTGCTATATTATAATATATTATACATTAAATCTATTATTTAAACATAACTATTAAAAACAATAATGTTATATTGCCTTAATGAATAAGACAGTTTATTAAAGTTTCCTGTTATTAGATGCTGACAAGTCCCATAACTGCTACTGATAAACTGCTACCCGACCCATTGCCTGATTATTACGAAAAACCACAGTACACCCTAGTGTTTGAAATGATTGATCTTCTAGTTCATCCCGAGTGGAGCGTAAGAAAATATTGTTGCATAAAACTATGGTTTCATTAATTACTAAATTAAATATGCAGTATAGTACAGGGTGGAGATACAAAAAGAGATCCAATATCAACTACTTTTTAGAAAAGGTGGGAAAAAACTTTGAAGTAGTCGTATTTACAGCAGAAAATGGAAATGTAAGTATATATAAATAACAAAATAAATTTGAATGATTATTACCTTTTTACATGTAAAACTAAAACCTAATTAGTGTATGTGCAGTACAATAATTTGTTTGAACAATTTGGTTTATATTCAAGAATTAAAAAGTAGAAACCGAATTCAAGAAGTACAAACAATGTTTTTGTTGCATCGTAGCTAAATATTACTATAATTATTTAAATATTTATCTACTATTAATGTGTAGAGTGGAAATAATAGTTAATATAAAAGATAAATAAGAACTGGCTTTCAATAACCCTTCTAATTGAAAAACTTCTTAACTAAAAACAAATAAATTTTGTTCATCATTAGTGATACTGATGTAATACAAATTTACACAATGTAATGTTCATTTTAGCTTTGGTAACATAGGCAGCATCGACCGCTGGGTGACTAAAATTAATGTTAGTTTGTTTTAAAATAACTCACATTATTTGTTAACTGTAAATAAAATGCAGTTTATTTTTTTTTTATACTTACGTTTAATTAGTAATAAAAAACAAAATCATTCTTAAGAGGAATAAAAATAGCCATATTTTGAACAAATAAACACTATAATGGCTTTTAGATCAATTTTCGTCAAATAATGCATATTCCTTACTCCTAAACAATAAACTTTCCATTCCCTTTAAGTGTTCCATAATTACTATATAGGCTATTAAAATATTAGGAATATGAAGCAGAAATTAATTTGAGATATACCATTTTTGTTGTACAGATTACTCATCCTATTTTGAACGAGCTTGACCCTTTGGGCTGGATTTGCTATCGACTTTCACGTCAGTGTGCAGATTTTCAAAATGGCATTCTTTTAAAAAATTTAGACAAAATAAACCGTGATTTGAAAAAAGTGATCGTTGTAGACTGGAACAAAAATTGGACAGCACTTCAACCCAACAACACTTTAATAATACCTAGATGGAATGGTGACGAAAACGATAATTCTCTCATCGACCTTGCAGACTTTTTAACAAGTAAATAATAACACAATTTTTACACTTTAAGTCTATTTTAAAATAATACTGATTAAACCATTTTTTTTAATTTTATATACAGCCCACCATATGATTAGCGATGTTAAGTTTTTTTATTTTAGCTGAGTACCTATAAGATGTATGTAGAATACATAATTTTCTAATTCAATTCCATCATCTAAGAAATTTCTTTTTAATCAAATTATTTATGATATGTTTAGCGGAATTCGTAAATGACATTGAAGACGTTCGAGGAGTTATAAAAGAATACAAACAGTATGATGATGACCCTATCAAGTTCTTTCGAGAAAAACAACAAAGTTTAAAAGTAAATATAACTTATAAATATTATGTAGACATTATAAATATATATGAAATTCTAAAATGTAACAATCATTGTATACATATATTTAATTATTTAAATTTCAACAAAAAATATCTCACACAGAAACACAATGGACTCTATTAAATATATCCATATAACAATTGAACAAATTGCCGAAAATTTAAATGTGGACGATTGGAAGCATTTCATTTTGGCAATCAATTATGGATTGTTAAAAAGAGATGTGTCTTATACACATCACCTGTATGATGGCTGAGTTGCAAAAGGTATTACAACATAAAGACGCAGTAGCGGTGTGTTTGGCCAATCCAAACATAAAGTGGATGCATGCAATATACTAGATCCAATATGAGCATCAAAATATATGCATACTGTCTAAAAACATAGTGTATCACGGACGTATACAAAAGAATATTTGAGAAGGCAGTGAATGAAGTAAAAATGGAAATTTACAAAGCGTGGCCGGAACCTCATCTTGCAAGAATCACTCCTGATACACACAATAAAATATTGTTCAAACAAATCCATAAATATTATACTAAACAGCCTTGGTACTTAACTTTAATATATTTTATATTTAAAATATTTTTAATTTAAATTCAAAATTTAATTTAAATTTTTGTTATTGTTGTATATGAATATTTAAATATGAGGACATGTTTTCTTTAAAACAACAGGGGCTGTAGTATAGTTCATCAGGAGAAAAATGAATATTATAAAAATAAGCAATAAAATATAGGCCAAATAGCCACCAACAACGGAACACAACGAAATTGTCAACACATCAAAATTTACAATCATGCCTACTATTTAAAGCCGCCCAAAATACAATGTCGGTGGCACTCTCTCGTATAAGACCATCAGCCATTTGTTATGTGGGCAGTATTTCGCGTAATTTTAATTATCATTTTGTTATACATGTTTTATAAATATTTTATCTATGCGTGTGTATATTTTTGAGTTTTCTTTTCTTTGCTCGTTTTAAATTGCTACTTTTTCTCATCTCCCTTGCTGTTTTTAATCGGAGGCCTGATGTTGGATGGAACACGCCCTAAGGCAGAATCAACCCGAAAGAGGCGACTAGTGTCAATATAAGCCTTTATTTGTTTTCATATTCTAGTATATAGAAGATATATAAACATACTAAAATTATTTATTTAATATATTGAGATATGAATATGGTTTAGTAAAAATAATTTTTTTTTTTAATTTCAGGAAGAAAAAGAAGAAATTCCAGATGTAGAAGAACAGGTGGATAATAAAAACATAAACAATTCATGGTTTTCGTGGATATTGTGGTTTAATAATAAGTGAATCATAAATCAAATGTTGTATCACGGCTTCCGAAGAACAGCGGAATAATTGCAAAAGTAGAATTTTACAGGACAGTGAATTGCAAAAAATACCTTTTAAACACTATTGTATATACATTTTAAAAAACCAGATAGTTCTAACAAACCAATTAATTGTTCACAATTTTATTAAAAATTCATTGTTCCTGATTTCAAAACCGCGAAAAACTATTTTTAAAAAGTTTGCACTTAAGTTGTTCTTTGGAAGCTACGATATAATTTTTTTTTAAACTATTGATATTTTATTACAATTGATCGATAAAATAATAGAGTATAACCTTTGATAATAAATATTATAGATGGCCCACTGAGACAAATTTCCGTTCTGGACGTCGACACGGGTAGGCGCTAGTAGTACCGTTCTCAATGAAATTGATACTACTAGCGCCAATCCCTTGTTGACGTCCAGAACTTAGTCTCGGTGGACTATCTATAATATTTATAATCAATGGTATAACTAAGAACTTTCAGATTTATTTTTCTACAAATTATGTATAATATGATAGCTTAGTTTGGTTATAGTTCACAAACCATTAATAAACATGTTTTCTGTATAAATCTGTTATATGTAACTTTGTAATATAATTATTGGTAAATTATTTATACTATATACATTTAATTATATCTTAGTTTAAGGTATACTTATGATTTATTTATTTATTATACTTCTGATTTAAGAAATTATGGATGAATTTTTCGAGTTTCAGGAAAATAAAGCTTTTAAAAATTGAATGAGTAATCTGTAATTCAATCAGAATTCAAGTCATCTGATTTTCCTATCTAACAATTGTCAAATATATTCATGAAACATTTTCTTCTCTCGTCGAGGAAAATAATAAATAATCACAGTTTTGTTTGCAATAGTATACCGGGTGATTGGTTAACTATGGACCACTCAATATCTTAGAAGATATTAGACTTTTTTAATTATTTTTTTTTTGTACTATTATAGTTATTAGGTGGGACAAATTTAATGTATTTTTCAAAATTTTAACACCATCCCTTATGCGTTAAAACCATATCAACTTTAGATTTTTAAATGGTAACCCCCAATTTTTTTTTGATGATCGTGTTTATTTTTTTTAAATTTAATTTTAGGCGTAAAAACTAGCTAAATCGATTGAGTAGTTAACGAGCTACACAGTTTTAAAATTAAAGGGAGTGTAAAAAATAAATTAAATATCTTGGAGACGCTAACATATTAATGTGACTGCTCTCTGTTATTATTTATTGACAATTAACTTTGACAATAGCTATTGTAGCGTTTAAAAATCATAACCGTACCAAACACTATTTACTTTAGGTAAATAATTCACCGATAGTAAATAATAATGATAACCGCTATATCGACTGACAAATATACCACCACTACACACTTTTACATTTATTTTGTAAAATAGTAGGTATGTTTTATTTGTTATCAATATCTTGTGTATATTTTTCCAGCATTTAGCAATTATTTGTTTTGGTTAATTTGACACATTTTGTTTATTCATGCGATTTGTACGTCTTAATTTCATAGTATATTATAATAATATAGTATCATAACTTACTAGAGTCTAGATCTATGAACTTGTCAACATTTATTGTGTTTTAAATAATAACATTGATATTAAATATCCATAATCAATGTGAATACCAAGATGGAGTTTTGCTCAAGTGACAAGTCTATAAAACCTAAAACCTTACTTATAAAATGTATGCACATCAAATATCAAAATTAAAGGTACTTATAATAATAATATGTTATTTAAAATAAATATTATTATAATTTGAATTATGCTTGATGATATTTTAATTAAAACTTTTATTTTTACAGTATTATGTCTTTGTTCTGAGAAACTTATAAATGTGTAGTTTTGTGTTTTAACATATTGGTATCTGAATTCAAAGAAAAAATATAAAATTTTTTATGAAAAAATTGAATCTTCAATCATCGTTTACTGAATCAATAATAGGTAAGATAATGTATTTATTGATATAGGTGTATTGTATAAGTACATTTTTTTATTAGAAAAATATAATTAATCTTTTTTTATTATTCATGAACATATAAAATGTTTTTACATAATACATTTTTTGGATTACTTATGTTTATCATACTTAATATGTTTAATTATAATGCGTTACTTAAAAATTAACGTTTAACTTAAAAATTATCATACTTGTATAATTATAAAAAATATATGTGTATACTGATATTTGTTGCTTAACCATATGATTATTTAAGTATCTAAGAAACTTATTTAATTTATTTTAATTATATGTTTCAGTATGTTCAATATTAATATGGACTATCTCAACTTAAATTGATATTTGTTATTGTCTACAACTACACTACTACCAACGTCAAATTTGGTGTATTATATTATTGTAGTCAATCAGTCTAAACTAATTCCATCAATACATTGTCGAATGTTGTGGTATTCAATTTTCAGTAAATTTATAGGTGTTTTATTTTAAGGTAAAATATATAAGATCATCAGTTTGCAATAATTTAGTTAATTTCTATGAATTCATCACTAACAATTTATTATTATTATTATTTTTTTTAGTTACTGTGGCACACTATTGCAGATAACGGTTTTCCATTAAGTCAGTAAGAAGAATAAGATGGATTCACAAGTTCAAATCAAATATTAGACAACTATATATATTTAGTTATTCAGCTAAAAATGTAATTCAATAAAATAATTTAAAAGTACTTTATCATTTTAAAAGTGACATAAAGTTTTTAAACTCTAAGTATTTAAACACACATATACTTAACATATCTATAATTATTATACATTATTTATTAATTATTAATGATGAATTCTTTATTTAATATTAATTTAATCTAAAATGCTGCTGAGAATGTTAATATTTCTAAAATATGTTATTGTCTTAATCCAAATCTTGAAATTATTTTCATGATGGCATAGTTTTGGCATTAGCTATTACAGAATTTATTGACAATTTTCTAGTGGTTTACGATTAAGTTTTTATAAGTAATAAAGTAAATAAAATTATAAAACACAAAATAGAAAAAAAAAATGTTAACTATTGGATTAAGTGTAAAAAAGTAAATTGAATGAATATACTTATAAATATTTTTTAACTTAAATATGTAAATGGAGATGGATTTCTTCTAGTGGGAAATCATCAAACAAACTTTACCGCCCTAGGTAACTTCCTATAACTACATCACTATATACAGCAATATGTTGTACCTCTATTATTTACAAGTTAATTATAGATATGTTAATTTTATTTAGTCTTAGTTTTTTAATATGATTTAGCAAATAAAAATGTTTATTCGTATCTTATAAGCGTATTATTTATCTTGTTACTTGTTTTTTTATTTTACTATTATCATAATAAACATAACATAATATAGTATTTAAATGTTTGTTAGTAATATTATTATTGAATTTTAAGCTTATGACTGTTAAAAAAGCCGTACAAAAACAAAAAAAATTGTACTTTATCATTCACTCTAAATTTTTGCTTATACCTCGTACAACGAGAAAAACAACCATTTATTAAATAAGAAATATACTTTTACTGTTCATATGAACACATTAAAATAAGTAAGAATAGTCAATACTATGAAATATATACAGTATAGGCTTAAGGTGGTAATATAATAAAGAGTTAATAAATAAATACAGCTTTTAATAATTAAAAATACTGAACTAGAAATAGTTAAAATTGACGCGTTACAACTTTAAATTATAAAAATGAAAATTTATTTTAGTGCACAAGTATTGGATGAACGTATTTCTTATGGAATCCTTTGTTATCTAAACATTTTAATAAACACAATAGATGCCTTATAAAGATGTTGTTTGACATCTTATGTACCTATCATAAACCAGTTCGAACAAAAATGCTAAAATAGTTTCTGTACATATTAAGTTTAGTTTTTGTTTATTTCTGTATATATTCTGTACATATTATCTATTAACTGTATGTAATACAATATTATACTAAAAAAACAAAAAATTAAATGTTATTTATTAGTTTTTTTAAAAATATTTTCACTAACAGAATTAATAATTTGACTAGTTAAGACACCAGTACAAGTAATACTTATTAAGACCAAGACGCTAAATATTTAAAGTAAAAACCAAGACGCTAAATAACCATAATAATTGAAAAATTAGAATAATGAACTTTTTGATTAGTTTTCAAGTAGTCGTATTTTTATAATAATTTGTTCTGTGTTGATATTAATCTACGCTAGTAACGAATTGTTTTGGTAGAACCACGGTATACACTTTATATAACACCGTGATTAGACCACGGTAACCTATGGTTGAAATTGAAAAAAAAAACTATTTACTAGGGCTTATAATATTGTTTGTTAACAGCAGCTAATGCCTAATATTCAATACGTACAGGTACACCGCACCGCTAGGAACACTACAGAAAAAACAGATAAGAAGACATTACCCATATAATATTATTATAGATTTATTATTAGTTCGTTTTCATTGTGACCGACGACCGTCAACTATTAACTTTAATCTACAACCGTATCGTTAATCAATCTTATTTTGTGAAACGTGAGATCCGGCGATAAACGATTTTTTTCTTTAGCTGTAAAACTTATAAAAGCATCTCATATAAGCTAATATTATAATATTGTAGTACTAAGCTATAACTTTAAAAGTACTTGTCTGATTTAGCTAGTTTTTACGCCTAAAATTAAATTTAAAAAAAATAAACACGATCATCAAAAAAAAATTGGGGGTTACCATTTAAAAATCTAAAGTTGATATGGTTTTAACGCATAAGGGATGGTGTTAAAATTTTGAAAAATACATTAAATTTGTCCCACCTAATAACTATAATAGTACAAAAAAAAAAAAATTAAAAAAGTCTAATATCTTCTAAGATATTGAGTGGTCCATAGTTAACCAATCACCCGGTACATATAAAGACATTCTAAAAATCGATAAAATTTTGATTTTTAAAAACCCTATCAATTGTCAAATGGACAATGATGGATGTACAGATGCTCAATTATGTAATTTACGTTAGTTTTGGAAGTGTACAATAAAACGGCTGTCTTAGATTTAATAAAATTAAAGTAACCAAAAAAATAAATTATTGAATTGCGTAAAACAGTTAAAAGTAGCACAACTGTGGTGTTTATAGTACAAATGAGTATAAATTAATAAAAAAAAAAAAAATATTCACTAGAACATTTATTTTATTTGTCAGGTCTTTTTAGAAATTTAATATCATACATTTTAGGTACCTATTGTATCATATTATTTATGTAAAAACATTACATTTTTGCGGGAAACCGTAATGCTAGCACACATATTCATGATTCAATTTTTTTCCATGAAGCGGAGAAAATAGCTATTTTCATTGAGTTTATTGATTTGGATGTTCTAACATGATAGCGTTAGCAGCCGAGTATAACTCTGTCCTCGATTAGGATTCCATAGTCATGCAGTTTTTAACCTTTAGCATTTAGAATATTGTTACATAATAGATTGTTTTTTTTTTTATATTTGTACTTTTATTATCTACAAATTAATGGGAAAGAGGAAAAAACAAAAAGATATATTGTGTAACTCGGAAACAGTTTCGAGATACAAGTAATTTACAAGATAATTTTGAATAACCACACGATTTAGACTATTGAATTTCAATCAAAACTAAAATAATCAACAGACTAGTTAATATTTACAATTTGAATCAAATTTGTAAAATGTTGCCATTTAAAATTCGAAATGAAAAACAATACTTTGTCACTAGTTTACAATTGTATAAACAGTACTTATAGTTATAAAAAATAATTTTTAATATAAATATATATAAAAGTTAAGTACTCATAATACTTAGAAAAATTGTACATAAAAATAGCAATGAATTTTAATAGGGTAATATAGTTGTACCGTTGCTTAAACTTCCGTTTCCATGGTCAGTTCCGAAAAGTAACTGAAAAATAATTAAAAAAAACAAATAAATTATTTGTGTATGGAGCTTAAAAATGTTTTATAGTATGTTATTATATACCTTTCTTGAGCTTCTCTTCTGTATTTCTTTTACACGAGCACATTCATTTTCAAAAAGACAAGGCAAAACAAGCAGAGTTCCTGCTGTAGATATACACCATGTGTAATCGCATGCAAATGAATAAGTTTCTGAAAACAATTAATATTTGTTAGATAAAATACATATTTTATTTTTAAACATAGTGTGCAGTTGTTGTAATATTAGCATTAAATTAGGTAAACATGGGGATACCCATGACTAAATAAACAGGTATGATTGCTAGATAATACCGCGCAGGAAAATTGCCCTAGACTTGGAAAAAGAAGTATTTCACTATGTCAATTTCTCATTATAAGTTATAGCATCTTCTATGACTGGGACAAATGCGGAAAGATAGGAAATTTTTGTAATCTAGCAATCATACCTGATTATTTAATCATGGGGATACTGTCAATTATATATTTATATTCAAATCAGTTTTAATACAATTTTGTTTTGTGTTAATTAGCCTATATTAAACCAAGTAAAGACTTGTTCAAAAAGAAAGAAATAGCAACTGAAGTCATTATAGAATAGAACAAATGATTTAAAAATTCTCAATTCAATGTTCTGAAAATCATACTGTTCAAAATGGTGATAATGACCAACAAATTTCTCTATCAATTAATTGCATATTTTCAATCCATTTGTATGGGAAATTTCAAAATTATATCTTTGTTATTCTGAGTTAATATACTTACTACCAATCGCTTTTTTAGTGATGCTTATTAGGTTATTGGTGTGCTTTCTAATAGATTTGGGAAACATTTCTGTAAGAGCCCAAAGGCGTTCAACCACAGTTTCATCCTAAAACAAAACCATAGAATATTTAATCGGAGTATCAAAATTCAAATATTAAAAACAAAACAATAGATGCTACTTTTACATTTTTGTCTTGACAAAATATAAAAACGAGTTGTTTAAAAAAATGTTTAAGAGATTTGTATATTAGTGTGTAATCTAGAATAGTTTAACATATTTAACATAAAGTCTGGCACAATATTAAACTTTTCAGTATTTTAGTGATCAATAAATATGCATCAAATTTATTATGCAAAAATGTTTAAAACTAAAACTGATATTTTTTCCCTGTAAACCATCTATTTGGTTTAATTTTACAGTATACTCTGCCTCTTAAAGGGTATGTTGGGTCTCTGTCCGTCTTATGGCTAGTATAGGATTTCAGACGCAATTTTCTTTACAATGTATCAATCGATCTATTGATGCGATAAAGAATCTGAAAACAGGTGAGAATTCTTCAGTCCTATTTAGGGATTGACTTTCCCACTTGTACAAGTGGATCAATCTTTTTGAAAATAATATACACATTATACCCATCCTCCAGAGGCCATGGCTACGACTATCAATTTGTAAAAGAAGTATTACACTCTTCCTCCCTCCCAGGTCACATCACTGAATCATAAAGTAATAGTTAAATCATAGTTGATTTAATTAACCTCTTCATCGCAAGCGACGTTTTCAGAAACGGCCGTTCCTTCTCTTCTACTTTCGGCCATGGATTCCGTGTCGCTGTCGTTGTTCATTGCATTTTCTCTTTCCATATTTGACTAAGTAATGTTTTTAAATTGTTTTTCCACGTTTTTTTATTGTACTATTGAGCTTTGGTAAAAATGTAGACTTCAAACGCTGGTCAATAGTCAGTAGTAACATTATCGTTGCTATAATGCTACGAGTTATAAATTACACAGAATAAATAAATGTAAATAATAATTATACTTTATAGGAAATATGTTTAGGTTTGATAGTACCTTACCGGCGTTTATAAAATGTCGTTATTATCACGTTGTTTGTAATGTCCTTGATTGGTGAACGGACTTGCCAAAACCGTATACCCATTATCGCTGCATTTTTGGCTGGCGACAACAGTGTTTGATAATATAATAAATAATAATATTATACTAAAAACCGTAAACGCTAAACATTAAATAGATATATTAAAAGATATTATTATAACGTAGCAAAATAAACTAAATTCGTCGTTGTTATGCCGTCGATAGTGAAAATTTATTAGAAAATTACATTTTTAGTTTTATAGATTATATATATATACATATATATTTATATATGTATATATTGTAATATACTTATGCATGTTTTATTTTAATCAAAATAAAGTACAAACAATTATTGGCAAAAGAGCATTCGAATTTTTATAATTACATAATCGTTCACGTGAATAATTCTTCGTTTTTTTTTTTTTTTTATATTACCGTTTTTGTATTAATTTTTGTAATTTTTTTTTATATATTTATATACTTGAGTTTATGTGTATTTTACGTTAACAATTCACATTGATCGAGTCACTGAATTTCGTTTCTACTATAAAAGGATTTAGAAAATTGTGTAAATGTTTAAAATGGACTCTATACAATTGCCGCAACAACATAGCCAATCTGGACATGACCGTGAAAAAGTCTACCAGTGGATTGTCGATCTGTGCAATGCCGATACTAGAGAAAACGCTCTCTCTGAACTCAGGTAATGCACAATATAAGAAACTATTACCAAAAACATTTAGTTGATCATCTACATAACAAAAAGCATACCGCTATCAAATTGCTTTTTGGAATTTTATAAACGATTACATTATTATGTTGTCGTTGGCAACGTTGATATCGAGAAATACACCCCAAAGCATTGATAAGGTCTTTAATGCATTTTCCTATTTTTAAACTGCAAAGTGCAATAACTCAAGTCATTTTGTTTAGCTTGAAAGATGTACCAGGGTCAAGTTAAAAAATCAATCAAGATTTAAGAAAATAGGCCTTACTCAATTTTGGAAACAAAATCTTTTTGCCAACGAGAGGTTTTCTTTTGCTTTCCACATCACATATATTGTGTATAATTATAATTAGATATTTAGGGTAAACTATTCTGGTATATAATGACAGATGTGCCTGCACATCTAGAGTTACTATCAAACATACATTTTCATTTAAAAATGTCCATTGGTCTGTTAAAATATATATTTTAGGTTTAGTAAATAAACAGAGTGCTGATCTAAAAAGCACTACCTAGCGTTCTAGGTTAAACATTTGATTTCGTCCTCACAAACAAACGTTAATATATGTTTTTGTTAGCAAAACAGAGTAAGATCACTCCGTAGCCACTATTAATATGGCTATAATTTTAAAATCATTTAATATATTGATTTTTATTTTAGTTTTGGGTATTTTGTTTTTTTTAAAGAGGGCATACCTACTTGATTTATTGTGCTTATAATACAAAATAATATTTAAAGTTAATCGATAGTCTCTGGATGAATAAATGAGGATTACAGTAATTTCTGTAGTATTTGTTTGCTAGTAAACTTAAATAGTCCATATCTGTAGCTATTAGGTAGGGAGTACAAATATTATTCTACAAATAAACAATTTATGTTTTTTTTTTAGTTCTAGACGTGAAATTATCCATGACCTTGGTCCACTTATTTGGCATACAACAGGAACTATTGCTGCTTTACTATTTGAAATAGTGTCAACCTATCAGTATGTTAATCCGCCTAGTATGACGTTGCAACAAGTCACTCGTCTATGTAATGCACTTGCTCTTCTACAGTGTGTGGGGGCTCATCCACAAACTCGATCTCAGTTCCTGAAGGCACAAATACCATTATACATGTATCCATTTTTACATAATGGTAACAAATGTCGTAACTTTGAACATCTAAGGCTCACGAGCTTAGGTGTCATTGGTGCCTTAGTAAAGGTAATTATTATTGTGTTATAAATTAATATTGGTTACTGTTCTGTGGCAGGAAATATAGTCAAAAGTCATAAACGATAGTTTACCACATGAAAAATAGTGTTAGATGTATGGTTGCAGATTTTTGTCGTTTTCCACATTTAATATTCGTGATTTAATTTACGGGATACGTCGTTTATGACAGTCCAGGAAATAATTACAATTTATCTAATTTTCCTAGACTATTTTCTTACACAGTAGTTTACCATTTATGGTCATGTAAGGCGGGGGCAACTGCTGTACAAATAATTCTTTTTTATTATAAAAGCTTTTTAATAGCAATATTTTTTTGAACTGTTGTATCATAACATACAACAGTATTTTATATATATATATATTATATACAGTATACTACTTACGTGTAAGACTGGGCAAGTTAGTACATTTTTAAAACTCATTAATTATAAAGAAAATAATTATAAAAATGTTATTTTCACATGTTATTCAATGATGTAACTCAGTTTGTATGTACGTTAGTTGATAGCATTCAAATGTTTAGCTCTCCTTTGTTCAAAAACATGTTCACCAGCTCTAAAAAGGCGTGAGCACTGGAATTATAAGTTACTGATAAAATTACCTGTTAAGTTTCTAACTTATTAGTGCTAAGCCTTGACTCTGTGTCTCATATTGCATGTGATATACAAAGGTTTAAAAAAAGTATGAATGTGTACTCATTGTAATTGTTGATGTTACTACCATTGTCAATTACATAATATAATATTATGATTGTTTTATCAATGTGCATTTTAGACAGAAGAGCCAGAAGTCATTACATTTTTGTTGACGACTGAAATTATTCCGCTGTGTTTGCGTATCATGGAAACGGGGTTTGAGCTAACTAAAACATTGTCAACATTCATACTGCAAAAAATACTCATGGACGACAACGGTTTGAGTTACATCTGCCAAACATATGATCGATTCTCTCACGTGGCGTTAATCTTAGTTAGTATAATATACTTTAAATAACACCTTTGGTCACACCAAGTTAAGGTTTAAGCTGGTTTGACATTTATTTTTATAAATATAAATTTTATGATTTCAGGGCAAAATGGTATTAGCACTGGAGAGAGAACCGTCAACCAGACTCTTAAGACATGTTGTGGGTTGTTATGTGAGATTGTCTGAAAATCCAAGGTAAAAAAAAAGAATCTCTTTTTATTATGTAATCAAAAAAACAAAAAAATTAAACTGTTTTTTAAATTAATTTATTCAGGGCTCGGGAAGCTTTACGCCAGTGTCTCCCTGAACAACTCAAGGACATGTCTACATTTTCGGACTGTCTAAACCGAGATCAAACTATTACTGCATGGTTAATATTGTTGAAAAAGAACTTGGATTCTGCTTTGCCTATTGACGTATCACCCGGCGTGCCTTCACTTATCAAACCATAATCATAACACCAGTTGTACTATTATTATTATCATTATAAAAAAGAAAAAAGAAAAAAAAACGAAAATTAGATTTATCTTATTGATTACCATATATCAATCAGATAGTTAGTAACAAATGACAGTGTACTTATTGTTAGACTTGTGTAAGTTACACGGGTGAGAAGCGGATACTAAATTAATTATTTTTTATTAATAAAAAGTAACAGAAGTCTGACTTGTTATGTTTTTAGTTAAATACATGTTACATTAGGTAAGGCATTTTAATATGCGAATAACGCCAATAATAGTAGTATCAAACTATATATATATTTATTTATTATATATATATTTTTAAATTATTATTATTGTTACTTGTTCTTATGGGCCTAATGCTTAAATAACAAAGTTTATTGTATACAAGGCTTATTGTTTCAAAGACTGTTGTAGTTGCGGGCGATTATCTCGTTTGGCCAATGGATTATGTTTTGGATTTAGCGTGTAATAAATAAATAACATAGCAGCCGACAATCTTATTACCGAATCATTGTCCGTATAATCTTTGATCCAATCTACTCGACCCCATTTTGTACACTAAAAGTTTTAAACAAAATGCATTTAAAAAAGTATACTAGTTGTAATAATGTATGTGAATAAAAAATAATGATATACGTATTGTGTAATTAAATTTATATAATAACCTGATATTCTTCTTCCATTTTTGATAACAAAACTGCATCCTTTACGGTTAAGTCTTGATGTAAACAACACGTGGTCAAAACTAGAGATTTAACTGTTTCGGCGGCTTGTAAAACGCCTAGTTTCAATTTAATTTGTAAAAATATAAAACAAAATATATTTTAGAAAAAAATGCTAATATATTTAACTTTTTAGCGCTGTTTAATTATTATATATAATTGCATACCATGAAGCGCCGGAAACCCAAGCGACATGAGATATTTTTCAACACATTTCTTTGTTTTTGCTTCCAGGCTATTTACATATATTCCTTTAGATGGTATCAAGTCGGTTTCAAAATATTTATTAAATTGATTGATTAAGGGCATCCATTTTTCCTTCAACACTATTTCTAGCTCCTCGTCTGTCTGAAAATACGATAAATAGGCACTCAATAAATGTGTATTCTATTAGTTTTTTACGGTCAAAAACGATTAAGCAAATCTTTATATTATAATAATTCAAAAATGGATGACTATTTGATTTGTTTGTAGAATAAACATCTTGTTTCATATGAAATAACACATAATATAGATTTCATTAAACTCAAATATGAAAATTTATATTTGCTAATCTCTTTTTACATTATAGATTCCAAACTTAATATATTGATAACTAATTAATTTTGGTACATTTAAGGATCGGTCAAACAGAAAGCCGACTGTCCGCGCGGACAGGTCGCTGGTCCGCCGCGGACTCTGTACTCTATTTAAATGCATCATTCTGGTTAAACAGACAGCGGCCTACCGCACAAACGGATGGTTGTATTTTTTCACAAAGTTCGCGGCGGACTGGAATAATTTTGTAAAATAAAAAATATTTAATATAGACAATACACTGGATTTTCCACACGTATCAGCACTTCTAGAATATTATTATTATGTAATTATCGAACATAATATATACAAACAATATTGTTGACAACATATTGTACTTAATTTTAAAATTTTTTTCATTTTAAAATTGTGCACTGTAAATGATCAATGAAACGGAACGATTGATTGATCTAGTTGGAGAATGCGTTTATTTGTATGATACGCGGCATCCACTGAAAAATGGACAGATTCGGCAAAAGACTGGTATCAACACTTCACAAAAATGTAAAATTTAATAAACATTTTTAGCCGAGTCTGCAACCACGAAAGAGCATTTTCATGTCTCGTTGAAGTACCAAATAAATTTAAAGTAGTGGTGGAATTATAGATAATCATAGAAAGATATAGTATGATATATAGAATGATATAGTATATTAACAAGCAGTAACAAGCTAATATCTAAGGTGGCTAGTACATTAAAACATCAAGTTTCTGGCTAATATTTTAGTGTTTAAAATCTGGCTTAAAACAATTCATAAAAATATGACCTCTTAAATTATTGAATTCAATTTAGTTCAGTTCTAGTTTGAACGTTGAGAATACAGCATAGTCGGTAAAACTCCCCAAATTATTTCCTTTTATGATTTAGTTCATGTACCCATTTTCTTTTTTTTCGTCTTGCTTAACTCAAGGCAAGCAGAAGAAGCAATTCTTCTTTGTCAGAAGAACTGCTAGACATTTTGTAAAATAAAATGAAAACAGAAAACGTGAGATAAAAAAGTGAAAAATAAAAAACAACCAGCAGTACACTCTTGATTGTGGCAATTTTCACACTAGTTCGCTCAAACTTGTCCGCATTCTGTTTGACTATCCTAGTCCGCAGCGGACCAGCAGACTAGTTGGACGGACATGTCCACGCGGACAGTCCGCTTTCTGTTTGACTGATCCTTAATTGTGCCATGGTAATAAAATATAAAAAATTACTTTACATCTGGAATGAAGAAAACTGTATCGGTTTCTAGATAGGATAATATTTCTTTAACAACATCTTTTTCTGAAAGCTTGCTAGGGTTGTCAACCGCCAAAAAGCATAATTTTGTCTAAAAAATAGCAACCAGATATAACACAAAGTATGATGTAATATATCAGTTTTAATAAAAAAAATTAAATAAAAAATACCAAATGCATGGAATCTGTCTGAATAGTTTTTTGTTGTAAATGCCATTCTTCGGCAACAGCTAGTGCTAGAGCTTTGCTATTAATTATCATTTCATTGCCTAAAGGTGTTTTCAATTTGCTGTTATCTAAAAGTACTCCGTAAGAACCATTGTTTTCAACAATATTTGTAGTGTCATAAAATTTTCCTAAAAAAAAAAAAGAAACAGATAGAATAATATATGATACAACTGTTTGTTGAACAACATTTTTAACAAAAAAAAAGATTTCATGTTTTTTTGTTCAACTGAAAGAATTATTTCATAGAGAAAATTACTTAAAACAATAATGTTTAATAATTTTATAAAAAAAAATATTTCTGGCATGTATTCTAAAATTAAAAACCAGAACTAGTGACTTGAAGCATTTGCGTATTCTAAGTAATTCTAGTGACACCTACGAGTGACAGATATTTATTGTGAATAAAGAAATGTGATGTTACATTTTACTTATTTTTTTATATTTTGGAGTTTCCAATAGTGATTTGCTAGTTTCTTAGCGTTATAATGGTAAACTTGTAAATTGTTAATTTTTTCTTATAACATTAATGGCGATTACTAATTGTTGTGTATACGTTTTTTTGTGTGAAAACCCAAGTTGCATTAATCACGACCTCATTAGGATTTATCATAGGGTCAATGCATAATGTATGTAATGTCAATGTAATAATAAATCACAATTGTTTTTATTGTGTTTCGTTCATCGCTGCAGCAACACTGATCTGCATTACCAAACATTATGCAAGTTCAAAAAAAAAATAATTTTACAGCAATCTATACATATATTTTTAATGTACTACTACGCAAAATTTTAATTTTTAGAGTATATTTAAACACTTAAAATATAGGGTTCTCTGAGCAAATAGTTGCACTTTAAACAATATTTACTACAAGTCACAGACCCTGCAAATAACTTTCTAATATATGTTTATAATATTAATTTTAAATTGCGATGCATAAAACAAATTACCGATGGCATAGGTTCTAGCTGAAGTAGAAAAAGCTGAGGGTAAACAGGACAAGTTCAATTTTCTTATAAGTGGATTTCTTACAACAGATTGTATAAACTTTGGAAATTGAAGCATTTTTTTCTTTTTGTAGCTGTATTTACACTGAAAAAAAAAGTAATTATTGGTGTTGAGTAAATTTTACTTTGTAAGCATCACTTAACTTTATTAAAAGTTTAATCTAACTTTATCAAATAATATAAATTGACAATGTTGAAAACTACAGTAGTAAATTGTTATAAACGTATTTGTACGACTAATATTTTTTCTAAATTGTAATATGGCAATTTTTAAATTCTCACTTTCTATGAGAGATTCTAGATAATATTTGAAATTAGATACAATTATATCTAAATTAACATACATATATTTCACTTTCTGAACAATATTTTAAAGTAGAATTTAAATCTAAAATGTCTATAAAAAGCTTGCAGTAATTACCTAATTGTTTGTAATGATTGAAACATATTTTACAATTTTCTAGCATGGTATAATTTAATTAGAATAATAACGTACATCTAATTACCTGTAATTTCAGTCGTGTTCTTATTAAACTCTAGCTAGAAAGCATAAATAAATAATGAAATGTATTATTTTGAGACTGCAAGTTTTATTTTGTATTTTAATGTAAGCATGGCAAAATAAATAGGTATGTCTGCAAGTTATGTTATAATTTTTTACAATATGGTTGCCGCTTTTCAACTGTAAGAAGTACGCGGACGCCTTAGAATGCTGGAGACCGTTTTGAGGTTATCTCAAAATGCTGACATACCTTTTTATTTTGTTATGGTACGAATAACTGTTATCAACCCGGCTTGGATTTATCACAGAATAATTGTTTTCCATAATTGTGCACTGATAATAGTTAAAAAAAGATAAGAAGTGTGATGTTTTGAAACATTTCAGTTTAATACAGTGTCCAGTAACAACTAACTAGTGATAATAATTTATGAACCTTACAGTTATTAGTAAGAAAGTAAACACGAGTAAAATGTTATAAATCAACATATTATGTCCGTAGTATTGTACCAAGTTCACTTTCAAGTGCATAAATTGTTCCGTAGCCCGCACTTAAGAAATAAAAAGTTATGTCAGTGTATACATTAACTGGTCTACTGAGATGTGTTAGGATTTGTCCGGTAAAGTATTATTATTGTACTGTGAGCAATAAAAGAGAAACCAACAGAACAAAATTGAAAAAAGATGACAAAGAAAATAAAATAAAATTATTAGTTGACAATGGAATGCCTCAAAACGCAGTATATAATAATGAATGGCTTTTTAATATTGAATATAGTAATGTTACGACTACGTAATTATTTTTAAGTTTAGCACCTAATTATCACCTTTTTTTTTTTAGATAATTTAAAAAATGGTTTCAACTTGTTAAAACAATGGAATCCTGAGAAAATGGAAGATTTGTATGTACTTCTCCAGATGCCTATGACAAAATTGATATATTTCACCAAAAAAATAGCAGATGAGTCTGAAATAACAATGCCTTATAGAAATCGAGTATATTTTTTTGTGGACAATTTTAAGGTTTGTATTTTTTATTGATTAAGTAAAGTAATTCTAAGATATTTTTTAAAATCTACTTAGCAAGTTACCATTACTTTACTACTTATCATTACTATTACACACAACATTTATAAAAAATATCCTGCATGCATATCAATAAAACTAAAAGTTAAGGTTTTCTGAGGTTGTACAAATACGCATTGTAGGTATTTTTACTGAATTAAATTTCAAACTATTCTATAAAAATCTCCTGTTCAGTATAGTTTTTTTTCCGTATAGATGTCCAATATCTCTTAAGATTTTTTGATATAGTTATATTCAAAGTTCTGTTAATTATATAACACATGCCTAAAAGTTTTATTTTAAATAACTTTATCTGTTTTATTATAATTAAAACTCGGTTTGGAAACAGAGTCATTTAGATGGTTTATACTTATATTATAGTCATACAAACAAAATTAGGCCCTTAGTGAAAAATATATTACATTTCCTTATAGTAATTATTTTTTTTTATAGAAACACCCACATACTGTATGTCATCATATGATGCAGCACACATTTTTGTTCACACGCAAGTTTCCAATTATGAATAATATTTATAACATTTTAGTTGGTAAGTTAACATTTTCTTTTCATTATTCAGTGTTGAAATACTATGTTATGAACTATGGTAATTAAGCTTTATGTTATTTAATTATTGATAAACATATACGAATGTCTAATATTATTTTTTCTTGATTTACTCAAATCTGATAGTCTTGTTTATATTTTTTACAACGATAGTAATATCTTTTTAATTTAACTAGTCAACATTATTATTATTATAGCAATTTTCGGTTTTATCTATACTTGCTTTTGGTTAAATCTGATGTTGTTGTCCGAACTGCAATATTGGGCATCCGATATTAGATTTCTACCAAAGTCAAACGTGATCACCATAATGATCAAGCTATCCATGAAACCTCCAACAATTTAATATAGTTAATTAATTATTATTAATTAAAAATAATAACAAATTGTTAATACTGAATCAAAATGTCAATTTAAATTACATTTTATTTAAATTGACATTTTAAAAACCGTGTTTTATTTATGATCATGTTTAAAAATAAAAGGATATTAGCAATTTCAGGTGGGAATAATAATAGTATTGGCTAATGTTAGAATCAAAAAAATATTATGACCGTGAATAATTTTAACACAACTATTAGATTTTAATGGACACAACAAAAAAGTTTGAAAAGTACATACAACTTTTTAAAGTTTTTTATATTTTTTAATGTTTTGTAGAAAACAAAGTACAAAAAGAAGATATTTGGAACGATGTATGGGTATTCATGTATAGTATAAATCAAATAGAACAACGCATGGCTCTCGCAAACGCAGCAAATGTAAATATTAAACCTTGGATGGTACGCTGTAAGAACGAAGTGTTTGAAAGGTAATCAATACGAATCTCATGTACTAAATGTTATTAATTATTTGCCGAATGTCTACTTTTTGTTTATTAGAACTGTAGAAATTAAACAAAACAACCGAGTGGTGCTGAATAAAAATTCTACTGCTCAATATCTAGCCAAAAGACTGCATGTAGACGAAAAATATATATATCGAATTAGTGAAAAATATCCTTCAATGCTTAGAGTAAGTCCTACCAAGTTGAAAGAGCTATTGGATTTTTTGTTAAATGAAGGATTCGAGCCAATGGGTATACTAAGTATTCCTCGGGTATTTACTCACAGCATTACCACCTTACAAGTAGGCAGCTAAATCTTTACCATAATTTTGTTATTACAGTTATTCTAAAAGGCTAATATTTTATTTAAATATCTATTGAGCAGGAGCGATTGATCGAGCTAAGAGACCTTGGTTATGACCCAACAGTGGCTGCATTATGCAAAAATAAAACTTCGTATCAAGAATTAGTTGATAAATTAATTTTGAAGAATACAAACGAATTAAAAAAACCATAAATAGTTGTATTTAATAGTTATATCTATATTTATGTACAAGGTAATTGTTTTAATTTTATACTTTATGTGTTATCATCTGGTATTTGATTTATTTTACACGTTTGCATGTGAAACTAATAAATAAATAACTATATTTTTTTAAAACATATTCTCGTGGTACACACATAGTTAAGAGAGGCATTTGTCTTTGAATTAAAATCTCAAGTCATGTAAAGTTGTACAAATAAGACCTACTAAATGTCTAGGGCAAATGTTTTTTTATCTAAATTATAATTTTAAAATATTACTCATGTTTCAATCTTCTTTATATTGTTATAATATTTATAGATATTCTCCCTTGAGCAAAAATAATATTCCCTCTTATCGAGAATCAGTCTTTGGTTTAAGATTAATGCATTTTTTCAATTGTATTTCTATTTGTATACTATACTTAATTATAATATATAAATATTTAATTTTGTAAGAACATAACCTACAAATTTTTAATAAGAACTATAAAATAGAGATCTGTAGCATTGACTATTAAAATCATGATTTAGAGGCATTTTCTGTTCAACTTGTTTCTGTAGTAAGATTTTTTAATAAGGGACTCGCAACTGTCCGAAGGCATGGAGTGTTCATTGCTTAATATAGACGATCTTTTTTTGTTGAGTGCACAAAAGCTTTTGGTGCTTGACGTTTCATTTGCTTTATTTTTCCGTGCTTGCGTGATTGCCCTTTTAGTTTCTTTGACCACATATTTTGCCTAAAAATATCAGTAAGACATCATATATTTTTTACGCTGTTTGTGAGAATTTTTAAAGTCTTGGTTTTTATTAACAAAATTTAGTTTTATGTATAATATTCTAAATTGAAAAACGGTAATCTAATCAAAAACTATTAAACTAATTGTTGCATACTCAATGATCATGAAAGACAAAAATCTCAAAAGTTCTCCGGGAAATAATATAAAACCATTCAGAAATATTAGTATTTGTGAAATTGTGAATAATTTGTTTGTAAGTATGAATAATATTTACTTCTGAACAAGAACAATTATCCGTTTGTCTCGCTAAAGAGTTTTGAGAGCGACGGGAGCTAATATTGTTGTCGTTCTTCGCTAAACAAGCCAGTCGATTGGCGTTGTTTGTGATTTGAGTTAATATTCCGTTTACACAATCTGTCTGTTGTGGTATCCATTCTTCACAGACTTCCCTGAAACAAGTCTGTACGATATTTATTTATGTATTTTACTTGGCTAAGTGCAAATTTCCAATCTTTCTGAGACAGTTTTGTTAGAATTTTTTATGTTAGTACAATTGTATGTAGAGTCAAGAATTTATAAAGTCTATTGTTATTCTATATCTACAATAATAACCATTAATAACACAGTCCCATAGGCGGACTTAGGGGGGCTTTAGTCCCAGACAATATTTAGACACTGATGTAGCATACAAAATCTTTATTTTTCGTAAATTTTCCGCTTTAATATGTGTGGGCATGTATATGCAATATTTTGTTATATTTTTTATTGATGCAATATGTATAATATTATAATCGAAGTTGATTATCAACTGATAACAAAATTATTACTATATAGTAAATACTATAAATATACTGTTAATTTATATTTTACACTTGCTGACTACTTTTATTATAGTTTGAGAATGTTTATATACAAAAAATATTGCTTCCCCCCCCCCCAGCAAAGATTCAAAGTCTTTACTGTAGATTGTAGAAGTGTTTATAATTAATTTTTTTAAATTTTTTTCTAACTATAAATCGAATTAATTTTCTAATAGCTCAATCAAAAATTTGTCTTTTAACGCCTATACATCATTTTTTCTATTTATTTTAGCTAAAAAATGTCCAATAAAATATAAAGTTTAGTTTAATGTTCTCGATGAGGTGATAGAAGGCTAGAATACTATTATTTCCATCCACATACTTCGTTTATAATTTAAAAAGCGTATTATACAAAAATGATTTATTCCATAACAAACCAGTTTTCAGTTTTAACTAGGTGCATAATTGTTCTATACTTAATGGATAAATTAAATATTTAGGTTAAAATTTGACTTTTAAAAGTTATCTTCAACATTTATCCTTTAATATAATACCTACTGTAAAATTGTTTTGTTAAAACAACTACAGTAATTATAATTCAACTTACGAATATAACTTGCTCCACTTGCCAAAACAAACCGAAATATTTTTGTTGTATTAAAAACAATATCTACACTATTTATCAGTAAAATAGGCAATGAATTGGTTATATTTTTTAGCATGGCATAAACCTATAGAAAAGAGATATACCCCAAAATGTTTTAACATGAAAAAAAAATAAAAAACATTTCATTTTACTGCGGGTTTTTAACTATTTTTATAATATCTGTGATAAGTTTGCTTTATTATTAATATATATATATATATATACCTACAGCAATCTATTTTATCGTTGAATTTTTTTTTCATTATAAGACTACTAATACAATGTTTATATTTTGTATTTGTTTATACTTAGCTGTGAAAAAGTAGTCTAAAATGACAATAACAACCCTTCACCCCACCTTCCCAATAAGTCTTGCCGCCAGACGGTTGGCGATCGCCACCAGAATAATATAAAGTATCAGAAGTTGCCTTGTGTAAAATGACACATTAACCACAATCAAACGTTATCCAACTAGTCTAAAAAACCTAAGTATTGAATTATATATTATAAAAAAGGCACATTTGAAAAAAATACGGTTTTTATACATTTTTAGGTAATAGAAAATTAAATAAGAATTTTACTGAAATAAAAAAAGCCAATTGGGTTTGGGGGGGGGGGCTAAATCATATATTGGGGGGGCTAATGCCCCTTTAGCCTACCCCTAAGTCCGCCTATGCACTGTCCGGACTATTCGGGTGAAATAATATATTTGTTCAGCTTTCATTTAAAAAAAACCATTGTAATTTGATACAATTTATAAACGTTGACTTGATTCCGTTAAAATGTATTTTATGATTGAAGTTAAAACCGATTTTATAAAATAATTATTCATTTTGCTTATTCATTTTGTGTAACGGCATAATTTAGCTCATACAGCTTGCAAACAATTAATAAAGTATTATTTATAGCGGAAAGATTAAAACTAAAATGTACATATTTTTTTAAATCACTTGTTATTTGGTTGTATATGGAACAAATTGGTTGTATTTTAGGACTAAAAAATGAACAAATTTGAAACTACATATTTAAACAATTTTTATAAAATTTTAGCGTGTTGGCAGATTGGAACATACTAGTCAGCAGTGTACTGTAAAAGTAATGTACAGTAAGTACAGTCAACAGCAGAATTTAGGATTTTTGCGACCACGAGAACTAAATTGATGACTCTACCTCTTCTTACAGGTCTATGATTCAGTTAGTCATATGTCATCCGCGTTACCTCCCTTAAAGAATTCTTTTAAATATCCGCTATCTTCAGTCTTTTTCAAATTGTATATAAATGTTTGATTCCCATCCGGTTAACAGATCTGCCTCAAGGTAGATCTTATTTTATCCAATATAAATATATATGATATATTGTTTGTTTTAAATTTAATTCCCTGGTCAGATTTTTGTCACTATTTAAAATAGCATAAGTATGATTAAGTAATTTTATGGTTAGACCAATGGATTAACCTTCCTCTATTTGATATTATATTGAATAAATAAGTAATTGTAAGGAAAACTGGTATTTGTTAACGTGCAAATTTCCAAATATGTTATTAGTTATCATGTTTAATGTCGGGATGTTGTGGAATCAAAAAAAATACCTATATATTTAACCGCTGTGCGCACCATTTATATGAATACTATAAACTAAATAGGTATCCATGTTATCCTACCGATAATGATTGTAATAATTTATTTTTAGATATTTTATATTTCTATCATCAGATGCATTTGGACTGGGCGATAATGTGAATATAATATTCATGTACCTCTTTGTATCGTATCCATATAGGCCACAATTTGCAGAGTATCAACATTAATAGAGAAGTGGCTATAAGCCAATTGATGTAGTACAACATAGTACTAAACAGCGAACTGTGACACATATTGCATCTTTTTGGCATTAAACAACAGATTACGCTATCAGATGGTAGCATGCTACAAATTTACTTGAATTTTTTCAAAAATACCACAATTTTCCACTTAATAAATTTTGTTTTCAAATTTACTTTTTGAGTTTATTGTTACTATGTGATATCGGGTCTACACTGTTAGTGTATACTATACACATTTAAGTTTAACACATTTGGCCAATCAGTATTTTTCTAGTTGCTGACAATGTCATTCGATATTTATATTTGTGCAATATACTTTTTGTTTCACTCAATTAGGTGAACTGCTTGGATATAGTTAAAACACTCAATATAATTTATTATAGTTTAATAGTAATTAGTATGTATATTATGTATAGGGAATAAATAATAATACTACAAATCTACAGTTGTATCTTATATTAACAAGTCAGGGAACAGGAATCACTGTGATCGTGTTCCACGTACATGAATTTCGAACTAAAAATATACATTTACTGTCATCATGTTTAATATAATAATATTTGTTTTGAAAATACACAATACTAAATTGATATCATACAAAATACACTATTGTAGGTAGGTACACTTCAAGAACATTCCTATTATGGAATAACTAAGGTATTATTTAGTAAGTTTTTTATACTAAAACTATTTATAGAATTATCCCTGATGTATAGAACTAACTTAATTGTGCAATATTACCCAATTATAATATTAAGATTAAAATAATTAACGCGAAGATTTAAAAGTTTTAATAGCTACCCAAACAATTTTATATATTAGTAGATTATTAATAAGAAAAATCGTACCTAAAGCTTAACATTTATTCAGTTGATTTATTCTGTAATTAAAAATAAACAATATAATAATTTATATAGTATAATTTATTTTGGTATAAATCTACTTTACCGGACACCTTTTTTTTTTTAAATCGATAGTATTTTGCATGCTGATTACGAATCTGCAAAAATTTTGGGCCGCTCGCACTTTGGAAGTTACAGACGTTTGAAGTTCGCAAATTTTGACTTACGCGCGTGCCCGGCAGGCCTCGTCTACTTGTCTCCCACCCATCGTGCCCACCACTAATGACTAACATTAAGCAGGCTAGGTTGGACTCGTTAGGTCACTAACCGCTTTCAGAGCAGTATCAGGTTAGTTTTTGTTATTCCCTTTAGGTAAGCTATTTTTTCCTCTGGGGGTTTGGGGGCGTAAGCCCCCATCCAACGAAGGGGCTCAAGACGGCTCCCGGAGCCGGCAGGCGTAGGGAGTTGTTTTGCATAGTTAGTAGTTTATTTAATTAAAACTTAACTGAAAAAAGAAGTCTGCCCGATTTTAAATTCAGATTCGTAATCAGCGTAAAAAACATTATAATATGGCAATAAAAAAATCGAAAAAAAAGGTGTTCGCTAAAGTACGACACCGACGTCGAAAGGGCCGGTATGTCGAGAGCGGCGAAGTACCCAGGGGCCACCGGGAGACAGGGCCTGCCGGGCGCGCGCGTTAGTCAAAATCTGCGAACTTCAAACGTCTGTAACTTCCAAAGTAAGTGCGAGCGGCCCAAAATTTTTGCAGATTCGTAATCAGCATGCAAAATACTATCGATTTTAAAAAAAAAATCGAAAAAAAAAGGTGTCCGGTAAAGTAGATTTGTTCCTTTATTTTCATAATGTCGCTATTTTTTAAAAACCTTTGTTCATTTACAACGTGTGTTAAAATTTTTAAAAAATATCCTCTAAATCTACTTTTTTTTTAAAAAAAACTTGGATTTCTATCTTTCTTCCTACGTTTCTCTATTTCAAAGAAGCCTTTACCTATTATTAGCTGAAGAGTTAAATTAATAAATAAAATACACATGCCCGTGTTATGATCATACATAGACCTAGTTACGATGGCATTAACTTGAACTTTGAAGCATACATCAATTGACAGACCTTGCTTCAGCATATTTATAGATGGTCAATAATCATTGAATAAATAAAAATTTAAACTACAGAACAAAGTAAATAAGTTGATTTTATTTTAGCATTTGGCTCGAAACAAAGGACCCCTTTATACATATATAATGATTAGTTTTGGTTACCCCATGATTGGTTATATTATAAGTACCCTGAGGACTCGGAACAATGATGATGTGACGCTGAAAATAGTTATGCAATAATAATAATGTAAGTGAATCACCAAATTAATTACATTTATTTTTTCAATTTGATAACATTAAGTAAAGAACATAGGTAGACTTATTTACCGCAGATTAAACCATACCAGCCACAACAAGAACTTTCTGTTTGCCGCGTTTTCGGCTGCTACAAAAAATATGAAAATAATTTAAACATTATGGGTGTAAAAATTAAATGTACATTGAAAATTATTAATCATATTTAATTCTGGTTAATTAAAAACGGCCCCACAATTATGCGAACATATTACAATGCATCATAATTGTTAATGGTTTGTCAAGTTCGAATATATTGTAATTTGTACATGAACAAAAAGTCTAAATGTAATGTAATTTATAAGTTTTATTTTATAATATATTCAATTTATTTCACAATGTTTGAGAACTTTTAACAGTAAAACATTTAAAAATAAATGACCAAGATATTTAACATATCCAAGATAAAAATTTGTATAGTAAATATTTGTTATTATCGCTCAATTCTGTTTACAAAATTAATTATTTCATAGTTAACTAGATTATTGGGCAAACCTAACAAAACAATTAATACAAGAACTTCACATTGAAAACTCTCTAGCTGAAGGAGCTGAAACAAGCTACGTTTTTAATTCCATTAATATGTAGCCATTTTTTTAAAACGTTAGCGTTTGAATTTTTAATTTTCATCAATCTGTTTGTTTGCTATGACTTTGCAAAGATATTGAATTCCCCCTTATAATTATCATATTATGCCTACAGTTTTCCAAATACCAGTAGCTCACAAAATTCACATTTCAGAGTTTATCAAAAAACGGTCAGACATATTGAGAAATAGACAGTGACACCAGAACGCAGATATTTCCTTTTTTTAAAAATTTGTTTGTGGTTTATGGCTACACTGTTCATTTTCCGCGTCTGTTGATTTATCATTTAAACACAGAATAAATTTTAAATTTTTCGTTTACTCTTAACGCGTCTCCGTCTGTATATTATTCATTGAGCTCGTCGCTTCTTGCTATTTATATTTTATAATTATTCTTGGTGTTGTGTTGAAATGAATATCGTAAAAAATGCCTCGGGCAGTAGGTGCTCTTTAGCATACTGCACCAGCCTATGGTCACAAAATAATGACACAATGCGGATATCATTTTTCAAATTTCCGAAAGATCATACAAGGTAAGAACTGTTTTTTATAATTATCGCTTAATTGTTCACTTAAATTAAAATTTTACTTTAGATGTGCTTCTTGGGTACAAAACTGCGAGGCCAAATATTTACCTACCACAGATTATGCTACTCTTCATCAAAAATATAAGCTGTGTTCTTTGCATTTCGAAGATAAAATGTTTGTCAACAGGTTGTTAAAGAATAGGCTCTCGCTGACTGCAACGCCAACAGTTTTTGTTAAAAAACCTATTGATGTATTAGTGTGCTCTTTAGTTGACAGCACAAGTGTGGTATTATCCTGTTCAACACCTGGTATGTTTCCTACTTTTATAATTTACTATTTATATTTACCTTTTATAAAAACTACACATTGTAGTATGCCGTATGTGTAGTGATAAAGTACATAAGTATATTAAGTAAAGAAAACTATTCACTCCATACCCATCAACGAGAAGAAACTATTGTTATCAAATATATTCTCGTCGTTGATGGATTATTAGTACGTATAATTTATATTTTTGAACAATTTGTTATTTAAAAAAAAATTGGTTACAATATTTATGTTGTAATTTGTATATTAATTATATTATCATTCTAATCATTGATAACTCTTTTTAGATTCATCTTCTTTACTAAGTCATTCTGCAAAGTCTACTTCTACTGAAATTAATGAAGCAAAGATTCTTAAAAAGAATCTTGTTGAAGCTCGTCAAACTATTAAAAAGTTGGAAGCCTCAATTGATCATTTGACCCATTGTTTAAATCAGACGGATACGGTAGAAAATGTTCTTCAAATGATTGAAAAGTATGTTTCATCATCCTTGTTTGTTGTAATAAAAAATAATATTCTTAACAAAGACAAAACCTCACAAGGAAGACTATTTTCTAATGAAATTAAACAATTTGCCCTAACAATTTATTTTCTTGGACCAAATGTATTTAATTTTCTTCAAAACAAATTTTGCCTTCCGACTTTTAGAACTCTTAGAAAAATAACCTCCAAGTACGAATTTAAACCTGGCCTTAATGATTTCATGTTTGACCTTCTATCTTTTAAAACTAAAACTTTTCCTTGTGAAGCGTTAAATTGTATTCTTTGTGCAGATGAAATGGCGCTTAAAACTCATCTTTATTATAATTTATCAAAAGATCTAATAGTTGGCTTCAATCAATCTAAATCGCGTAAAACTTATGATCCAGCTAATCATGCCCTTGTTCTTATGATAAAAGGTATTGATTATAGTTGGAAGCAACCCATTTCCTACTATTTGATTTCTAATAGCTGCAAGGGCAGTGATTTAAATAATATAATTGTTTCTACTATCCGTAGACTAAAAAGTATAAATATAAATGTAAAAGCTTTTGTAACTGATCAAGGTTCCAATTTTTTAAGTTTCTCTAAAAACAATAGTGTTTCACCAGATGAACCATATTTTGAAGTTGATGATGAAAAAATAGTATATATTTATGACCCTCCTCACCTATTAAAATCAACACGCAATATGTTTTTCAAACATAATTTTATTATAGAAAATAAGTTAGTTGATAAAAAGCATTTAGATATTTTTTACAACCATGATTCAAAATGCAATATACGAATGGCACCAAAACTAACATATTCTCACGTTCATCCAGGACCAATCGAAAAAATGAAAGTTAAATATGCTGCACAGGTATTTAGTCGTAGTGTTGCTGCAGGTATGTCCTCAGTATTAAACCAGGGTATTTTACCAACTGAATCTATGTATTCTATTAATTTAATAAATAACATCGCTGAATTATTTGATATTTTTAATTCATCTGATACTCCCAATGGCAATAATTTTAACGCCCCTTTTACAAATAATCCACATCAAATTAATCATTTAAATACAATGATCGAAATATTCAAAAACATCAAGGTTGTTGATAAATTCAAAGGAACTGATATAACAAATAGAATGAATTTTATTAACAGTTGGCTTATTTCTATCTCTGGTTTAAAAATGCTGTGGAATGCCTTGAACCCGAACAAAGAGGATTATGTTCTTCGCACTGATCAAATAAATCAGGATTGCTTAGGAAATCTATTTGAAACGTTCCGTCAGCAACACAAAAATAATACTAATCCAACCCCAATCCAGTTCATTCAGTTGTTCAAAAAGATCATAACCATTGAATATTTTAGACTCTCTCCTAGTGCCAATTGCATTGAAGACCTTGATAAAGTATTCTATCAAGTAAACAAAATAGATAATGCCTCTTCATTGTTTCAAGAAATTGTTAATCCTAAATCTTTGGAACAACATATTACTATTGGTACAGTAGATTATAGGAAACTAAAAATTCCAGAAACAAATGCTTTAAATTATGTATGTGGTTACCTCATGAGAAAGTGCTTGGAAAAGCATGTTTGCCAAATTTGCCTAAATTTTGCTTATTTTCAGAAACAATTAGAACCGTTATTTCTCTTATCTTTTTTCAAATCTACATCTTATGAATATTCTACATGTGGCAAATTATTAATGTCTCATAATGAATTTAATAACTACGTATTTAAATTAGAAAGTATTTTTATTGAAAATTTTCCTTCATTAGCTACCGAAGATTATGTTGGAGCCAAACTTAAAGATCTTATGATAAATACACGTTTGAAACATCCTTGTCAACATTTTGACAAAATATTTTTATTAAATTTATTCATCCGTTTCAGAATATTTTCATCAATTAAATTTTTAAATAAATCATTAATTTCAGAAAGAATAAAAAAAAATAGAAAATTATCAGTTTTAAAACACATGTAAAAATAAGTTATGTCAAATGTTTTAAACTGAACAATTATTATTTTGTAATATTTGTATGTGATATTATATTATTATAAATTTTAACTATCTTTAGTTTTTTGATATGAATATGTAGGAATTTCCTATTGGTCTTAATGATCTCAACAATGTTTTATTTTATTTTGTTTGTATTGCTGAAGTTTGAACTTTGACTAGTGTATTTGAATGTAAATTTAATAAATATTATTTTTTGTTTTGTTTATATAACTTTATTTTTAGTTTGCATTGTACCTTATTACTGTGTGTATTGTGTATTTTTTACTTTTTATTTTACCGTTTTTAAAATTAATATGACCTGTATAAGTTAAAACTGTTGTAGAAATAGCAATAAATAATATGAAGAATTTATATTGTATTATTCCTAGAATTGTAAGTACGCATTATTATTGTTAAAAAGAGAAAAACTTGTTGTCTTAGTAAGCTCGATCTATAATAACCAATCATAAGTGTTTAAAGTAATTGGCTTGTTAATTGATGTCAATAGTAATATTGTTATTTGTATAATATTGTATAAAGAACATTCTTTGATATTATAATAAAAGGGTATCGGAGGGTGATGTCCGAGTTACTCACTCTTTCACACTATTGTCATGTAAGCTAACGGTGTATAACAAGTCTTTAATTATTACTTTATTGTATTAGTTGTAGTTAAATTTTAATTTATCATACTTACTATACAAGTTATGTTAACTCTTTTTTTGTCTCGATCCAGACAAACCTCAACATTCAACAATTATGTTAAAGTTATGCTTGTAAATGTGATTATTTATTATTCGCAACATCAATGTACTACATTTTGGGCTTTTTTTTTATTCAAGTAAATCTTCTTTACGGAGGGTAAAAAAAATATTATTTTATCCTGGGTAGACAGTAAAAATTTAGTTTTTTAATATAATAGGAGGACCGCATTTTTGGCAGAGTGAACAGCTCAGTCAGAATAGGCGTAAAATAAGAATTTTCCTACATCTACTAGCACTGACCATTTCTTGGACATCATTTTTATCCCTTCCCATAAGAGCCCATGTAAAAATGATGTACCTAGTTTCTTTTCCGTTTGTTCTTTGTTAAAACTAACCACCGGCCTTCAAGGTTTTGTCCACTGAACATTTCTTTTTATTTCTTATTTCTTTCATTCCTTATAGGGTGACTAATTAAATTATATACTTTTCTTGAGTTTTTAACTTTTTTTAGAATATTATAAATTTCCCAATCAATTAAAAAAGATTATTCTCAAATGAAAAAGTCAATAAAATACAACACAAAACAAAAATTACGGACTACTTTTTTATTGTAAAATCAAAAATAATAATTAAATAACACAATTTATTGACAATGTAATGATTTAGATGTATTTAGAATGTTATTTATATTTGTAACTGCTGACGAGTTACTGAATACTCGGGTGGAATAAAGTTTTAAAAACAATTTTGTGTTTTATACTTTTATTTACTAAATTTTACAGACTTTTTTCAAGAAGGGTTAAGTAACGGTTAAATTTTAATTGACCTTAATGAAGATGTGGTTGTAGGTTTGGATGTTTAATTAATTTGAAACACTCAAATTAGAATACTATGATTTTAGATTAATTGCACAGTTAATAATTCTACTAATAAAATATCATCCTATGACATAGGATGATATTTTAATATTAGTATTCACACGTGAAAAATGGGATTAAATGTAACTGAAGTGATTTAGTTTCAGTGATTCCAAAATTTGCGATTTTACACTTATCCCCCTTTGCTTGAACACCACAGAATTATTAACTTTAACTTTAAGTTATTTTGACAAATAATAAAATATGTTTGTGAGTTGTCGTGGATGAAAGTGATGTTGTCTACTTGGCTGCCAGAAATGATCTCCTCGAACCAGTCGCTCTGAGGGGTACAGGATGACCTTTGGTGGGATTGAGAAAATTAGCTGTCAAAGCTAAACCGATATTAAGCTATTAGGTTTACAGTGGTGTTACAACAGCAATAATAATATATTATAGCATATAAAATGTATATAGTAACTTTACAGATTATTGTTCTTGAAGTTAGATGCTTATATTTTGCTTATTGTATAAACGTTTTTTTTTAAATTCTATAAATAAAGCCCTAGGTACCTACCTAAGTTAATAACTTTTAACACGAACACTTGAAATATTGTTATGATTGAGTTGTAGTATAGTTAAATAAGTATATGTACAGAAAAAGAAATACTTATATATTAGTGTATAATATTAGTTTTCATATAATGTAGTAAAAATGTTATTCATTTTTTTTTTAAATCGTATATGGCAAAAAAATACGTTAAAAACATTCTTTCGATATTGTTAAGGATTAATATTACTATTAAATTAGCTGTCTGGAACCTAAGGGGCTGCATGTGGACTACCGGTCAGCTGGTAGTAGTGTGTGCAAACTGCTAGACAAAATATATTATTACCACCCCATGCTATGAGTATGTAAAATAACTTTTTTTTCTCGCTTGTATTTATTTAAACGCATTTGCTTGAACACTCGTGTTCGATTGGTATTTTATTACAGACCGGTTCACCGAGCACGCCGCCGTTATCGACGACAGCATAATATGTTTAAGTGAAAGGGAACCTGAACCAAATGAAAGTAGAGTAAACGGTTTCTCCTTCTTCGTTCGAGAATCGCCCCTACTCCCAACGTCGGATAGCTCACTGCAATATAGTGTCTCTACGAAGAACGTGCCTGTCTTGAATCGCAGCGCCAGTCTGTCAGAACTGTTGGCTGCCTATACAATTCAGTTATTTCATCACATTCATATACAACATACACCACAACAATGGCTGGATAACACGAACCGTGTGTGCATTGTGTTTTACTTACGCCGAAAAAAAACATGTAACGCAATCATGTAGCCGGACATCACTGACCAGCACTGCAGGTGTGTATGTTTATTATTATATTAAAAAAAAACAAATGATCAAATAAAAAACATCGTTTAATTATTGTAATAACTATCGGATGGGTTTTCTTTCATGAAAAGTTTCACTCGAACGCATTAAGGATTTCGTTTTCATTTCGAGACGCGTTAAAGTCACTCGCCTGTGGTAGTTTACACACCTAACCGGCAACGAGCAATGGAGGAAATTATGTTAAATGGTATATAATTTAGTGGTCAACCGTCAATGTTTATTTTTTAACGTCATCTCTTCTAAAATATTCATAAAAATATCAACGTAAAAGTCCTGCAGAAAAGTAAAACAAATTTGCTTATTTAATTCACCACACGCTTAGGCTATATCGTTAATCTTATATTTTCGGTCGCTCGCTAAATTATTTGCTTTAGCTACTCAATTGTTTGTTGCGACGGTAAAAAAATAATATTATTAGCCCATTGCAATGTTTACTATGCTCGATTTAGAGTAAGTTAGGTTAATAATTAAAAAAGTCTATATACACGGTTTTGTAACTGTACACACTACAGAGTTCTGTACAAGTTCAAAATAAATTAACAAACAATCAACTATAAGTTATGTAAACTTATAATGTATGCCCGTTCATGACTCATATACTCGTGAGATATCTAAAATACAAATTTTAATATATTACTATATATGTTGTAGTCCGTGAGTCAATAAAGGAAAATTGCTGACACATATTAAATTCTATAATTATTGAAAAAATGAAATGCAAAAAATCCACTAAAAAGATATAATTGTTGGTTTTATTATTATTTATTACTATTGTAAAGTTAGTAGGTACTTAAGTTTTAAAAGTTTATATAAAAACATCTATTTTAGAATGGGTTAAAAACAAAAGTTCATGAAAAACTAAGATTACATTCATAGGCGCAATTTCAATTTTTAATTTGGGGGGCTGGACATTTTTTTTAAATATATATATAAATACATATATTTTTGTATTTCAAAATTGTATGCATAACCTATTTTTTGAGAGGGGGCTAAGCACACCCTAGCCCCCCCCCCCGTATTTGCGCCTATGATTACATTATAGAAAAACGTCAACAACTGTATAAACTCTTAAGGTATTTAGTTGATCACTTTAAAAAAGTCACTTTGTGTATGTACTGAATATTAAAGCATAGTTCATCAACCTATGAAATAAAAATATTGGTAATAACAATAAGTACTTCATTATAAATTACGATTTGGTACTATTGTTGTTTTATAATTTCTTTGTTAACTTCGACACTCGACACAATATCCATTTGTTGCAGTTTTCAAATTACAATTGGACAACATTTTTTTTTGTATCCATTTTTAAAAGTTTGCTTATTAAAAAAAATAAAAATACGTTTGATAGGTGAAAAAAAATATAATAATACTTTACCTAATATTCGGGATCCAAACTACAAAACTCCCACGTTAACAAGAAGAGTTTTCTAATTTAACAAATATATATATATATATATATGTATATTATTAATAACACATTAATACAAATAAAGGCTGGAAATGGGATCCTCTTTAATAAGTACTAACTTGACAATCGTCAAAATCGATTATTTTCCTTCCTTTTAACACCTGTAAATATTGAATTTCACTTTAGATATGACTTGGCACTTGGAAGCGGCCGTTTTGATATTGGTCATCGGTGCCGTCCACGGTGGCTACGAAGAGCCAGGGCCTAAGTACAGATGTCCGAAACCTGGGAGCGTCAAAGAGCAGTCGTTGCATCCTTGCCGTTGCGTGGGCGAGTCCGACAATGGATTGGCGTTGCATTGCGAAAACAGTAATTTGGCGACACTATCCGTCGGGCTGTCGAACGTGGCGTCGCTGAGCAACGAAGTCGTCTTGGATAACTTGACCATATCCTCGTGCAATATCGGTATTAAACAATCAAATATTATCTAATGTTAAAATATGAAATCGGCCGGTATTTTCATTTTTTACTCCGCGTCAATTGTCCTACAATTAGTCAGTGGCGGATCCAGGGGTTCTCCAAGGGGGGGGGGGCGAGTTTTCGTTTTTGTAGGTGTAATAAAATTACCTTTTTTGTTTTTTACTTTTTTAATTATTGTCTACAAAATATGTTACAATGTATTAATTATTTTGATTAGTTACTTTTTAATTAATCGTTATTAATTCAGTTTAATTTTGACCCAATAAACTTTCAAAGAAAATAGCTACAACAAGTTTGTTTAAATTCAAATACATACTTATAATTAAGTAAAGTACAATACTTAGATATTTTTAATATAAAATCAATGCATCTTTTTTTTTCTTTAGCAAATCTTTCAATAATATCATCTACATTTAAGGGGATTCCATACCTGCCGTTTTTTTCAGTCAAAACACATATTTTGTTGTCCATCGCACAGGCCGAACCAGTGATCCGATAAGTAATTTGGAAACAGATTTGGATTCGCCATGAAGTTTACTTAGCATCGGTCAGAGTACTTTTTAACATTTTTAATATTATCCCTTTCCGAATTTGAATTAAAAATTTAAAAAATAGTACACTGACCGATCTTAAGTAAACTTCATGATGAATTCAAATCTGTTTTCAGAGACGGAACAAAAAATGTACTATTATATTAACTAAAATGGCTTTTACTCATAGACAAAATTATTTAAATTAAAAATAATACATGAAGCTTATACAAATTAACAGGTAAATTAATTGACATTGTCGAAATTTATTACAACCACTTTTTCCTTGGGCCAAAACTCGGGCCAAGGGGGGAGGGCGATTGCCCCATTGCCACCCCTCAAATCCGCAACTGCAATTTGTTTTATGCAATGGCGCAAAAACCACTTTTTCGTGAGAGCACAACAAACATATTATTATAGTGCATAATATTATAAATATACAGTTATTGGATAGCGAGTGCGTGCGCACAGGTTGTAACTGTTTATCGCGGGTACTTCAAGTATACTAAGTACTATTATTTATTGTTTAAGGCCGTTTTTACGGTGATTTGTTTTACTCGACCGCCATCAATAGGCTGTTCATCTGGGATACGCCGGTAGTGGTGATGGACGACGATTTGTTCATCGGAATCAATCAGACTCTTGTCGAACTGCACATAGTGAATTCCAAATTGGCCGAATTCCCCGCCGTGCCGTTTAGAGTGAGTCGGTTAAACTTTACAACAATGTATTGGAGTGGATGGATATATTTTCACGTGGTGCCTATCGTATCTAGATACTTGGTAACTTGAAAGTACTAAACCTGGACAAACACGCTATATTCAATTTGCCGGCCAACATATTCGCTTCTAGTCAACTACCGGCTCGTCTGGAAAAATTGCACATAGCCAACGGAAAGCTGTCTTCTCTGTCACCCGACACGTTTGTCGCGTGCAAAAAGCTCAAGCATCTCGACCTCCGTGGCAACCAGTTGGAAACATTGCAAAAGAATCAGTTCAAAGGGCTGAGAGATCTCGACGTGTTGGATCTTTCCGACAACAGTATCGGTAAAGTCGATTCCTCGAATTTCGGCGACTTGACAAAATTGGTTACCATCAATTTGGCAAACAATTCGCTGCCGGCCGTCACTAGGTATTTTTAAATACTTTTACTCGATTTATTAGTTTAAATTGTAGGTTTTTGCGACGCTCGAGTTCAGTGATGTTCCCATCAAATTTGTTGAGGGTATACTCAGCACAATTTTAACAAAAAAGTGTTAAGGTGCTAAAAAAAAAAAGGTCTTCCATATGCTATTTCCAAATACATAAGTTCCAGAGTATGACCTTGGTGTAATAAAGGAATGAGTGTTTTAATGATAAAAAACAAATTTCTTATAACTTACAAAAACTATATAGATTTATATATATATATATGTTTTTTTTTTTTTTTTTTTGTAACATTTGTATTAAACTATATTATTTATGTACGGGACGGGTTATGCATCTGGTGTTGGATGATAATATTTGAAAACAAAATAATATAAAAATCACATATTATTATTAGCAAAAATCATAAATGGCCGGCCGTCGGCTACCGCACCGGTGTAAATATTAGTCTGCATTCACTCTAATAGAGATTTTATTTGTAATATAAATTAAATTGATTTATATTTTCTATAAAGAAATGAATCTACAAAAATAATAACTATTTTTTTTCGCAAATTAATTTAGACTTGAGAGTATACGCAGTATACCCATGTTTTTTTAAAAAAAATCTTGAGAGTATACGGCGTATATGGAGTATACCCAATGGGAACACCACTGCTCGAATTCTGCAGTGAATATAAATTATTATTATTATTGACACGACCGTGCGCTTTCCAGAGGAACGTTTGCTAGGAATACGTTACTGCGGTCGATGAACCTGAGCCATAACAAACTGACCAAGTTGGATTCGGAGTTGTTTCGAGGGTTGCGATTCCTTCGAAGGTTGTACCTCCACGACAACGAGATCGGCCAAATCGAACGGGGCACTTTCGCGTCCATGACCAGGATAGGAACTATAGATTTGGCCAGGAACCGAATTCGCGTTATCGACTACCAGATGTTCGCCGGTCAGAACTACATCGAAGTAAGGGTTCATTCTATAACGTTTTCCTCGCATTCTACATTGCCCACGTATATAATATAGATATGCGAGTGAACAAAAAAGAAGGTTTCTGAAAAGTTTTGACCTTACCCTCCTCCTCCCGCCACTCAATTACTAAGTTAAGAAAAAAAATATGTTTGGCCTATCCCAGGCCAATTTACTATTTAAATTTTAAAATATTAAAAAAAATTAGTTATTACACCGTTCCAAAGTATAACAGTATAAATCTATTGTTAAACCTTTTAAGTGAAAACAATTTTTTTATTTGTAAAGCAGTCCAGTTAAGAAAGCTAAACAAGTTTTAATAATTTATTAAATCTCATAATAAAAAAACCAAATATTATAAAATATTGGTTTGGGATTGGCCAAAATATATATATTTTTAAACTTTCTTTTATATTATAAAGAACAATTGACAATTAAGGAGATAAGAGCAAAACTTTTCAAAAAAAACTATTATTTTTAGACCACCCTAATATATAGCGCTGCGTGCAATGGCGTAGCCGGAAAATGGTCAAGGCAACAAGGGGGTTTAAAACTCCTTCCTGGTTACGGCCCAGATCGCTCGACTATTGGCGTTTATTTATTTAGTTTGCTTTCATATATTTGTTTAATATCTTTTATATAGATTATCGACGTGTCTGAAAATCAGATAACTAAAATCGAAAAGTTGTCGTTCAAAAATCTGTATTTGGTTCACATAAACCTGTCGAAAAACAACATCACGACTATCGAAAGCGGAGCGTTCGAGAATTGCGCCAACATCACTGTGCTGGACATGTCTTACAATTTGATTAGCGAGATACCAAAAACGGCGTTTGACAACATAACCTACGCCACGGTGTTGCAGCTTTCCTACAATCAACTGACGGACATGTCCCAGGCGAGTAGTTTTGGTCTTAGACGTACAAAATATGGCTCCAATTTACATAGGTTATAACTTGTAGATTGGGGGTGCTATAGTTTTGTTGAGGCCTCGGCTTTAATAAACCTTGGATCTTGTGCACTCTGGACGACGGTTACCTATATCTCAGTAAGCAATGTGTCGTGTTATAACAACAGGTGCCGATCGGCAACATGGCGGGCATTAAAGTGCTGAACATTACACATAACAACATCACAGTAATTCCCAAAGGAACGTTCCCGAAGCTCTTCGAACTGCACACGCTGGACTTCAGCCACAACGCGATTAGAACCATTAGTCCCACCGTGTTCCAGCCGCTGCTCAGTCTGCGCTCCGTCAACCTGAGCCACAACGCTTTAGAAGACCTCAAGTCCAGCACTTTCGGGACCCTGCCCACTTTGCTCGAGCTGTTTTTGAGCTGGAACTCGCTGAGGAAAATCAACGCGGCCACGTTCATCAAGATGTCGTCGTTGAGTCACCTGGACCTAAGGCACAACGATATCGCTCAGATACCCACAATACCGATATCGCTGTCCAGCATCACGATGAGCCACAACTCCATTTCCAACGTATCGCCGGACCGCGCTTGGCCGTCGATGAACGCCTTGCTGTCACTCGACCTGAGCCACAACTCTTTGGGCGACAGTCTCAACGCCGATTCGTTTTCCAAACTGTTGTCGCTGCAGAGGTTGATACTGGATTACAACGCGATCACTACACCCCCGAGCGCCGCTTTGTCTCCACTAGTATCCTCCAGACACCTGTCGATGAGAGTGAGTAGTTTTTATTCGTCCTATGGTATAGTAGACCCGTTACACAGTATCAATTACCCGTGTGGCTTACCGTTTACTGTAGTTAGATACACGCTGTCTCTCATGACTTCAAACAATATCCCAAGAGTCGTAGCTATTTTTTTTTTAAGTAATAATATACCTCTGCTTTCTCTTCCGTCTCTTTCTGACCCGGGGACGAGTGTCGCAATTAAAGAGCATGACTAAGCATCGTCAGAAAAAAAAAATTGCTAATTACACTCGTTTTCCTATAGGGTTTAACCCCCCCCCCTCCCCTTTCCTAATCTATATAGGTAATTGCGCTACTATCAAAGGCATAAGCCTCGGTGTCGGATAGTTAAAAATTAAAACGAATTGTGAGCAGCTGACAACTTAATAAATTAACGAGCTAGAATTTATTATTTTTTTAGGGCAATGACATTAACCATCTTGATTCAAAAGCTTTCGGCGTACTGCCTGTAGTGTTCTACTTAGATTTGTCGTTGAATAATATTTCTCAAATAGAGCCCAACGCGTTTAATGGACTGTTGCAACTTCAACTGTTGAATCTGACTGGCAACGATTTGACTGATATACCGAATGGTGCTTTTAGAGGTACTAATAAATACAAAATAATAATTAATTCAACTATTGGTACACTGAAACAATTGCATGTCATTTCAAATTCGTTTCAGGCTTAGTATCCCTAAACACGCTGGACTTGTCACACAACCAATTAAGTTCTCTGGACAACAAGACCAACAGTTTGCTAGAAGATTGTCTTTCCTTGAAACACGTGAGTATCCTAACTCAGCAGACAAGTACCTATAATAGCTGCCGGTCGGTGAATACCAGTGTAATGAAAGGAATGTTTTATTCATATTCCAGTTGAATCTTAGTCACAATCACTTTTCGTTTTTCACGAAAAAATCGTTTCCCAGCCACCAGTACACGCCCAGTTCCTTGGAAACGATTGACATAAGCTACAATGAAATACCTGTAGTGACCAAGGACTTAATTGTTGGCACCAACAAAGTAACGTACTTGAATTTAAGTCACAATTCGATCGATGAAATTAGGCCAGGTAAATGATGCTTCATTTAAAGTAAACCCTATGATATGTTTAAGATCTAAGAAGTATATTTTTTTTTATAATAACCGAGCATAAAATAAATTTTACCTAAATCGTATGGACTAAAATATGTCAGATTTATTCAATTGCTTCTTTTTGTCTGTTTTTAACATGATAGTTTTTGTGCTATAATATTTTTTTAAATAATACTATTTGTAATGCAAACATTTTAATCGTTAATCATTTATATATATATATTTTTATAACTATAGTTTTTTTTAGCTTAAAAACGACATATAAGACAGATTTTGTCAGCCAAACTTACTTTTAATTTTATAAGCAACAGTCTTATGCATCTCTTAATTATTTATTTAAAATATTTTTTTTCCTAATTCGCATTAATATTTATTAACTGTTGTGCTCTAATATTTCTTCTAATAAAATCACTTGAGTATAAAAAAATGTTATATATAATTTATGCATTTTCAGGTGTACTGGGAAATTTGACTTCATTGAAAACGTTTGATTTGTCATTTAATAGTTTGGGAATGATGAACAATTTAGGAAATATGCCCGCAAACTTGTCAACTCTTTTGTTGTCTAATAACAAACTAAAAAAGTTACCTAAAGAGATATTGAACGTAGTGCCAAAGCTGATTGAGTTTGAAGCAGAAAACAATTTAATCACCAGCTTACCACCGGAAATAGCCAAAGTTGCAGGAAAAGGACCCAATATTTCGGTCAAAGGTACAGAAATCTGTATTCTGTATAATATTATTATATAGTATTTAAAAAACAAGTGTATTCTCATATTCTTGGTAGTAGAACATAATGTTCATTATTGTTTTTACAATATGTGTATTCATTCAATTAGTTTGGCTTTTAGCCACAGTGTAATATATTACGTTGGATTTTAGGTAATCCGATTGAATGTGACTGTGCACTTATACCCATCAAAAGAATGTTAAACTCTAAGCTGACCGTCGATCCGTATTGGTCTCATCTCACATGTATACAGTTATTGTCTTCGGAAGTATCGTATGTTAAAAATTTGAACGAAAACCAATTAATCTGCGATGTGCCCATCGATAGCGATGACGGTGCGTTCTCCGTTACTCCAGACGTTAAATTCAGGAGTTTGAAAAAGTAAATATTGCATCCCATTAAACATTGTTAATTGTAATAGTCTTGATTTTTAATTTTTAAATAGGGCCGGTAACAAATATTTAAAGATTGATTGGCTGGTACTTCAAAATAAAGAGGATATTGCCGACTTTGTGATATTTAGTGGCGGCACCAAAGTAGAAGAACGAAGCTATTCGAAACAAGTGCCGTACAACTTCAGATCACAAACAATCCGTCCTACTTTTGTAAAAGTAATGTCAATTTTATTGTACACTTTATTCAGTTATTACCTAATTGATGTATGTTTTAGACCTCGACAAAGTTATGTATACTGGCTAGAAACAGTTTCGGTCAGGAGAGACAAATAAAAAAATCCCAGTGTGTGGATATTGGCAATTTAGGTCCATGGAATCTAAGTAGTGCAACCAACAACGTATTGCATAGCTTGTATTTTGTTGTTAGCTTTTTGCTCACGTTTAATAACATTTTATTGAATTATTAATCGTTGTATACATTGGTAGTGTTTTTTTTTTAAATTTAAATTATATATATTCTGTTCCATTTATGTACACTACCTTAGTTACCATTATGATTTTTGTACAATATAAATGTTTATAAAATGTTTTGTTAAATACTGAACGTTGTGACTTTGAAAGAGTCTACTCTTTCAATTTACCAGGCTCCTTTAGTACACTTATAATATAAACAAATTGATGTTGAATTATGTCTATTTATCATCACACAAAGTTTGAAAGGGAAACCAATTAAAATAAATCACATTTTAAGCGCAAAAATATAAAGGTATATTAAAAATGAAAAACATATTATATTATGCTTTTAATTTGGGCTTATTTTATGTCTATCTTCAGAGACTAGCTTTGTTGACGATCGCTTTCACCAATATCTAAAAACTACAAGTTTTTAATAAAAACAACAAGGATATCATTGAAAAATCTGTAAATAATAATTTTTTGATCAACAATCTATGAACAATTTATCAACAAATATTAAATCTTTAAGTAAATATTCATTTTAAAATGAAGAGAAAATTGTTAGGTAGAATAAAAAAAAAAAAAAATTATTAAGCAAATGTTATTTATATTCTACACATTGCTTCACACAAATAGAATTCAACAAATTCATTTTAACTGCTATTCAAAATTCTTATACTTATATAAATGAATGTATTATGTTGAACGAATAATAGTTCCTGAAACATAAAATAAAATATACTAATTAATATTTATAGGCAAGTACAACATATCAAAGTATAAGAAAATGTTCAAAATAACAAGTGTTTACAGGTTAAAATCTTCAGAAATTTTAACGAACAAAATCTTTCTTAACATTTAAAATAAAAAACCACCAGAACACCAGAGTATTCTTCCCAAAAAACCTGTTCCAGGCTAAACATTTGTTGAAGGAGAAAACTGTTAATGATTTAAAGATAATATTTACTTAACTATCTTTGAGATAACTTGCAAAATTTAAGGGCAATCTGTGTAGAATTTGTTCAGTTATTGCTAATTGGCAAGATATTATTTAAACAAAAAAATACATTTTTATTTTACAAAAGAAAAAGGTTTAAATGATGTAAAACATTTTGAAATTATCATTGATTATTTTTATAAAACTGATAACAGAATATTATTTGTTATAATGTATAATATTAGTAATACCCATATAAAAAGAACTTTTTTTTAAATTGTTAAAAAATTCATAACTATAATATACATACTATTTCATTGAGGTAGATGAATGAATTAACCGCTCCTCTTCTTGATGTATCTCACCATCCAGAATGGAAGGCCAAACCCGGAACTAAAGAACAGTGCAAAGTAAACAGTGAACCTGTACTTGTTGTAGACATCAAATGGCATATTCTAAAATAAAAAACAAAAATTTACTTTTTATGAACGCTAAAAAACGTTACAAAACAGTTTTTTTTTAGGTTGGTGTGTTTTAATGTTAGTAGTGATAGATAAAACTAAAGGTGCTGTCCCTCATAGTATAGTAATGTCCCTTAAAGAGAGGATATAATATAATATATACTATATAGATAAAAAACTAGGTATTATTAAAACAATTACTTTTTAATGAAAAGTTATGATTTATAAATGAAAAAAACTTAATCACATTTCCATATCAGAAGTTGTAGTTTTCTATTTTTTAATTATAAACACAGATTTGATAAAAATATAAAATATCTTTTATCTAATCTATGTTATAAATATGAAGATCTTGTAATGTGTGATTATATATATGTCTTAACAAAATGTTAGAACTCTAGTGTAAATGTCATAAAACTGTCATTTCATATATTATGCACATATAGTTAGCTAAATTAAAGGGTTAACATTTGTTTAATATAATGAACAGTATTAGGTAAAAATGATTTATTATTAGGTTTTATTTATATATATATGTTACATTATGTATGTACATAAAAAGTTATGTATAAAATATAATCTTAAGTTAGAGCTAAAAATATATCTAACTTGGGTTTACATTTTATACATAACTATTTATGACCAATCTACCTAAATAGTACCATAAGTACTATTAACCTTCTGGTGGACGCGCTTTTTTTGTTCTCATAAGAATACAATGGGAAAACAGCACTCAATGCTGCCACGCGCCCGCCGAAGGGTTAAATTAATAATAATATATAATAATTGTAAGTTAAGTATTTTCAATTAACAGAATTTAGTTAGGTAGATGACATAGAATTTTTTACATACAGATAAAACTATGTACATAAATAGTTGAAACATAATATTATTACGTTGTTCGGCTCAATTAAAAAATTAAGTAGTTTGTTATAATTATTTAGCTTAGCGTAATCAAAAAATATACTCGGGTCAGGCTTAAGATTGGGGCGAGGAAAACCTGTGTTAGGTGGCACAATTTATAAGTTGGAATTTATATAAGTAACAACATAAATAAACAGACCATGTCATACTTTGGTAGCTCATTTTTCAATGCTTATCTATATTAACCGTATATTATACTAAGATCATTTCGTAATTATATTTCTTTTGATCAAAATATGTATATTTAATCTTTTGTGCACATATTATTAGTATAGGCGGCGTAAAATCGGCTCTTCCAGAGTGTAAGATTGTAATTTGCCCCGGAGTGCAAATATTGTAAGTGTGCGCTAATTATTAAAGTAAAATAAATGTAAATTACTCAGATACTTCAGTGCTTAGGTCTTATATTAACTGAACATTTTGAGATTGCTATAGCTAATTATTAAACATTTTGTCGTGACGAAATTCGAGAGCGATTATGAGCGGTCACGTTTTTTATTTTACTTACACGGCCAGGGCCCTCGTATCCGTGTCTCCTAACGGCGGTAGTAGAGAATTGTCTTAAAGCCTGTACAGCTCTTGAGGTCAACATATTGGAATCTTTCTTTTTTTAATCGACTTGGCAATCAATTGAAAATATTTAAAATGCCTAAAGGGCGTCTTGTACTCGTTCAGCGTTCTAAATTTAGTTCACTCTTAACTATAAGAACATCAAAATGAATGCATCAAGGGTGACGCTAAGCCACCACAAGGTTATCAGCTACCACTTGGGTTAACAGCTGGTGATAACGTTACGCGCATTGGAGACGCACACCAGCGGCAGCTCTACAACCCAAAACATTTATTATGCCCATGGAAAGTAATATTGTACCTCCACAGACTGTACTAATTCATTTTCAATAATAATATTATGACCGAACAATAATGTCACAAAATACATTCAATTATATTATAAAATAAACCAATTATTATTTATTTTACTTGCGATGATTGATCACTGATGCCGTTCACCGTCGGGTGATCACTAAAATAAAAGAAAAAGTACGTATATTATTATTTTACTATATCGATAAAATTATGTAAATGTTTCAACACTAGTATTCGTTATAATAATATTGTCTGTGATATTAACTCGGTATTCAATATAAAAAGAGGCAAGTGATTAATTTATGGTCACAAGTCATAATAATTTATATTATTATAGTAATAATGTCGTGTGGACTTATTGACCGGGATTATAGCTAACTTGGTCCTCACCGGTCGGTCTATTGGTGTGGTTTGACGCTAAAAAACCCGGGTGGTCCCATCCGGGATCAAGCGGTACCGGTCGCCGCTTAACCTCAGGCGCCTTGCGGCAGCTGCGGTATCCGCTGCGCCACACCGTACCCGTATTATTATAGTTTTCAAGCGAGTGTCGATATAGCTGGGAGTCGGTTCGGGAGCTCGAAAAGTTAACCATTTTTCTAGCCTGGAGGTCATGGAATAGAAACGTAGTATACCATTACCACGGTAACGGGTAACCATGGGTAAAGCGGTTCGCCGCTAGTCGTCAGCTGAGCTGAACGCTATCAGATTTCAGAATTTGACAATCTGATAACGAAAACAAATTTACTTACATACTGAAGTTGTTAAAAAAAAAAAAAATTGACAAAATTAAACATTTGCTTCTTAATAAGTTTGTTTATTTTCATTGGGGAGTAATCGTGCTTACTTTATATGGACAAACAAACATATTATACATTTTGATTTGGCTCCTTAAAGCCTGTAGGATGAAACTTTCAATACAATTCATAATGAAAATAGTTATTAATTTGTATTTTAACCCTAAGAATAATATTAATATTTCTCTTTAGGTCGCAGACACGGAAAAGCTCGGATCTAGAGATTCAGTATTCAATACTATGCCAGAAATGGTGTCATGGCCTATGATAGGTACTATTACATATTGATTTAAAACTTAATATTAAATTAAATTTATTTTTGGAAATTCATATTGATAGGATACAACGATAAGGAACCTAACCTATGTGTCCTTTATTTATAGCTAGCCTGGGACTGGGTAGAGTAGTTTTACCTCAATATAAAATGATTAAAAGATAAAATTGACATACCCTTGATTTTGCTTTAGATTTATTCAATATTGACAAATTCATGTTTTTTTTTAATGGTCTCTTTCATGCACATTACATTAAATTATAGTGAGTATCATTAATTAGGATGGTTGCGTTTTTACTTTATAATTAACATGGTATAGATTGCATGTATTGTATCATCTCTTTCAATATCAGCTCTTCATTGTAATTTTCGGACTGCACTGTTATGTTTTTGACTACTTCAGCATACAATACATCCCAGTCGTCTGAATTTAAATCCTATAATGTAAGTGATAAATTTTCTTGTTTAAAAATTACCAAAGAAAATAATTAAAATAACAGAATTAAAATTTTAAATTTAAATTTCTATAAAGCTAGTCGATAAATTGTTATTTAAAAGTAATCATGTGATTGAAATGAGTCACTTTTTAAGAAAGGCCTTTAAGTAAAAAAGTAGAAAAATGAATGACATAAATTACAGTTACACATCTTTAACTCAATACCAGTCGTGATAAATTTCATCACTTCTTGAAATACGCATAGGTGAGCCTGACAATCTTGGTATGATTTTATAAATATTAAATTTTGGGTCATTTGTTTATTCAGATTATTTACTCAATTAGTCTGTCAAAAATATACTGACATGCACATTTTTTTCAAAAACATTAGCGCCGTTTTCAACTTTATCACAAATGGTCACTTCTCCGGGGTTTATGGCATTATTTTGCTGATCACTTGGTTTGACTTCAAATTTACTTGTTAAACTCTGTGAACATTGCACCGTATCATCGTCGTCCCTATTTAACTTTTCCTGCAGTATTCCTGATTCCGGCTCATTATATGAAATGTCAAGTCCCTCATCTGCGAATATATTCGTCACATTAGTGGACGGCTATTATGCGTTTATGCGTTTATTGACATAACCTTTGGCGAACCACCATTTGTATAAAACCCACACGACAATAAAAATGAAAATGAGTGTATCGACAAAACTCAACATTTCTCATAGTCAATTAGGAAAACAATAAATATTATTGTAAAAAAATTAAAACTATAATCGCTTAGGAACCATAATATAATTTTTATTAAAAAAAAAAAAAAAACAAATACAATTAATAACTTAATCATAGTTATGATAAAATACATATTATTTTGTTTTTATAAAGGTAGGTATAAATATATTAAAATAATATTCGCTGAAGAATAAAAAATAATCGGGCCTGATGTGTTTGCCAAACATTTTTCAGTTGTCCTCATTTATTTGTGCTTTCGAAAACATTTCGTCAAGAACTGTGAAATGGTCATGTAGAGATGATTTTGGACTTTGGTCAAAGCATGTACATTGTCTATGTATACCTGCAATTTTATTGAATAACAACTATAGTAACAACAATATTTTTTTTATACATGTCATAATAGTTTTCAAACTGGCTGGGGCTTGGGAGCCATATAATCAGATTCCAGGGTGTACAATCCCACCTATGCCTTCAGAAATTAGTATGACTATAAGTGATATAATCACTTTCAAATAAACGTTTCCATACTAATCATTAAATAGTAAAAGATATTTGATATAAATATAAACTATTTTATAGACAGTAAACGAGTTACTAGATTTTTAGGATTTCTCGATAAAAATATAGGAGGACTATAATTTTTAAATTTTTTTCTAAAAAAAATAGTAGCATGTGATATTTCAATCCGTGAAAGTTTCAACTCATTCATAGTAGCATGTTTTTTATACATTTTTAAAGTTGAAGAATTCTACTCAATAATTTGACTGGCAGGTAAATTTGTGATTTTGGAAAATAGTTTAAAAAATGTGTAACATAATAAACTACAAAATTGTAATTATTTCAAAAAAATAAGGCGTCTTTTGATAAATAAATCGCTCTATACTAAATATCAACAAAAATCGTACCAATTAAATAAATATCAACAGGTGGCAACTTTAAATTATATTAAAATAACTATTGTTAAGAATACCTATTTACTCGTAGTTAAAAAATAAAGATTTACTAATGTAATTTTGAATTGTTTTGTAAAAAATAAATTTGTTTAGATTCGTGTTATTAGAAATTTCACTTAACCAAAAAAGTACGAACGCAGTTCTTAAAGTTAAAAAAAAAAAGTACGTAACGTATGTATGCCATTAACTTGACTTAAGAATAATCTATTGAAAATGTTGACTTGACTAGTCGATGGGATAGTTTATGTAGTTGTGAAACAACCAACAAACATGAAAAATAAATATAATTGATCATCATGTATTTTTGTCAAATAATTTATTATCACAATTGAAAATAACACTATTAACTTTATAAAAACTATTGTATTAGCAATCGTGCTTATAATTTTTTTATGGTCGAGTTTTTCACTAAGCTTAAACTCAAAAAGGTACATTTGTAAGAAAGGATTTATAATATTTTATTGGGATTTGACTGCACATCAGTAGTACTAACTCTAAAAAATCCTCATGAAAATTTGAAGTTGAAAAATGTGTATATTTGTTTTTTTATAAATTTCAAATGGGAAGGGATAGGTTAAGTGTAATGTTTATCCATGTAAAACCAATATTTTCTCAGATTCGATAAGAAATAATTTTTTACTCACGTGTTGCTGGAAAAGTATACCGTTGTGCTGTAATTCGCTGGACAACATGGCAGTGTTCTGGAAGTGTACATTATCGTCCAGAGTGCCATGAATGAGCATGTAGTCTTTGCCTTTCATATTTTTCGCATTATATATCAAGCTGGAATTTCTGTAACCCTCGAAATTGTCCTCAAACAACCCCATAAACCTTTCTGTGTAAATCGTGTCTGTAAGAAAAACCATCAAGTGTATGTTTTTTTAGAAGTCCTCGTGTTATAACAGCAACAGCGTTAATTTATAGAAAAAGTTTGCTTGTTGTAACGAACATTTCGATTTATTTTGATATGAATTGAAAGCAAATAAATAAAAAAAAAAACGCAGAAAATCTGGTCACAAAACATAAATGCAAATATCGTACATCATTCTTGTTTGACCTTTAAAAGCTTATCTAAATTATCTTTCTGGGATCCGGTCCCAGAAGGATAATTTAGATTATGCTCCCCAAAGTTGATAAAAGTCGTTATTCTTTTTTTGGCAAATTCATTTTACACCCAAAATTCCGTCAAAACATGATCGGAAACCTAATTATTATAGTATTCCAATGACACCAAAAGACACTCCCCCTCCACTCGGTTTGGTCCACTAAAAAACGTCTACAAATGAAAGCTCTTATGGTAATAGTACGAGGGGCTCAGACCTCCGGCCTTTCTCAATATTGATTATTTAGATTATTTTTGTGTATGTAAATTTATTTTTTTAACAACGTGAACAAAACAAATCAACCAAAGTTTATATCATGTATAGTTGACGCAAGTAAATATACACCTACAATGCAATCATGTTTTACTAAACAAAAGTTATTAATTCTAATTACTAAGTTAATTATTTTTCAATATTTTATATCGCACCGTAATACATCCAATCTGTAACCGGAGCAACGGATAATCCGCATTTAAAAATGTTTTCTTCGTCTTTGGCCAAAGTCATTCCTGCCACATAACCGCCATAACTCCATCCCCAAATAGCAGTCCTCGATTTGTCTATGTAAGGCAAGTTATTTTGAAGATATCTAACAGATAATTAAAGATTTTAAATAAGATATTATATATGCAATTAATTAGGCTTTGTTTTAACAAAATTACAGTACTCACAACTATTTATTAACTATTATGTTATTTATAAACAATAAAAAATTCTACATTAGTGAATAAGCACAAAAAAGTAAGAAATAAAAGCTCAAAAGTAACTATCTTGTAGGGATTAAAAACGTTACGAAATTAACATTATTTGTTGTATTTATCAAGAATAAATGTTAATATTAATGATAAACAGTGTAATAGATTTGTAAAAATAAAATAATCATTTTAAAATTAAGTTGTGTTTTTTGGAACAATATAAAATATTGTTCCTGGAACAGAACGTTCAGTTATATCGTTCCAGAAGCCATCACTTAATTTTAAAATTGTTTTAATTGATTTTTTTTACAAGTTTGAATCCAGTAGGTTATCGGAATATCGTACTATTAATAATTTATATCAACATTTGTTGTAGACGAACAAATAATGTAAACTTTGTATTAGTAACGTTTTCAATCCCTGCTTCTTGCTTAGTACGATGTGTGTTTTGACTATTTATAATGATAATACATTATTTATTTATTACCTATTAATTCGATAAAACTAGCATTAATTTGTAATTATGACTTATTAGTTAGTGCATGTTTTTATTTAGGAGCACTATGTAAGTCGTTTTTAAGAAAAAACAATAGGTAATACAATATTAATATGTTGTACAATTACTTAGCGACAATAATTTGATCTTGTATTTCACCCGTCCCAAAGTGCTTGTAGTTTGCGAATAAAATCCTGTCACCTGTTCGCCCAGATCCGCGACCGTCTATCTCTGCTATGATAAAATCATGATGAACACTATAATATGTGTTTGAGTCAAATACGAATTTGCTCAGCGCCAAGTTCGAATCTGGTCCACCGTACCTGCAACGCAAATGTATTATTGTTTTAGCTTCGATGCGTACAGTACACACTGTAACATTTTAAATTTTGGACCAATTATTCTTTTGAGTAGCAACTCTTCAAATCAAAAATGTCATCTAGTTGATACTTTGGGGGAGTAAAAGTTGAATAAGTTTACTTCTTCACTGTTAAAGTTTGAAAAAAAGCCATACGAGTTTTAAAGTTTGAACTTTCACTGGTTATAATTTCGAGAAAGCAATTTTATCACTTTTATTAATAATAATTCCTGTAGACCTGCGACCTCTTCGTCTCCTCCATGTTTTGATTCCTTTATGTCTTGACCCTACTGTACTAGTCCTCTCGGATAAAATCACTTTCAAATGCTAATTGAAAGCTAATTAGTTGTTTGCTAATTGCAAACGCTTTGATGCTAATTTTTTTAACGCTGAACATCGCTTTAATTATTTTTTACTATGCTGGTTTATACTGTGCTTGATTTGAACTTTACTGGTATGAAAATACCAACTATTGATTCGCATCGAAGCATTTATTTGAAAGTGATTTTATAACTCTCAGTTGTAATAATTTCTGTAAACCTGTGACCTCCCCGTCCCCACATGCCCCGACCCCACTGTGCTGGTTTTTTTTAACGGATTTAAAAGTAATCAATAATAATGTTATCGAAATCAGGTTACACCCAGATCAACCATACGCGTTTGGTGATTGCGCCTGTATAAACAGACTATCTGAACTAAATAATAGCAAAAGTTTAAGGAAATAGCTATTTGAATTTTGTAAGTGACTTAACAGGACTCATCGGGTGGTTGTACTTACACGTGTACCAATAACGGGTACGTTTTGTCAGGAGACATTTGAAGAGCTGGCGGTAGTCTTAGCCTAACTCGAGCTTCAAAGCCGTCTGTCAGAGGGACCGTCTTGAAAATCACTTGGGGTAAGGTGGTGTCGCGCAATTTCCGTTTCAATTCGTTATTTTCGTCCCATTTCATCGCGTGTTCGCCATTCTTCAAAAATAACATTAATTAGAGTAATTATATAAAAAAAATAGAGCGTTGTCATTATAAAAATGTAAAAGATAACCAAAGCTATTTGTTTGATCCGGTTTTGGCTTGGGAAATTTGATTTCATTTGTAAGCATTTGGCTTTTAGAATATTTACTAAATTACAGAAGAAAAAAATGCTTTCAAAGTTTACACTTATTAAGGAGGAGTGACCAGTTTCAAATCAAACCACGATGAGTTCAAAAATTCCATTTGGTTGCTTGACTACGTGGTAAGATATAGTATATTTTTTAAATAATAAAGAAAAAAAAAGATTAGGTAACACCTAGAGCAGCAAAATGGGTTCAAATTTTTTTGAGTAAATAAATAGCTTTTAGAATTTTCGGGTCTGAAAACAATTTTCGTTTTCTGGTTTCGGGTTTATGATGTGAACTCATTTTCTATTTTAGTTTTGTGTCTAGTTGTACCTGGTTTCATACCTACATATTTTTGAATTCCCGAAGTAATACCAAAAAAGTTCGCTTCTTTTGTATTTGTTCTTTAACAATTAAGTATAATAGAGTTGATAAAAAAGAGTTGAGTTTACGGTTAATTTTATGTAATAGTTATGTTTCTTTAAACTGCTGTCTTTAAAAACTTGTTATTGTGTTATATAATATTATAAATTGTTATTTTGAGTTTATCAAGTTCTAGCTTTTAAGTACATAATTTTTCAATTCAAATTAAATGTGTTTCAACTGTTATAGATGTACGATGGGTTGTGCAATTGCACGTATATCTTAGGCCATACAATACATGCAAAGGATTAATCGTAGTAGAAACAAAAAATGAATGGTCAAACAATTTGTAAACGTTAAAATTTTACAAAATATAATTACTATTTTCTTAATGTTGACTTCCGGAATATCAGGTCCTGCGCATGTATGAGCGTAATAAGTACTATCTTTGCTTATTGCCGCAAGATTGTACGTGCATGCTGTGTGGCACGTCAAACACTTTGGAATACTATTCGGTTTAACCTTTACTCGGTACATGTACTGTTCCTCTGGTTTGTTTTCTAAGGTCGCTAAATAATATCTATATGATACACAGACAGAAAAAAACTATCAACGTTGACTGTCAATACTATGAACATTTCAAGATCATTGGTCATATGTATTTGACGTTACACGTAACGAAAATAATTTAAATGCAAACAACATTAAAGCTATATTAACTGCGGGTAAGATTGCGAAATTTGAAAACTGTATTCGAATTCATCACGAAACGCGTCTGAGCTAACTGAGTAAAATTAAAAACATTTTTTTTTTTATATCATTCTATACAATAATAATGGTAATACTGTACATATAATTCGAAGCAGCGTCCCATTTGATGAGCTCCACGACGGCGAACTGGCCACTGGTCAACGGCCACATTTTACCGTCTTGATCAATTACACAAACGTGATGGTAATTATCACCGTCCGCCTGGGTAGTCGGGTTTATAACAGCCACTTGGTGTTCTGGACCGATAAGAGTGGATTCTTCTAACCTCAGCCAACCGTTAGGTTCACGAAATTCGGTTATCTAAGTGTATAAACGTATTCGGTAATAAAATGATTATGTTCACTAAGTCAACAAAACAAAAACGTTGAAACACTATGTTATTTAAATTAATAAGTCATATGAAAAAAAAGCTAATCCGTAGACCATACCAAGTGTAACATTATTGGAAGGACACTCTGCAGGTACATCATTTGGTAACCTAACTTTGTGTTTTCTTTACATACTCACATGTTCTATTTCGACAGTGTCGTTTATAACGTAACGGACTAGTCGGGCCTCGTTTTGAATTCGGTTCATCCATAGAGCAAACAGAGTTGAATCATCAGACCAGAATACGTTTTTCAATATGACTTCGTTACTGTAGAACAATAAAAACTAAAAAAAAAACTGCTATACCTATTATGAGGCATACGCGTAGTAGCATGATGCATTTCTCTGGAGGGGGAGGAGCTATAGCTCTTATACAAATTTTAAACTTACAAACTTGTAGGAAAAACTCTCCCCCACACCTGGCCCGTGTCCAAACCAGCACGTCAAATTTTTTATGTATCTTTATAAAAACCACATTAGTTCAAACGTATGCACCAAAAAAAAATTCATATTTTGTGCATATACATTACATAAGACTGTTATTTATGGTTTTTGACGTCTCGAAATTTTCCAAAAACATCGCATAACCCCCTCTCCCTTCTCAGAAAATGTATAATGCATATATAACACGAGTTAAATTATAAAACTGTCCCTATGTCTTACACTTTAGTTACCTAACAAAATAGTGTATAATATTCCATATACAAAAAAATATATATACAGGGTGATTCTTTTATCATGTGACTTTTTCTTATGGGGGTACGTTAAGTCAAGAAAAAGTTCCAGGGGTTAGATCACAACACCGTGGTCGAAATCAGCGAACGCGTCATCCGAAATTTCATGGACGTTGAATTTATGGCCTGTAGGGCGAGCAAAGGCGGTCATATGCCCGATGTTATGTTCCACACATAAACCTCAGGACCTCCTGAACACAATGGTATGTGTTATTTTTTTTTTTGGACAAATATTAAAAAAGTTATAGAATTTTCAAAATGTGGCTGCTTTCTGGAACACCCTTTATAAAACCTACTGTATACTCACATCGAGGTATCAGTAATGATAACTATCCACAAAATTATATTTTGCCATAAACGTTGATATTTTAAACAACAGCGCTACCATTAAAGCATTGCTTATGAAACAGTTTTTGTTACAACGGTAACTGTTAACTCACCTAATAACTGAACAACGTTGTCGACAAAATTTAATTTCGTGGTAGTTATTACCAAAACCTTTTCTTAATTCTTTTACACAGTAGGGATGATATCGTTTTCTATTTTCATCAGATAAGTAACGTACGTGAAATTCGATGGCGGCTGTATTTGCTTTGGAGGTAGATCGTTTATAACGTCTAATGGTGACACGAATAGTTCCACTACCGGATTGGGTGTACCCACCTGTTCAGATATCAATTTTACGTTACTGAGATTATATTTTGTTTAACTATGAATGTTTTCCAATTAAATCAATTATTATTATACCTTAGGATAATGATAGCTGATTATGGTGCTGTATTGATCAAATAACGTGTCCGGTACGCCGTACATAGGTATATGCATTTTTTTCACTAGAGTATCGTTGAATGTCGCGTATGCCAAACGGCTTCCTGACGTGGACATCCAAAGAGCGCTGTTAGATGAGAATACTTCTTCTGTAACACAACAAAACTTACATTTTATCTGACACTCTTCTAGAACTTTTTCTTTCTGGTGAATAACTTAGTATTTAGTGACTAACATCTATTAATAATTACTAAATAGCCTGGAAAGTAGGGTCGGGATATAGTGCGGGGTGGATTAAACTGCAACGGGGGAGGTCACAGGCTTATAGGAATTTTTTTAACTGAAAGTGGTAAAATCACTCTCAAGTAAACGATTTGTTACATAACTGTACTCTGTAGATACATGTATAAAAACATTGTCTATAATGTAATTAAAATTGTTATTTTAGTATTAGGGTGGATATAATTAGGGTTTTTCGTCTATCTATAATAATTTGTCGTCGTAGATAATTTGGTTGTAGTAAATGGTTGGAAATATTCTGGTTGGATCTACTATAATATGGTTGCGCCAACTACATTATTTTAGTTAGTAATACCAAACTAGTTTAGTTGTTGGGTTAACTATACTTTTTTTGTTAAATATGTATATTTAGACACAGACGGCTGACGGCGCTCCATAAATTGCTTACAACATCACTTAAATACCCCAAAATGCCATGCATCAGTAGTAATTAGGCAAGGTATATAGGTAGGTTCAGGCGTTAGGCTTCAGAATGATAGGTATGTAGGTAGTCGCGGGTTCGATGCTCAGGCGCACATACTAGCCACATTAATACTTATTGCATTTTGTTTTTTTGGTTTTGTTTATTTTTACAATCCACTATTGTAAATCTAACCTTATTATATAGTTGGCATTAGGTAGATGCAACTAAAATATTTAGTCAATCCAACCATAATATATAGTTGATCCAACTATATTTGTTAACTATGTCAGTTTAGTACTCCCGACTAAAAATGTATGGTGTCCCTATATTAACCATAAATTATGGTTGGAATAACCATAATAATTATGGTTGGGGCAACTATATAGTTTTTTCCGTGTACCCATAAAAAACCCTATTAATAATTTAATTTTGGTATTTAAAACAACGACACAATCGGTGAAATCATTTACCATTTTTCTGTTTTCCACCTCGAACACATACATAATCCTGTGAACGAATTCTTTTGATTCGTTTACATTTGCAAGAAAAACTTTTTTTTTGCAATCAATGTTAAAGAAATAAAAATGTAAGTGAGTACTTAAATACCTTCATATACCCAGTCAGGAACGCCGGTGTAATAATCTTCAGATCCATGGTACGTTACTTTATAGACGTGATTTGGTTTTGCAGCTGAAGAAATGTAATATATATTGTAGTTGTCAACTATTACCAGACTGGCTTTGGTCGGAGACCATTTTGCTAGCATTAGTTGTCTAGGCCGATGATTTGAATCTCTCAGCGTTACTTGCCTCCTAATTTATCGCATGAACAAGATAAAAAAAATATCAGTTGTATAATGTATAATTCTTAGCCTAATATTGGCTGTTTTAATTGAAGTAAATAAGAAAAAGAGTAAAGCTTACCCAGTCTTGACGTTTATTACGTCGTAGAAAGCCAAAAAAGAGTGCTTGTATGTCTAAACAGTATGCATATTTATAACGGTTAGTCGTTTTTGACATATGTATCATATAGGCGGGAGCGAAATTTTGATAGAAAAAGAGAACTTAATTGATTTCTCGGCAGAAAGTGTTATTATTGTTAAATGCAATCGCAAATAAAACTAAACCGTCTTATTACGTTGTTATTAATATGTATGAAATAAATGCAATTGACCACTATAGTTATTACCGTACAACGAGAGGACAGGTCGAATGTCATTTACCTTGGTTCTGTTGTAGGCTACCAAGAGATATTTTTTATCGGCAGAAAGGTCAAATCTATAGTTGTCTCGGACGCTCTGGAAATGGAATAAAAAAATGGTTTGAAAAAGATTTTTCATAAAATATATGCACTCGCGAGGGGTACAAATACCTATACAATACTTACTTGCATCGTATTATACGCTAGAATAGATTTGGTGTTCGTTTTGACGTTTACCGAAATAATATTACCGGTTTCATCTTCAGTTAAAATATCTTCATCTAACCAAACATGAAAAACAATAAAATCTCAGATTGTACCGGTCGGTTTGCAATGAATATAATTTTAACAGTTTGGGAATAACAATAAACGATGAATGAATTTAGTGTGTTGAATGGTTTGTTTACCCGAAATCCACGTAGCGTTAAATTTAACCGTGGAACACCGTTTGTAGTGAACTAGTGTGTCGATATTTAGATCATTATGCGTCATGATATTTGAATATTGAACGTGATGGAATGTATCCATTGTCATGTAAACAATAATGCCAATAGTTGAGATCATCAAACATACGGTGAACAAAAGGTACAAAATTGCATTTCTCTTTTTCCAAAACAATCCATCCTGAAAATATTTGTTTAAATAAATAATAAACTTGTTAAATTAATAATACTTGAGACGTGAAGGTGTTGTACAAAAGGGTTAGTGTCGCTACTAGGCGGCCACTTGCAGTAGTGGCACGTACCTATTGAAAGCAATAAATTAACTTCATGAGTAATAAGAATACAATTATTTTATTGACCACGTTTACAATTCTTATACGATTACTAAGAAATAAACGAATTTAGTTTCTTTAAATATTTTAAGAGCATTTATCACAAACGAGTAACGCATATTAAATAATAAATACATAAAAGATTTTTATAAAGCCACGTGAATAAAATTAGTTTTGACTAATAATTCTACTTTATCCGACACCTTTTTTATTTTAATCATCGGTACTTAGTTATAGAGCGATGTAATTTTAATTTGAAAATTTTGTATATTTTTGGGGTGCTTTTCTCAATTTTGAAGAGGAAGGGGTGAAGGGGTTTTAAAACTTTTGCCCTATTAGAATACCTCTCGGGTACGATTTCTGATATAAAGACTTGCTACTCAAAGAAATCAATTCAGCAGTTTAAAAGTTAACATGGGTCCAGACGCAAAAAAAACCATATCATTGTAAAATCAATACCTTCACAGATCCGCATCGAAGCTAAAATAAAAATATACCAATATTCCAGAAGAACGTTTAAAGACATTTTATATTGAAACTACCTTTATAATATTTTATTTCCTATTTTTAATTTATTGTAGTATCTTATCGAAACCACCGTCAAAATAATATGAAAAATAATTATGTGTGACACAAAGGGTTAAACCCGGGAGTAATAAAAATTAAAACCACTCTTATAAAAACAATCGAAAACGATGATTTTTTATAGTTAGTATAAGTACAAAACATTTCTTATATAAAATTAGAATAAAATTATTATGTTAACTATTGGATTTTAGTTTTTTCGATTTTTTATTAAATGCAATTTTTTCTTAATACTCATATAATATACATATAATTTAACGTTAAACAATATATTTCTCGAAAAATAACTGCAATTGGGTATTTAATTTTTATTGGTAATTTTCAGAGCTCTATACACTTTCGAACGTACATACTTATTAACATTTTAAATTAAAAACAAATTAGTAAAAATGTTTATTGGTTGATAACTGTAGTTTTGAATATTTTTGTTTAATGCCATTAGCTAATTGTATCTACGTTTAGACGGCGAGTTAAACATTTAAAAAAAAATGTCTAACAATAAGAACTAGGATTCTGAATTGCAATTATTTCCCGAGAAATTTAGTAGTGTCCTGCTATAAATTGAACACTTCATACTACCGGAATGAAAACCTATTTTCATCATACGGTTAAAATGCAGGTAATGGCTACGGTGAATTTTGACTGTGTGTAATTTTGCTACGTGTTATAGACAAACAAACAATTTTTCCTTACCGTTGACGGAGGCATCCTGTTGTGGACCGACGACTTTATTAAGAAATCTAGTTCATCTTTTTCGCCAGACATGATGTCATTTGAATTTACCGATCGGACTATTCAAAGCAACCAACGCGCCACTAAAATTTTCAAATATTGTTTATCAAATGTTCGCATGTACAAAAAAAAAAATACAAAAAAACAAACGTGTTATTTGAAAAGAATACAGGTGTGAGACGGCGACAAAATATATTATAAATTGCACGCAACAGGCAAATGTCACAAAAGTAAACTGAACAGTGTTCTACACATAGGTACGCGGTTTTATATTTAATAATACAAAACTACTACTGCCTCCTACACGACTCGATGGATACCAAAATTGTAATCGTATCTCAAAAAATAAAAATTATTTTTTTTTACGAAAGCGGTAATTGACGTTTAAACATGAGTTTCCCTAGTTGATATTGTATGAAGATTTTATCATTCGATCCCTTCGCGGGTTGCGTCACTGAATAATTTATGTACCTATTTAAAATGGCAAAACAAAACGCCAAGACTATGATGAATAATATCTTACCGCGATAATGTAACAGCAAAATGTATATAATATGTTCAAAATAAATTTAAGGAATAAGAGCAATACTTGCTTTGAACAAAATTTAACCGGTCGTTTCGATACAACATCAAAACAAAAATACACATGCGTAATACCTAACGTTACTCGGTCGTTGTATGTTGAAAATGGGAACGGTACAAAATATTGTAATATACAACAATACGGTTGTTATCATCATATGAAACCACTCGTTGTGTGCACGCAGATGTTTTGAAAATATATTGTTTATAAAGCTAAACAAATAGCAGTCAAATCTATTACACATGTAAAAAAAAATCTTTTACGTTAACGGTACACGGTATAGGTAATTTAATGAGAAACAAAATATACCTTCTAGGCTAAGAACTAATATCTGTAAAAAATGAACACGAGGTGAAAATTCTTAACAATTTTTATTGGTAGGTTGATCGAGGAGAAAGCGCATCATTTTTGTCATGGGCTTATTATTTCGTCATAATATTTTATGCAAATCTGATTAACATAGTTTTGTGTGGTTTAATACAGTAGTTATGTACCTAATTTCATAATAATATTATGAACTATTATTTATTTTTTAAGAAAATGTGAATTTTAAGGCCCCTTGGACAATTAGTCGGTCAATTTAAGTGATTGTAGTTACAATAGCGTCCACACAGGGGCGGGAAACAAGTTAAACAGTACAACAGAATGCATTGTTTACAATAAATATGTAAAAATCTGGTGTATATTAACAGTATCAAAAATGTAGAATATATTATACACTGAATGTGAGTAAATTTTTTATGTGATAAAATAAATGGCAAGTTTTTCATACTATAATATATTATATTGTTATTTATATTTAAAGCAATACCCGATTGTAATTGAATTGTTTAAATACGTAGTTAATATTATAACAATGAAAAATTCAATGTAAAATCCGCCTAAACAATTATAATACTATATTACATATTTGGTTATTATATTATTATAAAATCGTAATTATTACTGAAGCTAAAGGCAAATAACAAACCCTTAAAATGCCAGATCTGTTCCCAATATATATTTTTTTGCATTAAAATGGACATTTTATGTTTCTAATAAAAACATTTTTAAGTTGAATGGTTAATTTAAAAAAGATTTTTCAATTCAAAAATGTAACATACATTTTTTTTTATATTAAAAATGTTTTTAATATAAAATACCTAGTGATTTTGAATGATCATATTTCAGCTCTATGATTTTATTTTATAATACGTACAACAATAAAACAACTGTAGCAGAATTTGCCGACGATAAAGCAATCCTTTCAAATTAATGACCCCTAAATTTTTTCTCATTACTTGTAATCTCACCTTAATAGTCTTCAAACCTGGTACAGTAATTGGAAAACCAAAATGAATGAACCCAAATTATGCCATATTACATGCACTCTCAAACAAGGAATTTGTTCTCACATTACTCTAAATAATGTCCAAATACCCTCATCAAATATTATCAAATACCTTGGTGTACACTTTGAATAAAAACTTAACTGGGCACACCACATACATTCCCTAAAATTAAACTGAACTTACGTCTTAACATTCTGAGAAGATTTCTTCATTCTAAATCGAAGTTACCCCTTCACACAAAACTAACCATTTATAAACTCTTACTTAAGCTGTTATGGACATATGGAGTCCAAATCTGGGCCTCAGCTAAAAATTCGAACCTTAGCAAAACACAAATCTCACAAAATAAAATACTCCGTCTCATCACTAACGCACCACTTTTTATCTCAAACTATACCGTACACTCATATTTACAAATAAAAACAATAACACAAATTGCTAAAGACTACTACAGGCGTTACCACAATTCTCTTCGAAATCACCCAAACACCCTTGTAAATAATCTCACGTCATCCTCAATGCCCAACAACCCAACAAAAAGACTTAAAAGGAAGTGGTGCAGAGACCTTCTCACTAACAATTAATAAAAAAAACTAAGTTAATAACAGTGTCGTCACTCGTCAGTGGACGGCTTCTCTTTTTCATACTTTCACTGTCAATAAATCACTTGTGTTATCATGTATACTTATTGTACTAAAATTGTATAGATCGTATACTTCAAATAAAGGAGAAAAAAAATACAAATACAAAAACCGTAAAAACCGCATTGTGCTTAAATTTATATAATACTGAATACGATTAAGGTTGATCGTCTGTCTTTAATAATTTGTTGCTGTTATAAACAAAATGTCTACTAAAAATGTACCAAATAAATAACAACATTTCATAAGCAATATTAGAATTATTGAACAAATATTTTAACTATTCATACAATATAATAGATAACAATACAATAGGATATAATACAATCGAATATATAAGGATACAATAGCTAAGAAATTTATAATTGGCGTGATTTTATAAAATAATTATACTTGTGGTTACAAATCTAGCTGTTTGACAACTGTTAACTGAGCTTTAGCTGCATATTGCAATGAACCCACATGAAGTAATAATTTTTTTACCCATTTGTAATTTGATGGCTTTGACCAAACATGCGGAGTATGCAAAATTACATTTAGGGTCAATTTAAAGCGCTTGATCTAAAAAATTGAGTGCATTATCAGTCGATTTTTTCTTACATATATTGAGCATAACGCAAAAAAATAAATTTAGGATAGAGTTCTAAAATCTTCAGCTATCTTTTTGTAGTAATAATTCATATTATGTAACATGTTATTGGTAGCTATAGTTATAGTAAACTATCAATTTCCTTTACTATTGTGAAATCGTCTAATGACTTTTCTACTTGTTCATGTAGAATGTAAGCGGATGCTCGCTTGATTAACGAATTTATAGTCAAATGATTAGGAACTCCTGGAGTTTTATTTACAGCTGTAATATTTTTAATTGCCTAGGCATAATCACCTCGTAATATAGTAAATGTAGCGATCAAATTTTAAGCTAAAGTTCTGCGGAATAAATTATTATTAGTCTTATTGGATTCTTCTTTGCGAGCTTTTTCGGTGACATCATAATTTTTGTGTCTAAAACATGTTAAGCCAACTCGAGTCCGGAATTCAAATCGGATTGCAACAAAGCTTTCCAAAATGACTTGAAAAGTAATTGTCAATAAACATTATAAAAGGCAAATTTTTATTATAATCTGTTAATTTTTTTAATTCACTCAACATGTTAACAGCAGTAATATATTCTAATGCTAGACTAAAGCACAATACAAAAACCAACATTTTACTTTTCATAATTTTAGTTTGTACTTGCGAATTGGTGGCTGATCAAGGGAAGTGCGGTGTAGAAGAGAAGATAGGAGAGTTAAATAAAACGGAAAGCGAGGGGAGAAGTACAGTGAGTAGGTGAGGAGAAAGAGAAGATGGGAGGAGTAAGGAAAGAAGGAGAGTGGGTTGGTGTGGAAAAGTATAGGAGAGTGTAGGTGAAGTGAAAAGCAGTGTGATGAGAAAAAAGGAAGGGGGATAGAGGGTAGGGATAAAAATTACTACAAACATTAACCACACCTAGTCATTTCAATTATGTTTTCATCTGCTATCTTAAAATTCCTTCTTATAGGTACCATTGCGTAAATATGATGAATTTTTTTTCTTTAATAGAAAACCTAACATGTCTTATACTCGCTATGAATTCTTGAACTCTGTTTGAAAATGGACGATCCAAAATATTCCGGTTGAATTCTGTGTAAAATAATTTTTTTCGCAATCATAACGAACAAAATACCATGGTAAAGACTGTCGTGTATTTAGAGCAATGAAGTGTAAACATTGTCTTCCAGGTCCTTGTGTTGACGTTGTCGACAAATTTAATCTGGGAACACTCACAAGTATTGATTTCGAACGGCACCCCTCGCAACTTTTCCTGCACGAGGTCAAACGCCAGCGCCTGCGCTCCCTACAGTAACCCGGCCCTCGGGCCATTGTCTACGTGACTGTCCGCCGATCGAACACTAGGGATTGAGCGAGAAGCACTGTGCGGTCGTACGTCGAGCGGCTGTTTTCGATTCATCTCCGTTTAAAAAAGAAATCATCCACGTCTTCGTTCAGTCTACGCCAGTCAAACGGATTTTGCACACAAACGCATAACGTACAATCGGGTAAATTTGTTATTTTATTTATAAACCACGCCAAGATTCGGTAGGAATCGATGGTACAATCTCGGTTTTAAACTCAGCAGTTCTTTGACAATTTGTACATATTATATTTAATTTTAAGTCTTTGGTTTTTAAATCGAACGCGTTTTCTGAATCGTCCGGTGCACCCCGAGGGAGTCCGCTTGTTTCCATATTTATTTTCACTGTTTATCTACAATGTTTGCCGTATTTTTTGCACTGAACTCTATATACAGAATGCGCATAAGGGTTGAAAGGTGACCCGACCCGGGACGCGGCCATGTTGTTTAACATTTCATCGAAAGTAAAAATGCTGCATTACTTTTCCATGATAAATTGTTAGCTTGGGCGATGTCATAACACTGTCATATGTTTGATAAATCATGGAAAAAACAATAACTGTTTACAATATGGCAGCCAGCTTATAGTGAACGTTTTCATAAGCTTTCGACAATTTGCATTCCATATTATATTGAGTTGAGTGTCATAGTTGCAGATGATATGGAAATCTATATGCACGTAAATATAATCTCGAAGATTTTCAAAATGATTGGAATCTTGTTGTTGAGTTCTTAGATTCTATAGTTCTGCACCTAAACGTTTTTGAATGTAAAGTTTTGGCCTTCAGTGGGAATCGATCACTAATTCATTATTATCATCTTCTTGGGTTCTAAACTTCTAGGTGCAGATAGTTATGTCATCAATCTCGGTATTAAGCTCAGTTATATTTTGGAGCCCAGCACTCACGTTAATATGTTTTATAACGAGATTGGCCAAAGATTTTAACACGAAGAACTTGGTTAACCCATTTTTTTGGGCCCCAGTGCAACTTGTCTTGAACACCGTTAATGGGTTTCTTCAGCTTGAGAGAGTCTAGTGTACATTTTTGAGACACTGTTGAACATCCCATATGCTGCTGACGATTATGCTCCTGTCACCAATCATAGTATTGTCACGTTAATAGTATAGACAATTAGATAATAGTTAATAGCTTCGTTGTGACAATTGTATGAATCATAAAAACTAGATTTATAAATTGCTACTATCGTAATATATGTAGATACAAAGGTTATTGTTTTAAAACATAAATATAGGTCACTCCAAAAATTGTACAAGACGTTCTAGTAGAAATAGCTTTTCGTAAAATATAATATGTCACTTTTCTATACTATGTTTACATAAAAAAAAAAAATAAGATCACAATTCACAGTTGCCTATCTGAAAACTGACAAAACTATGAATGTGCAAATTGTCAAAACTCGTTTGACATTTTGCATTTATGAATTTATGACGGGCTAATAGGGCAATGAAAAAGTAGGGGTTATAGTACTCGGTCACCCCCAATCGGTATTGCTGTGATTTGTACACTTCATAATTAACTTTTTATGATATATTTTAAGGTCGAAGAAATCAATAAAATTACCATGTCAATAGCCGAAAATAAAGAAGAAGATTTTGTAGGCCAATTTTTGGTCAACTATGAAATACAGGAATTAGGAGATGTGCTGTTAGTTTTTTTTTTTAATTACTATTTTACATTTTAAATTACTCTTTCCATTTTTATGCTTGTGTATTTTTTAGACGGTTAAACAGGAAACGTGAATTTATATTGAAGCAGATTGCCAGTGGCTCAATCGCAAAATTTACACTTTTTCTTCACATAAAAGTCGAGGTTCAAATATTAGAGTTGAGCAAACAAAGGCTGAGTGTAAGTATTTTTTTAAATCATTGTCAAAATATTATTTACAATATTGTCTACCGATGATCTAATATAATGCATTTATGAAACATTAGATGACAGAAGAGCCCATTGACGAGGATCTTAAAACAGACGTGATTGATATTTTGAAGAGTCGTGTAAACGAATTGTACAACATGTTGTTTTTGCTATTTCCTCCGAGCATCACCATTTTAAAAAGTTACACTTTGTTTTGCAAGAAAAATGTATGTGAAGCGAGTTATGCTCAGTTTGTTGTACCTATTCCGTCAGCTTTATTTTCATTAAAATCAACTTTTATTTCAGAAACTACTAAACGAATGCAGTACGACGATAAAGATCCTGTTAACGTTGCCGCAACCTAATCCTGAGTTGTACGAACATGCTGCTGAATTCGAAGCAAACTGCAGAAAAAACATTGAACAGGCTCGACAGTATTTTGAAGAAGGCATGCGTGTACATGGTAACAAGCCCAGAGAGTTACACACTAGTAGATTTTCGATGGAGGTGGAAAATTGTGGTAGAAATGGGGCCGATTCCAGTGAATGTTTGGAGTGTTTCTTTAAAACGATTAAATTTTACGAGGACAAACACATAGTTTTGTTCTGGGAGTTTTTTTTCTGCAGCCTCCGCTTTCCGAAAATCGAGAAACTACATGCCGCCATTGCCGAGTATTTATTATTAATTATTTTCAATAAAGTTTGAAAACGTTAAGTTTTTTATTTATTTATTTATTTTTTTTACAGTGAAATAATAAAGATCTATAAAAGATATGACAACATTTGGTACACTGTCCAAGAAAACAAATTTATCATGGACGGCATTGAAACAGAAGTAAAGTATTTATTAAAAAAAGATTCGCTACCTGTATGGGAAGTATTGATTAACTGCATACGAGAATGCTACCCGGATTTGGTAAGTATCGTTTCTTATGAATATAACATGATTTTTTTACAATTATTACTGTAATTCCAACACTCATTTAGATTTGGATGATGCACCAAAAGGCTGCATGTTCTCGTGGAAAAATAGCGAAATTGTCCAGATCGAAGATATTGGAAATGTTGTATCATGATAAAGGATTGATAAGATGTCGTAAAGAATTCAACAAACTTAAATTGCTAGAACCTTTTAGTGTGGAGTTGTACCAGACCATTCTTCACTTCGAAGTAAATTCTAACATAATTCAATGCAAAAACCCTACAATACCTGAAAGAATAAGAGAAAGAGAAAGGCAGCTCAAGTCCTTAAGAAGTATATATTCTGAGGCTTGTAGCAAATTTGGAGAAACCAATGCGGGTGTGTGGGCGATTTTAATTTTTTTTTACCAAAGATAGGTACTAGGTATGTTAAACTACTTGTAAAAAATTTATTTCAGAAATTTGGATGGACTATATTCGTTTTGAAAATGATTATGGCGACAAACAAAATGTCAACAATCTCTATGAAGAATCGAAGAACCATTTGTCACTTGAGCACATCCCTACAATGGAGTCTGAGTTTGAACAGTTTAACACCACCGCAACGTGAGTACAAGCAATAGAAAAAATAAAATGTTATACATAAATCTAATCGTAATGATTAACATCAGGGACGACCAGGTACCATCAGGTTGTAGCAAGAACGACGAAGACATGATTCAGGACATAATAGAAATTGATGATTAAATGTTTGCTTTTATTTTGGCCAAGCAGAGCTATCGATGTCTCTTCTAGGGAGGAGGTTTCCTGTCAGTATTTTACTCAACTAATTAAGCTATATAATAATAATTTATCCACATTACGTGCGTTGTGTGATTTAATATATGTATTTTGTGTGCAAATATGTGTTAAAATAAAAATCTAAAACAACTTGACAGAGTATAGAATATTAGTTTAGGTAGTAGAATTAAAGCCACATAGAAAAATCTATACCAACTTGATTCTTGTGAAGTTATCAAGCTTTGTATGATTTACTTGAGGATTTTGTAATGAGTGAATTAATTTCTTTATTCGTTGTACTTACTTATCACTTACGAGGTGCCAACTTTATTATATCAATATAAAAAGGATTTTTTTTTCTTTTTCTAATAATGTTATAAGAAAATACAACTATTATAAATAGATATTTCAAAGTATAAATATATATGTTTTCATTATACGCCTACATAAAATGTAACTTGGAGCAATTGATGTGCCATAATTGGCTACATTCATAGTATAATAGGGTTTATTTTAATATTGATTAATTGTACTGGGATTAAAGTATATGAATAGATTGTATATATTTTTCTGCGTTGGCCTGTATATTAAATTTTTTGCTGCACTAAAAGATAATTTTAAATTACTCAACTCAAGTTTTCATTTTACATTTTTTTTTTAAACATGCTTTTTTATAGTAAAAAAGTGAACTAAAAAGTAAAAAATAATTTTGCTACCAGAACAATTTACCAATCAAATGTTGAACATTTTATTTCAATTGTCAATTACTTTGAACAACCGAAAATTAACTACAATTTTAAGTAATGTTAAAATCTTTAATTTTGGACTACAAAGAAAAGCGTTGGCCCTGTTCAACAAAGTAACCTAATAAATTAATCAGATAAAATTACAGATAATATTTTATATTGTAAGTTTTTTTTAAATTTAAATTTGGTTCAATATTAGTGTGTGGCACATACATTTCATAATATTTAACTCAATGAATTTGGACTTTGTTGAATAGAGCCTACGCTTTTCTTTTTAGTAAAAAATTAAAGATGTTTAACATTATTTAAAATTGTAGTTAGTTTTCGGTTGTTCAAAGTAATTGACAATTTAAATAAAATGTGCTACAATTGATTGGTAAATTGTTCTGGTAGCAAAGTTATTTTTTACTTTTTAGTTCGCTTTTTTACTATTTTATAGCAAAGCGTGTTAAAAAAGGGAGGGGGTGTGTCCTTAAAAAACAATAGTGTGTTAAAATGTCAATCCCATATGAATTTGGACTTAGTGTTTTCACCTATTAGTATAATATGTGTTTATATGTAATGACTAGTGGAATTATGTACGTACCTATTTTTGTTATCGTTTGTTCTCACTTTCTTTTTGAACTACTATAGAGCGATTTTGATGAACACAATAAACTAGATACTAAAATTATCTATGCATTTTAATTTTATACGTTCTAATGAAGTATTTTGTTTCCGTTCATTATTTAATCATTTTATTGAATTTCTTTTTCTTTTTCATTAATACCCCACCCCCCCCCCCCCCCTTTAACCTAAGACACTAAAACCTGTACATTTTCAACAAGTAGTAATTTAAATATGAATTCTAATGTTTGAATGTTATTCTAACAATACTATGGTGTGTTCAATTATAGAAATATTAGTAAATTATCTTTAGAAATATTTAATTTCACACCAAAACAATTTGTTAGACATCATTATACAATATTTAAAACATAATTGTAACAACTAAAAGTTTTTCCAAAAACATATTTTTGAAATGTATTCACAATGTTTAATTATTGCTGTCTAAGATAGTCTAACTAAAATTACTAATTAACAAATGTTCAAATATTACATTTTATTTACATAATAACATTAAAATATTTATTAAGCATCAACATGATTTATTTATTAATACTTAACCTACACATCCAAGTCAATAAAATATTTTTTAATTTTACATTACCTATATAAGTGTAACATTTTGACAATATATTTTGTTATATTAATGTGATAATTTGTTAAGTTGGTTCACAGTTCATAAATAATCAAAATTTTTATGAAATTAAATTTTTAAAACTGGTACACAAAAATTAAGGTGTACAACTTTTATTTGAAGCTCAATCACTTCTTTTTGCTATAAATGTGTTAAATTTTTTGAGACTTACGATTTTACCTCAAATCATATACGGTTTTACAATGGGTGTTGAGTAAAACCGTATTTTTCCAAAAAAAAGTAAAACAAAAATTTAACACATTTTTGTTAAAAAAAAAAAAATGATATTTCAAACAAATTACCACAAAGACACCACCTAAGTGTTCAAAAGTAAGTTACTCGAAATGTTGTTGAAATATATTGTACAATAAAATTTGGCTATTTTTAATGTAGGTAGGTAGACTTAAAGTAGGGCTATAACATACAAATTCTTGTTTTTTAGTAAGGAAAAAATCTTCCAAAAAAGGAAAAAACATCAATACCTATACATAATATATTATATTGATATTAGTCGTATATAGAATAGTTGTTGTATCTCTGAAGAGAAGTATATATTACATCTAAAATGTAGTTTTGACTTTTGAGTTTATTTATGAAATAATAATAATAATTCTAGTTATTTATAATCAATAATCACAATTAAAAAATAAAGAGTTTTTTTAGACTACATCATATGCTTAAAAATAATATAATATAATATATATTATATAGGGTATCCCAATAAGAGCGCCGGATTAAATTGTTTTAATTAATTAAAAAAAATTAATCTTGCGCTCTTATTGGGACATGCTATGTATAAAAAAGTAAGTTAATAGTATAGAATTCTTCATATTTTCAGAGCCACCAAACAAACGATATGTAATTAATAAATAATGCAAATATGTTTGAATCGGTCATTTCAAAAACCACCTAAGTCACCAATTTAAAAATTTGCAGGAGGCAATAAAAACTGTGCTACTCACACCTTAACGAATTTTTAAGTACTTTTTTCAGCTAAATGTAACAACTAGACCTGAATACGCTGAAAAAAAAAAAAAATCACAAATCATGGAAAATTAAAATAGAAAACCCAGAAAAACTGAGCTTGACTTATGTTGTTTTAGCAGGAAACGGAGTTAAGGTATATATAAAACGAACAAAATGAGGATAATAGTCATATATTTAATGAAAATATTGAAGATACTCCTTAAAAATTGTAATTTATCAAAATTTATTATGGAACAAACGTAAACAAACAATTTAATCTAAATCACAGAACCTCACAGAACAGACGCTTGAGTCTTCTTTATGGTGCTAATCTGACATGTTTGTGTGCGCGTTACCTTGCGATGCATGTAAAAACCACATTAGTCATTGACTTAGGTTGTTTTACCAATGAACGTTATTAAGAGGGCGCTGTAAAATGGAGAAGGAATTACCTGACTAATGTTGTTTTAACATGGATTATAGGTCTACCTTCAAGCAATAGTTTGCGACCAAAAAAGCCATTTTGAAAAAAAGTTCACTTATGTGGTTTTTGAAATGACCGATTCATTTATAATTCAATATATTAACAATTAAATCAATACAATAATTTCAAATAAAATAGTTTGATAGCGAAATTATTCATAATAATTGTTTCAGTTTTATTCCACTCTTTTCAAACTATCCAATATACAAATTACTATTTGGTCCAAAGATCTATGACCTTTTTATAACGTTTTTTATTATTATAACGTTTTTATGAATTCACAATCTTGTTTGTCGTTCCGGGTGGAATCTTGCAACTCAAATTTCGAGCACTTCCCGATTAGCTATCCGGCTGAAACTTTCAGGGTAGCTCACAATTCGATGACAATTCATTATTAATCCACAAGAGGTTGAAAATTCCACCCCTAAGGGGGTTAAAATGGGGTCGATTTCTTGTCAGTCGTTCTGGGCGGAATCTTGCAATTCAAAAAGACCTATTTCTCACCTGCCAGCAAAAATTATGCGTGGTGCGTTTGGGCGTGAACGGTGCTCAGATGTGAGCGGTACCAGGTTCAAACCCGTTCGTTCCCATCATTACACTTTTTTGCATTTTCTTACAACTTTTATTCAACTCTTATGATAATTTATATAGTAGTTACAACATAATTTCAACTTTTATGATAATTTATACAATAATAAATCTAAAATTATAAATTGATTACTAATTCTTATTATAATCCTTCTGACCATGCAGCCTTTTCTAATGTAATCACCGCTTACAGACGAAATGGACGGATTTTATTATATAATATTGTAATAATATTATTTGTATGTATGTACAAATGTTGTGTATTATTATATGTATAATAATATGTATATTCATTATATAACATTGCACATTTAAATATATAGATACGTACATACGAAAACGAAAAAGAACAAAATAACTAAAGTAGATTAAAAAATTAATCTAAATATAACGTTTTTATGCGCTTTAAAAAGTATGAAATAACTTTCCGGGGGTCTTGATAACCAAATAGGACAGGTGAACTAGAAAAACGTGGGGCACATCTTTACTACTTCACACGTCTGAATATATAATAACATTCTCTTCTCATTAATAACTACCTTAACTCATAATTCATGCACAATCATCTTTTCTCTTCTAAATAAAATAATACTTAATAAAATGTCATGTAAAATTAAGCACCACATTACTTTAAATGTTAAGCAAGTAGGAAGTTAACATAAAAATTGAAGCAACCTACATAAAACAAACTTTAGAGAGAATAGCAATTAAATCTTTCCAATTCGCAATGAAATTTAAGGCAAGTGGCACGGAAATCCATTAAATTTCATTTCCGATAAAAAGTCATACTATCACTTTCTGATCCGTTCGGTTAGAGAGACAGCATTATGAGAGACAACTTAATGCATTAGCATGGAAGCTTAGGTTTTAATATCAAAGTAGAAAGATGCGCCCCACGTTTTTCTAGTTCACCTGTCCTATTTGGTTATCAAGACCCCCGGAAAGTTATTTCATACTTTTTAAAGAGCATAAAAACGTTATTTTTAGATTAATTTTTTAATCTACTTTAGTTATTAAATATTGATTTTTATCATTAAACATGTTTCTTCACCTCAAATTTAAAAATAAACAATATTTTGATTTGTGCAGAGTCAACTTAAACATATTCAGCCATAGACAGAGACTCTTAGACATAATAGAATTTATGAATATTATAATATTATGACCACGAATGTTCATATTTAAAAGTTGGTTTTTCATTAAAACATGATAGTTAAATTATTTAAATTAACATAAAATTCAAATTTTAACTACTAAATAGCAAGTAGACCTGTGCATCATTCAAATAAAAATAATTAAATTTGTTCTATAAATAATCATTTAGATAAACAATTATTAAATAATTTTAAATTGCTGTTTTATACTCATTCTTTTTATCTGAAAAAGCTGTTCGAATCATTTTTTATTTCAATAAAATTATTTTTGAAAAGTTTTGAATAATTGTTTTAAAAATAAATTGCGAAGAATTAACGTTTTATTAGAATTATGTTTATTTGAATAGTTTGCACACATCTGATAGGAATAAAATAGGCCTGACACTAGGTTGAACATTAATAAATACTAAGGTTTCCTAAATCATCGATGCTGATAGTGTCATTAATTACGTGCTAGTTAATAGTCATGAAAAATTATGGAAAATAATAAATTAAAAACTTTTAGTGGCAGGAAAGTAGAAACTGTTTGTATATGACGGAGGTAAACATAATTTCCAAAAGAAGACGTTATAGTGTCTTTGCCTTCAGCTAACAAACCTCCTTGGATGTCTACAGAGTACCTCCATGCAAAAGTATCGTCTCCGCCTACTGAATAGTGATAAAAAAAAAAAATCGAGATTTTTACATTGAAATCATTTTCATTTTTTCTTTACATTAATATTGCAATTTGCAAAACTCCAATTCAGTTTTGTCTATCTCATATAATAATTATTTGGTTTTTGTAGTTTTCAACTATAAACAAGACCTTTATCATGGTGAGAGATTTTAAAGCCGCGGTTAATGTTTCGCCTTTAATCAGAGTAAGTTAATAAATTGTATTGTTACACAAATGGGTGTGTTGTTACTTATGACATATCCGATTAGTTGTTATAAAATATTACGTTTACTAGTTGACAGGGTTTATTTGTGCTCTATAAGTTGTGTTGTTCTAAAATAAACTTGCCAAATGTTTAAACTATGTTGCAATGCTTTGTTGTTGCCATTCATAATTTCCTTAAAATCATTTTTATAATGATAAGCTTAAAATTTAATTAGTATGTACTCACATAAAAATACACCCGAGTATTACACCACGATCATAATATATTTCTAAATTTATTCAAAAGCTTTTTGTAATATAATTGCAAATGGGAATGTTATATGAAATTAACTCAAATAGTTAAAACTATATAGGAATAGAAAAATATAGGTATAAATATTTATATTTAACGTCTATTAAAACTTATTTTAAAGTATATTGTAACATAATATTTTCTATTTATTACATTTTAAAACTGTTTTAATTATAAATGATAATCGCTTTTAATGTCATATGAAGGTCGTTGGCCTGCTTAGTAGGTAGATAAAAGTATAAGGTTTCAGTTATATCAAAGAGCTGAGAATGTTTTAAAACGTTTATTTATTAGTGTGTAAGGACTTAGAATAATGTTTTAATCGCTGAATTGATTTCCTTAAAACAGGTCAAATATATTTTTAGGATATTCTATTGCCTTATTAAAATTTGGGATGTATGAATAATTCTTTTAGACTACCTCATCTTCTCTTTAATCTGTTCTTACTTCTGCGCTTACTTCATCTTGTTTGGCTTACAATTTTTTAATACCCAAATTTTTTATTAGTATGATATTTTAGCTTGTAAATTGTGCATTATATAACTAATATTATCAAAACTACTCTTTAGTTTTATTTTTATTATTATTCTCCACCGAGATACCTAAAAAAAAAAAGGTAACGGTTGGATCTAACGATCTGGTATTTTACTACATTTTTAGTTTCCAAAATACTTTTAATCTAACTTTGTAATCGTTTCCAAATTTCAGGAATACTAACGTTTATTCGTATCAATGTAATAACAGTACCAAATTTTTTGTTTTTTTTTCCTTAATAAATAAATGTTTAAACAGCTTTTCCTAAAGAAATAATTAATAAACTATAGATATTTATATTATACATTTGGAATTTGTTATTTGCCAGCAAAACTATTTTACCCACATTTCTGGATAACACTACTCTGTTAAAACTATTATAAAAAAAAATGGGATGTCAAATTTTATGAAGGACTTTGTACATTTATACTTTATTTTTTAATCTATAACTCTTGTTATAATGATTAATTAAAAAATAATAATTAGCGCAAAGTGGTCCTCAGTTGTCATTTGGCACTTGAAGTTAAGCTTTATTTGTTGCTGCTTGATCCTAGAGTGACAGCCCAAGTCATGTCCTTCTGCACGTTTTCTCTTTACCAACACAAACCTCGCCAAACCAAACAACTAACTAATAGAGTAATGGGCATAGATGCTGATGCTTAAAAAAATCTAATACTCATTAGGTAACATGAAAATGAGTAATTATTAAAATCAATTGCTTGTTAAAACTAAAAGTTTGCACTTGAAACTTACACTTAAAAAAATAGAACTTCTGTAAGCGAATGTTGTCATTGTTTTTATTATATTCCAATATTTTCTATTGAAATGAAAAGATTGACATGATTAACAAACAAGTTTGCCGTTTACAAAGTGCCTATGACCACATTATGATAAAAATCACCAGTTTAATTTTTTTTAATTTTTGATGTGAGCTTGAGATGGTATTAATTATAACATGTTTTTTATTATTATTGTATTTGGGACAATAACGTTTTAATATCGCACCGGATTGACTTAATCATATAGCAAGTGATCCACAGGGGTTCAGAAATAAAACCCATAAGATACTTTATTAAGGCACTTAATAAGACTAAAAAGGAAAAGATTTACCAACCCTTTTCAAAATAACATTTTTTTTCTTAGAATTCTGGAACGCTAAAGTACCTACTAGTTGTAACTTTGTAATCTTATTATAGTATTATAAATTATCTGATTGACATTTTCAATACATTCTCAACTCAAATTAATGACCTACATACGTTATTTTCTTTTTTTAATGTTATCAAACATTTATTCTATTAAGGAAAACCCAAGTAGGTAACACATTTATTGTTTATAAAACGATTTATGTGTACTACATAAATATATTTAGTAGTTTTTCCAACTACAGTTATGCATCAAAGCCTTTATTACCACCTTCAGTTATAGTAATTCTTATGACACGGTTGTAATATGGAAAATAAAAACATTCCCTTGTGAGTAACATAAAAATTGTATTTAAAATGTAGTAGAAGTGGATAATATTTAGCTAAACGGTTTCAATTATGTAGAATTAATTACCATTAACGTTAACCGTTATTTATTTGTTCAGTTCAAAATTATGTTAACATAAACTAGGAATTACGTTATAATTTTTTTTTACCCCAGAAATGTTACACAAAATAACATTTTAAATTTATTTGTTTTGAGAATTTTATAACATATTGTAATTTCATAATGATTATTGTTATTTATTTATATACCTTGAAAATTTTTGCCAGTATAACTTATCATATTTGTATATTCTGAATTTGCATACGAATAATTTTCTTTACTTATTTGTTACAATAAGTGTTTGTTAAAATTTGATTAACTTATTCCATTTTTGTTTTACTGAATTCAGATTTGGTATCTATTTTAAAACCAAATTACTACTTCAAGAGTTTTAAGGGTTATTTTTAATTTTTGGACAAATGTTTTTGTAATAAAATGAATACTGGTTGATAAGCAATTTACATTTTTAGAATGGGGAAATAGCGTTGATTAAGAGTTTGTGCAGATAAAACCAACATAAAGTATGATCAATCCCATAAAGACTTAACGAGAACAATTATAATTATTACTCATATTGTCATTACAAACTATACTGAGTTTATATATATTTAGAAATAATTACAATTGGAGAAGAAGAAAAGTTTATCGATACATGTAAATAAAATTAGTCTACATTTTATTACCAAAAATGTGGTGAGCATAAAAGTTACCTTTTTTTCCAATTTTTTAAGTACATTGTCCTTTAATTTTGTTTCATTATATTCTAAAGACGTGTATTTGTATACATTTTTATTAAAACTATTGTCAGTATGCACTATGTTTTATATGAAATTCAACTCTACTCGTACAAATAGGCGAACTTGAAAAAGTAACAAAAATTAAACATATTTTTATACATATAGTCTATATGAATGAAAAAATAATTTAGCTGTAAATACTTATAATGATTAAATTTAAGGTGAAGTACTGACATAATTATGGTTTATTTCTAAAAAAATATTTTCTTATACATGTAGGTATAATAAATTATTTAAAAATTACCTCGGATTAATAATTAAAAATATTTCTTGCAATAAATAAAAAAGTGAAAATTATTTGTATGCAAATTCAGAATATACAAATATGATGTCATATACGTTATTATAAACGTTTTACAAATGTATAACAATATTCGTTTTAACCTTCTCTGAGTAAAAAAAATAATAACGTTATTCTTTATAACGTTCACTAAACATATACTAATATTATATTATGGCGTTCTATGAATGAAATAATTGAGTTTATAATATTATATTTTGTTACGTTACGAAACCTTGTTAATTACTTTTACTATAATACTTTTATGTTTTTACTATTGGTTCTTATAAACTTTTATTTAACTAGACAGTTCAAAATGTTTATTATGGAAATTAATTTAATCGTTTTATTGTTTAGTTTGGCCGTTATAGCATGCTGATATTGGGTATTGGTTATGGAGTCACAAGACACAGTTTCTTGCAAAGAAGCGAAGATAAAACCAGAGAGGAACGTTATAAGAAAAAGGCAGAAAGAGACGCAAAACTAGCATTAGAAAAGAAAAAATATGCTGAAGGTAAATATATGTTTAAATAAAAAAGAAAAAATGTATATTATTACTGTGTGTATACATTTTTTAATTAAAATATTTCATCTTTCAGAGGAGATGAAGGGTTTGGAAGCCATCATGAACCCGGTCAAGGAATCGTAGATTTAAAAAAGACATTTTTACAAAACTCCAAAAATGTATCTTATATTTTGTTGCTTTCATACCTTCAATGAAGAGTGTGTTCAGTTGTCCTACGTAGAATACTTATTCAATAAAAACATGTAAACTATTTAATTATTGTATTGTAAATTGTTTTGTCCATTATATTATGGTCTTGATCACTTTTATGTCTACTATAATACAAAACTGGTTTTAGTTGTTGAACAAACGCAATTTAATTATACAATGTTAGTCACTTTGCTTAGTATTGATAAGAAGAGGTTATTATAGTTAATTAATTATTTAACTCTTCAATTTTGATTGTAATAAATGTTTAAACATATTAAAAAAAACAGAAACTATGATGTTACTTTTACTAAAAAAAATTCTATTCGTATCACACATTCAAAATAAATTAAGTAGTACCACTATGTTCTTACTTCTTGTATTAAAAATATAATATTAAGTTACTTTATAAAATATTAAATAGTGTTAACGGTACAAAGTGTAGATAATTACAAAGTTTACTGCAGAAAGGTTGTAAAAAAAATTTAATTAAAAACAACGATTACACTTTTTTTCTCTCTAATAAGTTGAAATTTTGATATAAGCTATTAATGACTAATTTTCAAAATCATATCTATTATTTCATTCAATATTTAGTTTTTTGTCTCTCATGAACAATTATAAAAAGTGGAGTTGTCCCTTTTCTACAGCTGTTATCGGTTCATATATTTGAATAGCTAGATAACACTGATTTCACTATAGCTTAACATAGGCCTATGGATGTATAATATACTTATCTATAAAATATACAAATTCATTTTTTACCGGCATAAAGTATTTATATTATAATATAAAGCGAGCAATAATTGTATGTGTAAATTATCAATAGTTTTTAAACGTTTCTAATGTGTTGAATATGATTTTTGAGTGACAAAAAGTTGACTACGTAGGTATATTGACTATAGGAAAAATTCATTGGAAGGATGAATTTGAAGAAAAAACTATTTAAATGTCACCTATTATTATCAAGTCTTTCATCTTACTCCAAATTTCCCAATTTGAAAATATCCTACAGAATATATGTTCGTTGAAATAGTATATCTAAGGTCCTATGAGTCTTGGATATTTTCATATTTTGGAAAATTAGACAATTATAATTTAACTTTTATAATAATTTATCTCTTGTCGTTTTTTCCATTTAAATAACTTACTTTTTTAAAAATTGTTATCTGAGTTCATATGGGCGGATGTAGGCTCTAAAGCTTCGGCTCACACTATGAATGTCTAAATCTTAAATCCGACTGCTAATTTTAGACAGTTAAGTGTCTGATATAAATTATTACCTACACATTCATAAACGTCCACAATTCACACTTCTTTAGTGCAATACTAAAATAACTATACATTTTTAAAATCATAATCCACATTGCATTTAACATAAAACAGACTTAAAAAAATATATATTCACCTTAGGTAATTATTAGCGTCTTCAATGGTTTGGTCTTGAATTGATCCATTATATCTGCTTTTCGAAGTGTTTTCCTTAACCCCACTCTACATTTATATATTTGTCCATTAAATTAGAAATTTACATCATGGGACTTGCCTATCTTATTTTCAAGTGACCTTATATTTTATGCTGACACAATATAGACACAGATTTTTTTGAAACTACAAATATATTGTTTTTTTTTTTTACCAAATTTATCAAGATTTCTAAAATAAGTGACCAAAAATACCTTCTCGTACCTTAAAGTCTTCTTCGTCCGGCTATGAAACTATGTGTTTTAAACTACCTATGCCTTGTGTTTTCTTAAATATTCACATTTTCACAGAAACTGTTTGCGATGGAGGGAAGGAGTAAATTACAATGCTCCCTATTTGAGCTTATGCCTTACTGTGATCTATAAAAAAAAACCAACGATGTCTAGTTTTTACCATCCTTTTCTGGATAATATATAATCGTTTACAAAGTATAATAGTATGAAGTTCCAACAATCGTATGCTATTCATATATCATGTAGTTGACTAGCTTTTAATAACTGGCCACATTAAGTAAGTATATTTATAATATATAAATATTTCAATACACGTGTCAATGTTTTGTAAACAACTGTCGTTTAATATGTTCATAAAAGTTGATTGTATATGTTTTACACGTACAGTTATTTCTTATAATTTTGACTTATCTTCGTGATTCAAAGCATTCGCTGACTTTTTTGTAGTCGTCTGCAAAGAACAATGTCTTCGAATGACAAAAAATACAACATGAGTAACATATAATATCCTATTCTATTATCTTGGCATGCTTAAATAATTAAAAATGGGTCAATTTGCAGGCATCGTTTCATTGAAACGATCATCGCTCAACTCAACATTACCATCGGTGAGTTCAATCAGTTATGTTGTTGTCTTTTGAACGTTATACTCTTATTGTTAGGTACTGCCGAGACCCCACGATGTTACGGAAGCCGACATGTCGAAGACGTCCACTTCCGTCAACCGGAAACGTCGTCTAGCCCATACGCCTAAATTTCCGGTTGACGATTACTTCATCCACAGGTCTTCGACAGGTGCCGCCAGCGTGGAACCCGCTAAAACGTCCACGAGTTGCGGCAATGTCGTTGAATCGGCCACGGTAAAGCAGCTGCAGCCACAGTCATCGCAGAATCCGAGGTGTCCGTTGAAAGTAAGTATAGTTGATTTCGAGTTAGGTAGGTATATGTTTTGTAAAATTAATTTCCAAAGCAATAGAGACAATATCGAAAAATAACAAACCATGGCAACATATATTATTGTGCTGGTGATGGGGATGGGGATGTTAAATTTTTTAAATTATGGGTTGTATTCACAACGATGAAAATAAATTCAATAATTTAACAGGTCATATTCCCTATGAATTGTTTTAGGCCGGATATTATGAAAACACTAAAATATTAGTCAGAAACTTGATATTATGTTTACTAGCCACATTAGATACTAACTTGTTACTGCTTGTTATTATCGCTTGCTCTTTCGTGGTTGCAGACTTTCCATATTAAAATACATGTTTCCAGTATCACAGCACATCTACTGCTAATTTACTAAAATCTGTCTGAACTCATTTCAGCTAGGTACTAACACGTTTAGTAGTTAGTAAATCAATTACTCAATCAATTTTACAGATGGCAATAAAACGCACTGGTAATGGCTTTTATAAGGTTGTTAAGTCGACCGTCACGTCAGTGGAAGACGCCAGTGGAAGTAAACTTACGTCAAGTTCTTCCGGTTTAAACTCGAGCGGCGTTGCCCAAAAACCAAGTTTGAAGTCAAGTAATTTTCGAATGGTCGTTACAAATATAATTGAACAGTTAGTTACTTAAATAATAAAAATGCAAGATATAATATACATTATTATTATAACTTCTATTAGCCATACAATGTGCATTAGGGTGAATGTATAGGAAATATACATTATAAGAATTATACAATATAGGAAATAAATAGCTCAAACATTTTTTCAGATTTTATACTTCATGCCGTTCGTCCGAGCCTCTCTGTTTACACGTCAAACTTATAACTATCTAGAATAATATAATGTGTACAATTCTTCACAAGTTTGATATATATATATAGGAATTCCTAATTAGAAATGCTCTACGACATGTTATATTAAAGAGTTATATGCAAATGATTATTTTCGCTTAGAAACTCCAAAAGAACTATCGCTTCCTACGAGTGCCGGATGTAAGAAAAGACTTTCTTCTCCGGGTAGTTTACCAGCGAAGAAAAGTAAAATAGTCCAACAATATTGACAGCTATTGTCACGTCGTTATTATAAATTGTCAGTTGTAATTTTTCGTTTTGTTTCAACGTTGAAATGTATGTCGCAGGTAAAGCGCAAACAACTAGTACATTACACGGATCGACGTTATTTGCGAAGGTAAACAAAATATCTAGTTGATGTTTGTTGATAACATGTACACTTAGTGCGCTTAAAGAAGTCTAACGCATGTTTTGTTTCGTTTTGGGTTCCAATAATTATTGCTACAAATTGTATAATTTTTATCATTACAGCAAATTCCTAGGGTCGCATTACACAGTGTAAAAAATCGCAATTAAAATCAAACGATTGACGACGAGAAATAGACAAAACAAAATGATAAGTAGTGCCAATAAGCTTCATAAACGGAGACAACTTTACATTACAATTTCTGCAAAAGTATCCACAGACTATGTGTTATATGTATTTTGTAAATATAATTATTTGTTTACATTGTGTTATTTCTATCGGTTAAAAAATAAACTGTTATTTAAATACTAATGAACACTTATCGGAAATGTGTGTTCTATTAACTAGGTAGAAATATTCTATTTCATTACATTTAGACAAGGTTTTATTATTAATTTTAATATAACATTAAGGTGAAAATTGAATGATACTGCAGTTAATTAAATAAAAACAAATTTGTGGGCAAGGGCCTATTCTGAAAATCTGATTGAATCTATAATTAACAATTTAATAAGATAACTAAGTAATTTGTATCTTAAAATCGATATACTTAAAATATAAGTATATCGAGGCACAAAATTCAATATGCTAAAACATATTTTCAATAATCCTTATCTCTGCTGATTAGATGCCTTATCTTTTAATAATTCTTTTTCTAACAAGTATAAATGCGGCGCCTAAAACACAAGGGGTTTCAGTGACATTTTATTGATTTCAAGCAAATCAAGCTCAAAGTTTACATCCATACATGGCGTTTTCGTTTGGGGGTTAGGTAATTTTCTACCTGATCCCCGCAAATGATGAATAATTCATTTATATATCCTTACCACCAAATAAAATGGACAAATTGTAGTTAGATATATTTTGTTCTTTATTTTATTTTTTTGGACGCTGCGGTGTGCTGTATATTCAGGGCCGCTGTTGACAGTGTTTGGATGTACAATAAAATCTAATAATTACATACCCGGTCTATGGAGATATTACAACAAAAATGTCTATATAAACAATACGATATTTTTAAAACCTGTATAAACGTTAATGAAATTATACATTTTATAAATAAACTCAAATTATGAAGGTGTTTATCTAATGAAATATTAAATAAAAAACTGCTTACGGTATTATATCTTTACCGTTGATGATTCTTTTTTTAATGGATGGTAGTATTATTAATTATGAGGTGAATTTCCTGGTTGTTTTAATCGATTTTTTGTTTTAACCTTTTTTAATTACTAATGGAAGCTTGGAGGATGCCAAATATATCGTTTGAAAAAAATCATTTTAATATAACAGCTTATTTAGGAGTCGCTTATACATCCCAAATTAATATTTAAAATATTTGCAAAACATAAATAAATAATATATTTTTGCTTCATAATGAAACAACAATGAATTTATTAGCTTATAATTATAATTATTAAATCCACTAGTTTAGAGTCGACCCGTTAAACTCGGGGGGAAGGGGCTTTTTAAAAGCCGTTTTTTTAGTAGTTGAGGTATGTGCTTATTTTTTAAATGTGATTACAAATTTTTACAATCACACATCCCCTACCGTCCCAACTTTTAAACTTTAATAACTTTGAAACTAATAAATTATCCAAAACTGGTTATCGACAGTAGAATTATTATTAATTAAAAAAATAATCAAATACCATTAGAACAACTTCAAAGTTAATACGGTTTAAACAAATAAAGGGCGGAGTAATATTTTTTAATATATATTAAATTTGTCTCAACTAATAAGAATAAAAAAAAGTCTAATATCTTCTAAGCATTTGTTGATTGGGTCATTGTTAACCAATCATCCGGTAAAGGCTTAACGTTATATTAAAACGATGCACTCTGGACGAACGTCGGCCACCCTAGTACTAATGTACACATTATACCTATTTAAGGGGATAAAAACTAAACATTTAAGTCAAAATTGATTTTATTTTTTTAGTATCACATGTATTTCAATTACACGAACTCAGACACAAGTATACTCGTATAAATACGTTGACTTAGACCTAGAAGTAAAAGGATCTCTAGTTATTTGTTATTAACTAATTGCAATTCTACTATATGTTTAATATATAACTACTACTACAATAATGTTCAAAATTGCGTAGGTCCAAACCATTATGTCGTGTTGGAATACATTTTAACAAACACTATGACTATCTACATAATATTAACCAAACGACGTTTGTAGTGTAGAAAAAGAAATATTTCAATCCTCATTGGTTGTTTCGGTACTAATTTCTTGGTTTTTTCTCTTCGTATTTTTCTTAAACATTTTACTTGATGCTGATGTCTGATGGCTTGAGGTTTGAGACATTTCAAAATTCCCTGAAATAAAAAAAACCAAAGTACTTCAGGTATTGTGGTTTTGCAAAAATATGTATTGGCTTTTTTTAAAATTATAGTCTCAATTTTATTATTGGTGAGCGGAATTTGATGGATTTGAATGAATGAGTCATTGGTAATGAACGACAAAAATTCTATAGTTTACCACTATTTGAATGGAGATTTGGTCGTTTGAAAATGTTCCTTGCAGTCAAGATGTTCCTGTACTTGGGGGTGGTGAACGTGTACAAAAGCGGATTAACGAGTGCATTAATGGGAACGATGAAAACGACAACCCATCCGTATAATTCACCTGGATAATACAAAAACTGACAAATAAAAAAATAACAAATAACCAACAGAACCTACTTGAAATATGGAATTTCTGTATAGCTGCAAACTTCAGTATGATTATTGGAAGCCAACACAAAGCGTTGGCCAAAACGATGAAGAAAAACCGAACGGCGAATTCAAAATCACCAACCGAAATGCGAGCCGCTCGTCTGGTTTTCCACACGCTTATGAACATTAATGTGTACAGAGCTGACAGTAACAAAAGACTTGAAAAAAAAAACAATACAAAGCATAATTTAATTGTAAAAAAAATATGGAACTTGTACAGTTTCAGTTCAATAAAGAACCTACAAAAAACCACTAGTGGGTAAAAAAAATAACTAAAAAATATCAATTATTACAAAAAGAAATAAGAAGTAAATAATAAGATAATAAAATTAAGTTGTAAGCCATGTTTAATTTAAAAAAAAGGTTTTGTTTAATAATTTATTTATAAATAAAGTTTAAAACTGAAATAAAAATAAACCCCAACTTTAAGTTTACTATTCAAGCAATGCAAACCCGCCGTTTTTGTGCGATCGTACACCGACACATGACCTGATATTTGCAACAAGTCAAGCATTATAAGGTAATAAGTAAGTAAGTATAATAAGTAATAAGTATTACTTATAATACTGTATACTACCTAATGTATGTGCACTCGGGCGATAACAATAATTATAATAATGAAAAAATGTTGTGATTAATATGAGATACGGTTTACAAAACATAATCATTAATCATATAGTGTTGAATGTACATTATACAGACCTTTTGTTCAATAATTTCCCGACCATTAAACGTTTACAGTGTACAAATTGAAATACCTAATCGACCGCAGAGATGTATCTGAGTGTATATTGTTTGGGTAAATAAATATATAAAATGCATTCCGCCGTATCTGTCTATTGTGTTTGAATAATGACTGTTATATTATATTGTGTGTACATTTTTTTTTATCCTTAACTCAAGGGGTTGTTTGCCGGAAAGAGAAATTAAACGACACTGTTTGTTTAACAAATTACCTCGCCGAGTGCAATCCCAAAAAAACAAAAGCCGAGTACTGCCATCCGATGAGAAATGGATCTTCGATGTACAAGGGATAGCACAAGCCGTTGGAACCATAAAATTTCGTCGCATGTTTTAACAGGAGCACTGTATTAGTAAAACAATCAATAGAAAATATAATGAATTAACAATACAATGTGAATTTATTATGTGTGCTCTAAAACCAGTAATTCATAATTAATATAGGAATGTACCTTATAAAGATCCTCGTGGATTTAATATTACCATGAAATCGGGTAAGGTTCTACATTTTTACAATTTAATTTAATAATTAAATGGCCATTTATTTGGAAATATGTACTAATTTTTTGAAGGGGAGAATTTTTATGTCGATAAAATATGCTTTTGGTGACACAAGCAGAAGTAGAGTAAAGCATTTAGTTATTGGCAGTGGTAATGTTATTGGCATACCAAACTTAATTTATTAATAATTAGTACTGTGTCAGACTTTTAAAAGATTTTTTTTAAATAACTAGTCACACTTTTTTCATTTTGCGCACAATATAAGAATTGCTGCTGAAAAATGTGGAGTTGCCCGGCCACCTTGCAGTTTAGATAAAAAAAAACCAGACAAACAAAACGATGTCATGTGGATTTTCACTAGTTTAAAGTATTAATGAAGAAGATGCAATTGTAAAATGACTACTTGAATACAAAAAGTGTAAAATTGTTTTTTGGTAAAAAAGAAAAGCCTACTAAACTTAGTTTTTTTATAAATATTTAATATGGCTTTAAATGGGATCTCAAAGTAGACAGTGTGATATATCGTATACAAAGTGTAAAAGAAAAATTTTGCAGCATACATAAATAAAATTATTGTAACTTGACATTAATGTTAATACATTAATGTCAAGATAATTTACAGGCACTCGGTTTTTCACGAAGAAAAATAATAAAAGTGAAAACTTTTAGTTGTTAAAAAGTTTTTCATATTTTAAGTATAACACATCAGTTTACATTGCAAAAAAGTTCTCAAAATTAACAAAAGAAGGAGCTTGATTTGTTTAGTAAGAAATATTGCTAAAAGTAGAGTGCATTTTATCATAAAAATGAGATTTGGAGAGAGAGAGAGAGAGAGAGTAAAGTAATTTTATTTTTGCAGTTACTAAAATTCTTTCATACGGATTCAAGACAATACTGGAGCAAAAATGTCAAAGGTATTTTCAAAATCATGACAGCTCAAGGTGTGTACTTACGCGGTGCGACGGAGATGCATATTGCTACCAACCATATTGCGGTTACGCAGTAAGTTGCGGTTTTTAATTTCAACACATGATAACCGGAAAACGGTACGGCGATGAGCAAGAATCTCTCGAGGCTGAGAAACACCAATATTAGAAGCGACACCTAAGAAAATATTATAAGAAAATTTAATGTGAATTTTCAATAGAACATCTGAAATTTGCAACAAATAACGCTCCAAGAGCGTAACTGATGTGCTCGCTTGACGATAATTATTATTACTTGGATGACCTTTGCTTCGAATATTGTCCTCTCCTGTTATGTCATACTTATTTGAAGTTACTATAAACATTTTATGATTTTGCAGGGCGATTCAGTAAAATAAATTTCGTTATTGAAACTGGACATTTAGCTCAATGTTTGTGTATACAATTATTATTGTCGTCGAGCGTATCCTAATGGTTGTGCGATAACACCACAATGTTCTTACTTCGGATGAAACTACGGCGATCATTCCTATTATTGTGCACAAGCTGGACGACTTCCACTCGTGGGCGTAAATGTAAAATTCGTCGCTGTATTTCAAATCGTGATAACCGATGACTGTCAAGTACAACGCCATCATTATGTCTGCCACTGAAAAAGCGAGTAAAGATCAAGACGGCATTTACATTTAATACACATAAACCAATGTAAACGCCCACCACGAAACCTTTATTTTGACCACTTACAACTATCTCTCATTTCCAGAGCTCAGCAATCACTTCTATAATAGGTTTTCTGTTCCAAATGTATCAATTTTTAACACCAAATTTAAACTATCAAGCTGATTAAATGAGTTTTGAGGAATATTAAATTTTAGATATTTAAATGTTCCCCCGAGTGATCCGTATGTATGATTCAACCAAATTGAATGAATCATTTATCAAAACGTACCAAGTTTTTTTAATCTGAACCGAAACTTTCCATAAACGGATACTTTGAGGTTTTAGCTTGACCTTTACGTTTTTGTACTCAATAATTATTGTATTCTTGTATTTTTAATTGAAAAAATAAGATTTACCGGCCAGGTTACGGATGACGAAGTTGATACCATGATTTTCATCTCTGAGATTGCCGAACATGCGACCGTAGAGAACCATAGTGTTCATGACTAGCGTAAAGAAGGCCACTGGCCACAATGTCCACCGGAGAATGGGTTTTGGCAAGAGATTTAAACCCGAAGATAAATCTGTCAACCAACCGCATTTACGTGAATCTCAAAAAAGGTTGTATTCAAAGTATTTACACCGGAAATGAGCGGAACCGCACCAAAAATCGATTTAAAAAAAAACATTTACATCATTGAGCAAAATATGTATTAGGTAGGTTTTTGGGAACTGTTGTTGGCTTCTTGGGTATATTGATAGCACAAATTTAGCGTTATCTTCCATGACAGAAGGGAAAAGTTATGAAATTAAAAAAAATGTTTTTAGAAAAGCTCCTCTGGCAAAAATATGTTATCAGATTAAAAGGAATGACTAAGTTTTTTTAAAATAGGAACTAGTAGGAACTAGTACTGAAAGCACACGAGCGGCTTCACTTGTCATAAAACTACAGGTTTGAAAATGTTTACCATCCGTGTTCGGATAACAGAGAGGCACGTTCCTGGCGTACAGAGCGCAATAGTGAAATTCTTTCAAGTACCTGAAAAAAATTATAAATACTTTCATTATAAATGCACTGGGCGTACTTGTTTCACTATAAAAACGTACAGAATTCTGAGTTTGTCTAATTTTCGAAACACCGTCGCATCCATGTTTCTTTTGTCTATACCTTCTAGAGACCTAAAATCACAATTATGTACCATACTCACAACACAAACGAGCAGACCTGTTGTACTTACAAAGATTTTAGATTGGACATGGACTTGTACACGTCTCTGTGTATGTACTTAACCGGATTGTACGCCAGCGAACTGTGGATGAAAACAAAACTCAATTACTTAGGCATTAGGACTTGTGCATTGAAACTAATATAGCATACAACTTGTCGATGGACGTCAACGGCCAAAACATAGAGGGCGTCACCGTCATTATGTGGTTGTTGGTCAGATTCCTGAAAAATGTACTCTTAATTTTACTCTTATAAACACAGGTATAATTATATTCAGTAGTTACAGTTCAAGTAGTCTGGTCTGGTTGACAAATGCGCGTTCGTCGATAAAAGAGATTGCGTTGAAAGATAAATCTCTAGAAGAAATAAAATATACATTTTTATACATTGTGTATAATATTATACAAACTGCGTTGTTACTATACGCCTCGCACTTACAAGTCTGCTAAAGACGGCAAATTTGCCAACAGACATTTATCCAGTCTTTCAATGCGGTTGCTCTGTAGGTTCCTGTATTATAACCAAAGATAAAAATTGAATCGTTTAAAACAATAATTAACAAACGGCATACAATTGCATTCGAAATAGTATTACATTACTCTCAGCGACGGCAACCGTGGCAAACAGACGTTTTTCAAACTCAGCATGTTGTTGGACAAATCTCTATAAGACAACGACAATATTGTAAGTTCGCAATTTTTTAAATTTTTATAAAATTTTAAAATAGAATCCAGAATTTTCGTTACAGTCATTTTAAATTGGTCAAATGAAGCCACGAGTCTGTATTCAACAATGCTAAGCGGTTGTGATCTGCATGTAATTGTTCGAGATTTGTTAATCCGTACAGCGCGTTTGGCTCTAATTCTTCTAGTTTGTTTTGTAATAAAAATCTATATAAAAAAAAATTAGTTATATTTGATCAAGGATAGAAATAACAACTAGAGTCAATATTATTTACATCCATTGTAGTTGATTTTGATGGGCAAACACGAACGGAGGTATTCTTGTCAAAGAGTTATGGTGCAAGCTTCTGTGCATGATAAAATGTTTTCATTAATACAAGCCTGTAATGAACCTACCTATCAATAGTAATTGGATTTTGTTCAGGATTTAAAAACCGATTATGGTGAAATTCAACAGTAAGCTCTACAAGAGTGTAATAAGACCGACTGGCTATGTTGTATAGTTTGGAGTGTTGGGTGGTAAAAGAAAAATAGAAATAAGAATGAGTATAGCGTATAGATGAAAATGCTTAAGCATAGAAGAAATTTCAGGCCAATTTTCCAGATAAGAAAGCGACTCTGGTCTCTAAATGGTTTAGTGCAGAATTTTGAATAACCAATAACTCGAAATTAAATTTTTTCGATATGGGTCCCTATTCTCTTTCCGTCTTACATGTAATATAAATGATTTTTAATTTTACTTTAGTACAATTAACAGTAGATTTAGTAGATTAAATGCGTCTTAAAAAAAATTAGCTAAGAAGTATGAACTAAAGAGTAATAACAACTATTTTGTTCCATCGTCTCTTAAAGATCAACAAAAATGTTACAACGCATGGATTAGTTTCGCCAATTTTAGAATATTTTTTACAACTAAAATTGTATATATATTAGACAAAAAAAAATGTGTTTACCTGAATAATCTTTAATTTAGGGTAAAAATAATGAAAATTAAAAATTTTTAACTTAATTGATTAATATCTAGAGGTAACTAAGCTATTTGTAAAGTTGATATAAATTTGTGAAGATGATACCTTATTTACTTTTACTATATTTTTTTTAAATTTTGAAGCTATAATATTCGGAGAGGGTTTGTTGGAAAGATGATAAAAAAACTTCAAAGTAAATGAGAAAATTGTTTTATTTATTATTGGTTTATTGAGTAAAATGTTTAATAACTTTAAACCCCGAACTTAATATTAAATGAACTTTCAAGTAGTGATATCCATTATTTTTCTTATATTTTGCGTAAGTTTTTTTTAATTATCTTTCCAATGATCTTACTCCGAATATTATAGTTTCAAAATGGAGAAAAATATAATAAAAGATATCAACTGCACACGCGTTAAGCAAATAGCTAAGACAAAATAGCTTTGAGTTTAAATATTATCCGATCAAGTTCAAATTTTGACAATTTCCTACTTTAACCCTAAAGACTTTTCAGATAAAAAAATTATATTGGGTATGTCTAATAAATGTATATACTATGGGACATTCTGAGTCAAACCAAGCGGCCATCGGCTCGACCTCCTCAACATTTTTAACTTTAATTTTATTCGTTAGGCACATTTTTCACTTTTTACTCGTATAATTTCAAAAAATCAAATTTTACCAAGAAATGTGGTTTGGTTCAGAATGCCCTATGTACATCCATAACAAGCGGACTTACAAAACTTTCAAGTTGGTATATTCGTCAAATGAATCGTTAGTCAGCAAAATAGTGTTGTTGACGAAGGCCCTAAAAAAATAATTATTACATGCTCTAAAGTCTTAAGGCCCGGTCAAACAGAAAGTGGACAGTCTGCAGTCCGCCGTAGACTGGGATAGTCAAACAGAATGCGGACAAGGTTGAGCGAACCAGTGTGAAATCAGCCACCAAGGGTGCACTGTGTGTTGTTTTTGCGTTTTCTATTTTATTTTTAAATGTCCAGCAGTTCTTCTGGCGAAGAAGAATATCGCTTCTTCTGTTTGCTTTGAGTCAAAGAGAAATGAGTGCATAAAAAAAATGTAAAAAAAATGAGTTCGGTGAGTCTCACCGACTGTGTTGTGAATTGAGTTCTTTTGAAAATCGGTTTTTCACATATCATCGAATGTCTCAAGTAAAATTTGAGAACTTACACACTGTTAGAACATAAAATATACTATACATATATGCAAAATTATTCCAGTCTACGCGGACAGTCCATTTTCTGTTTGGCCAGGCCTTAATTAAACGTGGTAATTTTTTTGAATAAGTTAATACTATTTTTTTACATAGCATAAATACATAAAAAATTTTTTTTTTTAATTTAATGAATTTGTATTTAAAGTATACACAAAAATGTTCAATAAAAATACTCCTGTTAGTTTCTCTTGTTAAATAAACAGGACAAATAACGTGGTCGAATTTAGAAAATGTTTTGGGTAGGTATATCAATATCAAATATGTAGCTATACTATAGATATAATTATTTCCCCTTACGATTATATAATTAACTTTAAATATATCAAAACCGTTTTGTCCGCTACAAATATTTTTCAATCGATAGCATTCGATTCTCATTCTAACTTTAAATACTAATGAGCACTGAATAGATAGAATATATTATACATTCAAGTAAATGCGTGACCTGGAGTTTTAACTATACATTAATTCATGCAATTAGGGGTCATTTGCTTGGAAACAAAAATATAGAAAGCAGTTGTAAATTTTATGGCCCTATAAACTTAAAAGCACGTACAGTTTACGTTATTTTTCATCAGATTTCCTGATTATTTATTCATGTAATATAAAACTAATTAGATACAATCCGAGCAATTCAATGCTCGTTGGGCGTTGTATCATGTATGATATGTATGTATTACTGTAATTTGAACAGAAATAATTTAGCAGATTATTAAAGTCGGAATGTCTGTTCAAAAAAGAACATTGTCCTATACGAAAAGGATATGGCTTAGAAAAAACAGAATTCTAGATTAGATTTCCTGTAGCGCCTAGTATTGTATAACATTAATCTTAGTTAGAAATCTAATAACGGCTTCACGTTGGGTTGGAATTAATTTTACTCACATGTTCACTACGTTTCTAGAAACGTTTCTGGGCACTGTCAATAGTCCTGCGTTATTGCACCGCAACGCTGTACCATAGCGACCACGACATTGACATGTTTTAGGATAGTTTCTCAAAGCTTAATAAACAAAAATTAATATCAAAAAATATGTTGCAACAAATATGGTGAAACCGTCCAACAATTCTTTAAAATGACACTCTGATACTATGTCATGAATGTAAAATGATATTATGTCATTGTAAAAACCGATGATTTTATTTTTGTAAAACAAAATAAAATGTATTTTGCTAATTTGGTTTCCTTAAATTGTGTATGGTTTGTTTTTGAAGTACCACGGTATGGGCCAGATATAAATGTAATAGAAACAATTTTGAAAAATGAAAATAACTTTTATAATATGTGATGTACAATTAAAGTTATTTTGTTATAATGTGCCATACTACTTATGAGAGAGGACTGTTATTACATAATATGTATAATATGAACATACTGTAATTGATATTAGTAATTATTAGTAATCGGTTTCGATAAAAATTAACTAAATTACCTTTACACTTTGATATGAAACTTGCCAATGGCTATATTGATAGGGTATTTGAATTGATTGATGTCAGTATAAAATTAAATACTGGTGTGACTGATTTAATCAATGCAAATTTGTAAATTTGTAATTGAAAACTGATGCAGTTTTTGCAAAATGTAAGGTAATTTATTTATTTTTCAAATAAAAAGTATCTGTGTTAGAATGCAATACATATATTTATTGTTTTTTTTTTATGATATGTTGAATGTTAATAAATATTCAAAATTATTTTATATTGGTTTGCTGTTTGCATACATAAGTGTCAATGAAAAACACAGTTTTTAAATTTATTTGAATCTATTTACGTTTAAACGTATTTACGTTTTTATAGTGGTCGTCACGAGCTTGTGTTATATTATACATTTTTGAGATTCTAGCACGTAAGTACGTTATTGCAACTTGACAGTTAAGCCGGAAGTATTCTTAATACTGACGGTTAAGAAGAAATGACTTACCACAAGGCGTTGGCGTAGTGTCTTCCTTGATTACTTGTCCGTTTGAGTTTGTTTTATTTCCGTTTGCCATTATGTTATATTTTTCAGTGTTCACGTCTAGTGTTGTTCTATTTGTTTTTACAAATTCTTGGTAAATCGATAGACTACCATGTAAGTCGGCTAAACAATAACGAGCAATTGAAAAGATATAAAAGTTTTTTTATTATCTATAAAATAATCGGCGGTCACGATCCATACACTTATGTTACTTTCACGCATTTAAGAACCTAAATAAACAACTGCAGACAGTTTTGGAAACATGAGGAAAAAATCTCGTTTCAATTTACTGTGATTTTTTATGTCAAACTTAACAGAAAAATCTATCGGTAAACAACTCTTTAGAGCCTGATCTAAAATGAGGGCTAATATTACAAACAGAATTATAAAATTAATAAATTGCACATTACAGTGCAAGCTGTCGTCAAAATAATAAATAGTCGTCAAATACAAAAAAAAAAGTAAAATTCGTTTGTTTGTTATTAATACTGACCGCATTGGACGACATCTTCGTCTTCTCCGTGAAGACAATCTTTATAATGATTGCATTTGTATAGATTCGGCATGCAGATTTCTGATTTCGTACACAAAAACGATCCTTCGTGACATACTTTGGTACCTGAGAAATAAAAAATTAAATAAATTAGTTCAAACGAATAGCTAAGACGTTCAGGTAGAAGTCTAGTTTTTCGATAATATGTATACTGTAGACATATTTTGAATTTGTTTTTCACTATCCGACATAGTTTCAATGTACAAATTTATAACTGTTTGAGATAAAAACAAAAATTTAACCCTGTTCTATTCAAATGAAGCGAAATGTCTTGCATAGATCCGTGAGTCACTCCCCCCGGCTCTTAAGATGGATATTTAAGCACTACTGATTATTCTATAGTAAATGGTGAAACCTAAGACTGTATACTTACCCTCAAGTTCATTTAAGTTCCATAAAATTGTCTTAAATTAAAATTTTTTAACATTATAACGTTTTTTAGTGAAACAGTAGTAGTGAAAACCTAAAAAATTATTTATCGTTTTCAGTTAACTAATAGTCTCTCAGCTCAGCTTCGAAGCTAAAAAGAAATATTAATGTTCTTCAGCTTATAAGTTTCTCAAGTCTCGTTTTATATTTGTGAAATGGCTGAACGTAATAAATAATAAAAATGTTGGATCTCTAGCTAAACAATTGTAGAAGTTTTGCTTAATTAAGCTGTTATCAGTCAAACTTACCTTACACCTTTGACTCTAATAAGACATTTTTTTTTGTTATTTTACCATGGCAAGTTCGATATTTTTTTGGTTTGCCGTGATTTAATTTCTAGCATACATATAATTTGTTTTCAAGGAAGTTATGTGTCAATGATTTGGCAGCAGCGTGTCTCTTAACTTTATTACACAATATCTACATAAAATATGCATTCCAATGATATTATGCTACATCTTTTAAAAACGTTTTTGAAGATTTTTTTTTTCATTAATACATGGACAAAAACGGGTCAAGCATTTTTGTACTCCGGACATTATAATACGTCATTTAATACCTTTTTGATTTGATAGGTTTTTACTTATATCTATAGCGTGTATACTCGTCAAGTCGACATGATAATATTATCCATTCAAAATGGTTTTCATACAGGTATGAGTATTTTTTTTAACTCTTCCAATTACTGAATTTCCTCTATCCTCCTTTTCATAATTTCCCTTTAACCGTATTTCACACATAAATAGTAGGTATACAACAGTGTTAAGAAGGTCGACCCGGGGGATGAAACTCCTTTGATCGACCCTCTGCCCTACAACCCCCCTCCCTCGGTGGCTTTATTCGAGTTACAGACGATTTTCTCAAGCGTTAGAATTTAGCTAAGCCGTAACGGTTTTTTTTTTTGGCCCGTTTAATAAAATAAGAAAATGACGAATCGTGCAGACTTACCGAAATTCAAGTGCAGCGTGATCAGAGCCAGGACGAACAAGCAGAGTATAATGAAAACGCTAATGATGGCCGTGCGAGTGGCTTGCATGGTTGCTTTTCCGACTGTTACGCGGGTCCTGTTACCTGGTATCTGGTACCTGTACTGTGCGGTAGTGCGCGGTTACTCGAGGCGTTGCGTTTTATATACTTTTGTGCGCTACCGAAATGCCCGAAATTATCCCGTTTGTTCGCCCTTTATCCGCGGTCCGTGATGAATGCCCCGAAGCCGTCATTACCGTTGCTATTGTGTGTTTTGATAAAATAATAATTGCGTCCGAACCGAGTACCTACGCTGAAATAGCAATTAAGCCCACTTGATACGATTCGGGCACGTCATGTCGATTTGTATTGCAAACAAATCATCGGGATTAGTGGAATAATCATACACAATATTGTATACGTACCCCTATGGTCTTTTTTCGGTGAAAAATGCAAATACCGCGAAAATAAATCAAGACCAGAGACGATGTGGTGGGGGGGGGGCGGCGTTCTTAAGTGTTTTAACATAAATTCAAATATAGGTCACGCGCAAGCGGCGGCTTTTACGTCGTTGGCAATGGTTTCTACTAATCAGCCAGACAATGCTCAATCAAATAATTGTTATTGACCAAGTTCAAATGACTTGAAGTAGCCCATGAAATCGAGATACCAACATCAACACGGAAAACGCACCTGGATCTTGCATCCTTAAAGAGCTACCTAAAAAGCTGGCAATCATCCACCTTACTCACATCTTCAATGCCATCAATGGTGACAAGTCGGTGCACGTTAACTACACGTTACGTAAAACCGCATATATCCCAGTCACGCTAAATCAATAGATAATCCCACAAAATGATTCAGCAAAAGCGACTTCACTAGAAAACGTCATGTACGCCAGAAGAAGTTGCAAATCAAAGAAAAAAATGCGCAAACTGCATTGGTTAATTGGGCGACACTCCGAGCTAAACCTAACCGGCAAACAGCTCCTGTATATATCAATCGTTAAACCGATTTTGATCTATGGTATTCAACTGTGGGGTTATTACATGTAATAATACTCCTGTTGATTTATACTTATAGAGATTTTTTTTAATCATTTCAATAAAAATGTCTTTTGGCAGTTAAAAACAAAAATATATTAAAATGTTTTGTTCAAATTGGAATTCATATATTCTCGTGTCAAAATAACACCACAACGGTACATCCACTGCCGTCTATCCCATACGGCATAAATGATATGCTACAGCGGGCCAGCTCGCTTATTGTGATCACCGGTTTGAATTGAATACATAATTTTCTTGTCATTATCTCTTAGACAAGTAGTTTATAGCATAATATAATATTACCTTATATCAATTATTATTGGTAAGGACGAATTCGATTTATGTACTTTAAACGTGCCAACCAAAAATTTTAACTAACTTAATGGCTATTTTTTTGACAATTTAGCACTTCAACATACCCGTTTAAAATACAAAAAATTGTTCTTAGAATGTCCGATCGATACACCAGTAAAGAAATAATATGTTACAGAAACTCAAGTTCATCATTATTCTTATTAGTGAATTAGTATTAAAAATGAGTAGGAGGAATGTATGAGTGATTGGCGGATACAGAGGAAAGGTGAATTTATTTATAAATACTGTTAAAGGTTAACAATTACAGTTAAATTAGGTTAGGTAAGGTTGTTAATTATTACCAATTATTATACAGTTGAAAGTATATTTTATTTATTAATTAATATTTGTATGAACTAAAATAGGACATACTGTAAATATAATAATACATAAGAAACCTTTTAAATGATTTAAACTTAATTAGCAAATGAAAATTACAAGTCGTTAAGTACAATTAATCATGCAACTTATAAATTAAACAGCTCTATCATATTTTTAATATTTCCAATATCATTTCAATTGAAATTTAAAAAATTATTTTCATATACATTTGTAAGTATTGCAGATACAAAGTGTTACGACATTAGAGATGCTCATACACGTGTCTGATTCATAACTCCAAAAGTAAAAATGTTATTATGATATAATTATAATGATATTAACTTAATGTTTATTCATATTTAAAATTATTATAATGTTATATACAAGTAATGTTAGCATTTTGAAACAATGACAATACTCGATTGTAGTGTTGTATCAATTAGTTAAACAATTTTTATTTTATTTTAGTCAACATTTCAAAATTTTAAATTGTATTTTTTTAAAAATGTTTTATTAGTGTTTATCATTAGTAAAATACGATTTATACTTATATGTATAACCCATGGTTAAAAAAAATATCTATCTATTCTAAACGTCTAAAATATTGTTGATATTTTAAAAATATTTACAAAATGTTATTTAAGTACTATAATATTACTTTCTACGTTTTAATCATATTTAAACCACGTTTTTAAATTATTATTTTTTAATTACCTCCTGTTAAAATAGAATTTCAAATTATTTTAAAAATATTAACACATTTTTGACAACATTTTGAAAACATTAATATTTTTTGCTATACTTGTAATGTTGTTATTAAATTTGGACTATATGTAAAATTATTCCGTTTGCTTGATATAGTTGCTTTAATAAACTTAAAAAAACAGCTTGTCGGTTCCTGAGAGTTGTATGAACCTGTACGTTAATATATTATGTTGTTATGTGTAGAATATGGGCTCAGATCATGTATACCTAGAACCAGTACTATTTCAAGTTTGGTATGTGAAACGTTTCGGGCAACTTCAACTTGCCAGAAAGAAAGAACGAAATAAAACGAAAATCTATGATTTCATGAATACCCCTTAGGTATTCTTGGAGCTGTATGATGTGTTTGCTATACTGTAACGATTGCACGTCTGTGTTTAACCCGATTTTGGGAGGAAAATTATTGGCGCTGAAAAGTGCTTGAACCTGTTGATGTTGTACGCCAAGACCATGCAATTCTTCTATAATTATGTGCTTAAGTTCGGTATTCATCAGTTGTATCTGTTGGGCATACGCTAAACTGAAGCTGTAATTTACAATTTTGATAGACAAATTTTTCAAAGCGTTGATTAATAATACATCAGCGATGCCTAGTAAGTGGATAGCCTTCGAAAGCGGTGTGATTATCATTGCCCTAAAGGAATTCATTTGTAATGTAAATTGTATCTGCATTATGTCGTTGACCATACGTTGCGATAAGCTATTCTGCAACACGAAGGAGTGCTTCCACACGAGATACATTAGATTCACCTTAATCAATCGCATAGTCGTTTCGTGGAGTACAACCGAGTCGTACGGCCGTTTGATCCATTCATTGGGCTGACTGGTAATTATGTACTTATCGCTGTTCAACAGCAACTTGGTCTCTTCCCATTTGGTCATTATTCCTTCCGGTTTCAAAAACAGCACATGGCCTTTGTCGTATATGTCAGACAGCGTTATATATTTGTACGAAAGTCGTTTGGCAAATGAGTGTATTTCACCGAAAAATCCTTTGCCGCTTGTGTTGTAAAGCTTTTGACCGACCTTTATCGTTCTGTACCGATCGTGGTTTTTCACTATTGTGTCTGGATTAGTGATGTATTCGCTTGGCAAATAGTTGTTCAACCGGCATAGATTTACATGTTGAGTAATGTCATTTGCCAGCTGGTCTTCGATCAATTTTTCTTTTGTATTAGAATGCAACAAAATCTGTTTGTCGTCGATCGACTGTAGTCTCAGATAAACTCTCCAAAGCAAGTTGTGCCCCGTGACTTTGCCATAGTACAACCACGAGAGCATGCGCGCTATTGTCACTGTATATTCGTTCAATAATTTCATCATTTTTTCGTTTTTATTCTGCAAGTTTCCATCCAACAACTGGTGAATTCTTAACAAGTAAACTTCCAATAACGCCGAGTTCATACACTGCACTGCTTCCATTTTCTCTTTATACTTCAGTACAACTATTGCCTTCGATTTTAAACACTCAATTTTGCCGTTGCACGATTTCGACAACGTCTCCAATTCCTCTTCGTTAAACTGAAATCGTTTGTGTCCGTCTTCTCCGTTCGATTCCAATGTCTCTACGTCGTTTAACATTTGCACAATATGTTTGTTGTAGACGGGTTCGTCATCGTATGAGTAAATCCAACTGGTTCCCTACACAATGACATGCGAATAAAAATCCAATTATAATAACAGTGACCTAACACAGGACAAGACAGTCTCGTCACCACTAAAATATGGACTCGGGTTGGAGATTTCCGAGACAATCATTTCAAAGCAATCAGTAAATTTGTATTTAAAATACACTAAAAATCTAGTTAAACGAGTAGTTGACGTTGTTCAACATTGTCAAAATTTGGTGCAATCCATTGTTATTTTTTTTAGCGCATTCTTATTAACAGTAAACTATTAGGTTAATTTGTATCTGAACATTTTATGAAAATAAAACAATACTTTAAAGTTGTGCTTTTATATATTTTTTTAGTTATATTAATATCTTAAATATTTCAAAATTATGAATTTATTGCGGTAACAATAATACCACACTTCACTCTTTCTCCCGTCTAAAATTTTAAACTTTAATAACTTTAAAAGTCAATAACTAAAGTTGGTTATCAACCAGTCAAAATAGTCAGAAAATTATTCTTAATTTGAAAAGTTAATAAAATAGATAGGTTACCGTTTAAACAGCTTCAGTTTATAAGGTTTTAACACATAAGGGGTGGGGTTAAAACATTTAATATTTTCAAAGATATTGACTGTTTCATAGTTAGTTAATCATCCTGTAAACGATGTCTCCTAAATGTATGTCAGTTGCATAATAATTTTATGTAGAATTCGAATTTTTTATCACTAAGATTTAGAAGGTTTACAACATAACACGTTAAAATTTTTAAATACTTTCACCAAAAAAGTTGGTGACAAGTTTGAAAATGTTAAATGTATTATGATAATTTATTATAATTGTAAAGAATAGACTGTATAGTTAAACGATTAAGATTATGTATGTATTTTATAAAATTAATAGGTCTAAACTCTAAGGTATTAATAATGAGTGAAAATGTTATAGTCCTATTTATGGTTATTGTAGTTTTTTTGCATTTCAGTTGTACAAAAAAAGTAATATTATTCAGTAAAGTAATATTTATTTGTATTGATATTGTTTTAGGAAGATGGAAAAAAATATTGTATCATCAGGAATCAAAACGTTATAACATAATAATGTAAATCATATAGGTATTTGTATTAAATTTTTGGAAATGGGTATAACGTGTGCGTACAGCGACCTACAATATACCCAAGTCAAAAAATATGATTTCCTAGTCGAGCTAACGTTTAAATCTGATAACTATCTAATCTAATATCTATCTTATGTTATTTATTATATTACAAATAAACGAAACCGGTATACTACTTGAATAGTGTTTCCAGTATATCTTGCTGCTACAGACGTGTAAAATAATTGAATTAAACATAAAAAAATAAATACAACACTTTGTGTGGGGCCAGCGACGTACATCGTCAAATGTATAGTTTTGTCGTTTGTAAAATCAGTACAAAAATATTAAACAACGACAATTCGGTTGGTAAAACCTAAAGAGTAAGTGCTAATAGTAAGAGTGTTAATACCTTAAAAGTACGATTTGTATCTCACCAATATGAATCGCAAATAAGTTAGTGTATTATTTTATCCGCAGATGTTCTTTGACGCAAGTAAAGCATACACCATAAACAAGACGTTTATTTACAATAGAAAGAAGCCCGTTGAGCAACGTTATTTATTATAGACATGTATATATTATTATGATGATATATTTTTTCACAATATTATTTATGATTTATAGTATTACATTTTAAAGCTGTTATATACAATACATATATATATAACAGTATTATATATAATACTGGAGCTAAATTGAAAAAAAAGTTTTATTATTAATTAAAAATAATAATTAATGATGTCATTATTATATTTTTGTAATGTCTTATAAACAGTTTTATTTTATATTAAATTACACACACATTTTTTTTGATTATTGTGTATGTCGTCTAAAAAACAAGATTGTATTAAAACTTAATTATTAGCTTTTAAAAATATTTTATAAATACCTAGGTATATTAATGATATTTCTGGCGTTCCTTTTAACTCGAGGTACACAATTTCGATTTGTATTTTTTTATTTTCAGCTTAACTGAGCGTTATGCTTTGTATTGTATTTTACAAAGTTTCAATGATGCGTGTATGCCTAAAGATAACACGAGACAATGTCTGTAGTAGAGGAAACTTTTATAAGAGCGGTCATTATAAAAGTTTTGTATTGATCAAAAGCAGTCTTTAAACCTGAATGTAGACACTTTAAAAGGAAAGTTATTTTAGGTATTCGCTTTAATGATTAAACCCTCTGGAAAACATCTAATGAAAGTTCCTTCAGGTTCAATAACAATTTAAATAATTTTCTTTGATCAGTATAAACATTACCTATACTGTATTATAAGTTTGGAGTTCTTTGATGCGATATATATAATTAAAGGATCCGTCATAGTGACCTCGTCAATAAACCTTTGATACACTTTTACAGATGAATAACCGCGATAGCGATGGTCTAGTTAGAATAAACTGTTTAGAATAAGTAGTAGTAAAAGAATAAGTTCAAATAATTTCAGACTAATAATTATTATGACGATCATTATTAATTACACAGGTCTCATTTTATTTTTTCCATAACATCAATTCTTGAAAACAAATTTATGACATTTTTTCGTTTTTTTTTAAACCATAAAATTATTTTGTCTAGCGTTTTTGGCTATTTTATTAACAAGTTGACTGATTCAACTCTCAAAAGCTCAAAGCTCTAATATAGCTTACCAGTCAACTTGTTAATCACATAAAACTGACGCATACCTATTAAGATGTTCTATCGGCAACCAAAATTGCCACGGAAATGTCTATTTAAATAGTTTTATAAATTAATATAAAAATAATAGTTATTTTAATCATAATTTAAAATAAATTATGGGATCGTCTAATCTATGACATATATATATGTACTTAGGGGGAAATTATGTATTATTATTATTCTGAAGAATTAATCATCAAAAATTCTCAGCGGACCTTTATTTTATTTCATTAAAGCCTAAACCCAAAACATTTGTTTTAAGTGTCAAGTGTTTGTACTCATAGATATATAATTTGTAGACCGTTGTCGTTGTATTTTGTTTCTGCTCCCGTGACTTATTTTATGTACAACATGCAAATAAAACATAACATATAAACTTGTAGCGGTTTCTGCGTTCATTAATAACATTCAGGATCAAAATATTTATTACTACAACTATATGTCGTCTATATTTTACGAGGATACAATATAAAAACATAAAAATAATTCAGTATAATTTATTCATAGTTATTTTCTTAAAATTCATAATAGCAGTATGAAACAAAAGCTAAAAATTATATAAAGAGTTGTTTTTCTATTAAAGTGTAATTAAGATTATTGTTAAATACAAATTGTAATAGAAATAAAAATTGGAAATTGTTACTGCACATATGCTGATACGTTGTTGTTATATTTACATATATATATAAATGTTATATAATATACGAGTACTACAAAAGAAATAAAGCAAAATAACATATAATATTATGGTATAATATATACGGTTATGTGGAAGTAGGTCTGGTTTCTTAAACGTTCAGTGCTGAACTAACCCAGATTTTCCTCTTGATATTTGTATTATGTCAGATCTTGTTGTAAGAAATTAATGTTATCGGAAAATATGAATATTTTGTAAATTATTTGTTTCTCATACTTGAAGGTACATAGTTTTCTATATTTTTCAATACTTAAAAAATTGTCATATTTATCCCTTACACAGAAAAAATATGGATTTCGTTTTTCCAAACAGGAACATTTATTTTTTAATTAGGTACATAAATATGTAGACAACAAATTAAAAATTCGTTTTTTTTTATTATTCAACAAGTGAGATTTTTTACAACATTTTTTTTATATAATAATATTGTATATATTGTTAATGTTAGAGCTACTAATAAAATACAACTGAAATTTAACTTTTGGAATAATTCAAATTCTTTATTAGTCTTACAGTTCATTACATGTTAAATTTTAGTAAAATATTACTATGCGATAAATAGTTGATTGGAATTAATATGAACATGAGTTCATAAACATATGAAGTGCATATAATTACATAGTGTTAGTTTATTTTACAACATTTTTTATATAAACAAAAACGACGACGAAAAAAAAAAAATAAATTCGTCATAAATCGTATAATATAATAATAATAATAATAATTACAATGGCTGTAAGAAATAATCTGTATTAGATAATAATTGTTGATAGGAACACAAATTTAATAAATCAAAATTCTACCTAATGAAAATAATAAACAAAATATCAGCATGTATATATTATTTCTTAAATATTTTTATTTTTATTATTACTAATTTACTAAATTAATAACACTTTATTCAAAATAATTGTTTAATAACCGTTTTTCCACATCTTGACAATATATTGATAATATTATATATATATATATATATGTATATAATATACAATATATATTATGTTTTATGACGCATTACAAGCCATGAAAAATGTATCACCCAGACTCCGTTTGCTGGCGAAGAAAAAGTTAAGTAAATGAAAGTCAATCGGCAACATGGTTTCTCGGACTTTTTTTATGTAGTCTTCGAACTGGTGGGTGTTTTCTAAGAAAAGTGGCGATTTCAAATCCACCTCGTCGTCGATTACTGAAGGTATATTTTTAGGGACGTCGAATACAGAGTCCTCATCGTACAGGTGCGCATCAAGCTCCAATAGATCTGCCTTGATGATATCTTTCAGTTCGCCGTTCATATCGTCTAGTTGGGAGTGAAACCACCGGTTGTGACTTTCGTCCACGATATGGGTGCTCAAGATTTTTATAACGTTTCTAAGCACCAGATCTTGGATGTTCAGATCCGTGACGGTAATCTTCAGCGATTGTAATATGCCATTTTGGAAAGCCATTATCTTCGGCAGTGCATCTTCGACTCCCATTCGATCTATGAGCATTTTTAACACCGTACAGTGTTTCCACACAAAGTGCAGGAGCATCGTTTTGAGTACGCGCAATGCCGGTTCGTGGAATCTCAGCATCTGTTCGAGCGGCTGTCGGTCCGGTCTGCAAGCACAAGAGTTGACCAACAATTTCGTATCTTCCCAATTGACTCCCGGTGTTTTCCTTATTACATTTCGGTACCGGTCCACCTCGCACTTCATTGTGCCGGAAAACTTAGCCCAAATCGAACTGGCAGTGTCGTACACTCGGTTTAGCCACGTGGACTTGGCTTCGGGGTTGTCGTACAGTGCTCGGCTTAGCGTGATCACTAGGCTGTCTATTTCGTTGCTATCTCTTGGAAGATAACCGTGCATTTGGCAAAGGTCTAGGTGCTGTGACAGGTCGTCGTCCAGACGTTTGACCGTATCGGCCTTTGAGTCATTTTCGACATTGCTCAAGTCGGCATCCGGTATCAATCGCACATACAATTGCCACAACCAGTTGTGCGCCGGGACTTTCATGAGCAACAACAACGAGATCATGCGTTCCACAGTCGTCCGCCACATCTGGATCACATCAGAACTTGGCACGTTTTCCTCGTCCGACAACAGTTTGGAAACGATAGGCTTTAATATAACACCGTTCATGCATTGGACCGTTTCCATTTTATGTTTGTATTTGACCACAGACCTCGCCTTGTTCCGCAGGCATGTGATTTCATCGTTGCACGTGTTTGTCAACAGTTCGATGTCGGTGTTTTCTAAACGAAACGATTCACTCTTTGTCGCCAAAGTTTCTACATCGTTCAACTGTTCTACCACCGTATAGTTGTATACTTCGTCTTGTTGATATTGGTGTATCCACCGAAGTCCCTGCACACAGTAATACATACAATTCAACGATACACAATATAGGCTAAACATACTAGGGCCATGTCATGCCAATCCATCTAATGAGTGTGCTAGTGGATTTTCCAAATACCTCAAATTTATAAATCCTATGCAGCTAATAAAAAAAAATTGTCCATTAAAAATTATGAATCAAAAGAGTATAGTTTGGTGTGTCAGAATAAAAAAAATTGTTTTTAAAACATTAACCTTGAGTTAATTCCAAAAACATTTGTCTTTCTTCACTTTTCCTATTTAATGGAACTATCTTATAGGATATATAAGTTTGAGGCTTTTAAAAAATCCACTCGCACACACATTAGGTGATTTGGCATGGAATGTAATATGTAATGAAATGAGTAATATATATATATATATTACTATATGTATGTACTATTATATATGTATGTATTTATTACTTTTAAATTATGCTAGAATAGTATAATTGTATATTATCTTTTATAAGGATTTGCCTATAAATGTTTAAAAATGGTCCCTATAGGAAAATTTGAGGTCAATACGTGATAAAAAATAGTTTTTAATAGAAATGAGTAATTCTTAAATGTTAAAACTTCTTGAATCATTAATACATAATTAGAAAAATACAAATTTCAAAAATAATTTTGGTTCGTTTTTAATTTGATTGAATAACACGTTTTTTTTCTAAACTTTTAAAATGTATTACAAATAATAGTAAAACAATTTAACAATATATTTGATACACCTATTATTTCTATATTTTGTTGTTTAAATTATTTGTTAAAAATGTTTAATTAATAAAAAAAATAACCTCTTTTTTTTACTAATTTGTAGATCTTAAAATAAAATACGAGTTTGAAATTTTACCTCTAACTAGTTACGGTATGAGTTAAAATACAACAAAATAATAACTTTACCAAGATAGGATAATGTATATTACCATACTAAAATGTTGCTATTTCAAAAGTGTTAAGAATATCAGAAAAACTGTTTAGGTGTTAATTTTATAAAGTATGAATTTGCGCTACCTTAAATTATTATTCTGTATAATATAATATGATAAATATTATAAAATATGAGTATTACTTGAATGCCATTGCCGTTAATGTCTTTTACTAGTTCCGCCGCAGCTTTCCCGGTGTACCATAGATTAATTAAGAAAATATAAAACAAAGTCATTCCAAAAATTGGTTTGGGATAAATTATTTTCATTGTCAAGTGCGTTGTTATTTTACATAAGAAACTGTGTAAAAGTAAAAAGAATACTATTTCAAATTAAACTTGAACACAGTCAATGTTGACAGCGTATTCTTTGTTATTTACAAATGTTTTCTTTCTGTTACAAACATAAAACAAATATGGATAGAAGAAAAACATGGTTCAAAACACATTTGTATTGCCCTAGATTGTATTTTATTGAAAAACAATTTTGTTTATTTTATCTTTGATGAATAGTTGAAAATGTACTGTTTTTACAATGATGTGTTTTTATTATTATTTCTGGGCCCACGAAATCATGGAACTCTATAGATCAGATATCGTACCTGAAAGGTACAAAAATCCGGTCAAGAATTTAAAAAGTTTACCCCTTCCCCTTTGAAATCGAAAAAAACACCCAAAAAATATACATATTTTTCAAAGCGTTTTTTTGAAAGTGATTTTATCACTTTCTGTTGTAATGATTCCTGTAGATTTGTGACTTACCCCTAATGTGCTTCATCCCCACTAAATGGTCTGCTGTACTTGCTTTTCAACAATAGTTTATGTGGTTCGAACATAGTCGAACTGTTTAACTCATTTAAATTATAGCCTATGATATTCTAAAATTTTAAAATATTTGTTTGTGTCATAAACTGTTTGATACTTGAATAACATTTTCGCAATATTTAAAGAAAAAAAATCCGAGTATCAACACTACAAGCTGATACATAAAAATATGGATAAGTAAAATCTCTTAAACTCTCCGTATTTTCTTATGTAAGTGATTTTTATCACGGTTAATAATTATGAACATAGGTCAACCTAGCCGTGGATCTCAAAAATGAATTCTCTTCATTTAGTTAAAAAAAAAAATTATTAATAATCACCTAATAAGATATTATTTGGAGAAACTTCTTACATTTTACTCGATAAACCACCAGAACAATGAATGCCAAACTTTTGTTTTATTAATAACTATTATTAACTTGTTCTTCAAAAGGGTTTAACAAAACATTTAATTACCTATTTTTCAGGTGATTAATAATAATGCTGGAGTTGCTTTTTGTTCTACGGATTTTTGAAACAATACTTTCTTCTTACGGCGAAATTCAATTATATTATTAGAAGTAGTTTGATTTTGTTAATTTGATTGTTTCGAAATGGTTTTCGGAATAGTATAGCTGTTATTTAAAATTAGGAGATTTGATGATTTATATAAAAATAAATTAAATATATAATTTCAGTTTATTGTTATTTCAATATCCAAGAGTTATAATAATGTTATAGTAATACAATAATAATAATAATAATAATATATAGTTATAAAAACTACAGTGGAAAGGTTTTTTTTTGCACATTATCCACGAAGAACTTCAAAATAAAATGTTTCGTACAGTTTAGACTTGCCGGCGAGGAAGTATTTAACGAAATTAAAGTCCACCGGTGCCATAATGTTTTTTACGATACCCGCGTAATCTCGAAGATTGGCGATGTGTTCAAAGTACGTCAACTCGGATGTATTTGATTCCATTTTCATCTTGGCCAGCAACGGCGAATCGAACAGCGTTTGTGCATGATGTGAGGACACACCGAGTTCCCGTAGATCTTCCAAGACGATGTTCTTCACTTCCTCGATCATCGCCGCCGCTTGGCTGGCAAAACTTCTGATGAAATCGATATCTTTATTGATGATGATTTCTAGGTTTACAATGAAATTTTCGAACACCGGATCTTCGAGGCCCAGATCCCGGACGGCCGTCGACAGTGGCGCGGTTAGCTGCTTGTGGAAGACATTTAGCTTGCGAGTGGTCGACGCATCGATGGCGATTTTGGGCAAAGATTGGTCCAGCATGTCTTGCAACATGGCACAGTGTATCCACGCCAGGTACAGTAGGTTGGCCTGGACCGCGCGCATTGCCAACCGATGGTATCCCGTGAAGTCGAACGGTCGCAGAACGAACGCGTGTAGACCGTCGGGCTTGTTGACGTTGAACAGCAACTTGGTGTTCTCCCAGTTTATTTGTATCCCGGATTTTTCCAACAGGTCGTCTTCGTCGGGATAAGTGTGCGACAGCGACAGGAACTTAATGTCGAACTGGTCGGCAAAATCATACACGCTGCTCAGGAACGGATCGTCGGGCTGGTTGACTTCATAAAGTTTCCGGCCGAGTACGATTACTTGTTTGTCTTCGTCCGCTTGATTGGCCGGCGTCAGACCGTAATTCGCTGGTAGATAGTTGTTTTGTCGGCACAGGTCCAGATGCTGCGCCAATTCTGACATCAACATTTCTTTGCCTTTTGAGTCTTTGGCCACTTTTTCGTAAACCGCCGGGTTCTCGGCCACCGACACTCTGAGGAACAAGTGCCACAGGTAATTGTGCGTCTGGACTTTGAAGAAATACATAAGCGACAACATGCGCCACACTATCCGTTTGTACTGGTTCACACTGCCCCTGGACACGCTCTTTAAAGTGACCTGCCGTTTTATGCGATGGTCGCCGTCGTAGACTTTCGGCACTATAATCGTCATCAAGACCGCGTTCATGCATTGAATGCACTCTACTTTTGAATTGTATTTTACTATGGCCGCCGTCTTTTCCATGGCACATTGTTTGTCGCCTTCGCAAGGTGTTGTCAGTCTTTCGATGTCACCAGAGTCAATTTGATACGCGTCCTGTGCCAAGGTTTCTATATCGTACAACGCACCCACCGCGTCCGCATCGTACACTACCTCGTCTTGATACTTGTAAATCCAATGAATTCCCTGTGAAAAAAAACATAATAATAACAATAACCCATTTATCAAAAAAGCCACGCATGCAGTACAAGTGACAGCCTACACGTTTTTGTTATTGCGCCAATAATAATATGTATAACATTATAATAAAATTTAAGATAATATGACATTCAAAAATATCATAGTGCAATACTGAAAATGTGACGGCCGTAAAACTATAACCGAACAATATCCATTGAGTATAATATAGGTACTTAATACTTATTGCAATGGCTTATTTAGGAATTTGTTTAGGGGGTGATGAAATAAAGAATTATACAAAGGCCCGTGGTGGGCTTCACCCCCAAACTACCCTCCTCCCCCAAATAGTTAGCCCCAAACAATAAAACAACAAGGACAATAAACATTGCACATTTTATTTTTATATATACATTTTTTATTTTCCACCTCAAACTTATGACTCTACTACCATCTATATAATGAACGTTAAAATATATACAATTGTAATATAGTAGGGGTATTTTAACATTATTTTCTTATATACTGTCATAGTTGTGTGTATGATATCTATAACACATTCCAGTTTTCTATTTTTGAGACTTATCTCATAACTTCATCTGGATAATTTTTATTGATCGGTAACACGCCATTAAGCCCAACCCATTTAGTCTGTCCTAATAATAAAAGTGTATGTATACTAATTACTAATTTATAATAATTAAACTTCATTAATAAATAGGAAAATGATAAAATATTTACTTCTGTCATATTCCAGCATGAAAAAAAAATGGAAGCAGAATACACTTATAGGTAATAATTGGAGTCGGATGGGGCCAACGTTTAGTGGGAAAAGCCAGCCTATTATTCAGCGATACGATTACTCATTACCGCGTTTAGAATAGTTAGAAAACAGATATATATATATACATATAAGCAATATTATATTGAAAAATACGAAAAAACTTAACTACCAAAAAAAAGCCCCATGGGGGGGATGGGTTCTATCCTCCTCCATGCGGAGCTAGCAGTGGTGACAACAGCAAATTTTCAAACTTTAAATGTTTTACATTGAATTATCGAAATTAGTAATAATCGAATGATGTGCTATACTATTACTTGAATGATGTTGTGTCCACCTGTTATTGCTTCCACTATTGGCGTGCATGTGATTTGAAACAAGCATACCAGGATAATTCCAGCAATTCGTTTGGGGTTTAATGGTTTCATGATCAAATTCATTTTTCACACCACAGCAATTGAATGTAATATGGAGGAAAATATTACAATCAGACAATAATGGTTTTTTTTTCACGTATCGTTAACGGAAATATTATACTGTTTACCAACAGATGTCTTTGTGACGCACTTGAAAAAATAAACATAACGCCTTTTAGTAGTAACGTCGAAAAAGCTGAACTCAATAAAATATATTATAATATTATTATTAAAAAAAAATATTATTTGTTTACTATACGGCACCCGTATTATCCAACTGTACAACAATTACGGACAGTTGTGTTGTATCGAACAATAAATGTGCAGTAGTCAATTTTGTTTTTTACTTTTTGCAGAATGATCTGTTTTGTAGCTCGAAATGTTTAGCATGCGTTGTGTTGTTGCCCTAAAAAAAAATCTCTGCAGGAAATATCTTTAGCTTTAACTTTTAACTTTTACACGGCCTATGTACAATATTATTATTCGTTTAACAGAACACACAATTAATACCTTACATTTTATCTTATTTTCCGGTGGAAACTGTTTTTTCTTATCTGTGTACAATTGTAATATTGTAAAATATATTTTTTTAAGGTATATGTAATTCACCACTATGAGTACACTACACAATATGTTGCTACGACCTGCATAAGACATAATAAATGCGCCCTGTATCATGTAGTAAAAGCTGTATTAGACGCAAAATCAATTAAGAAGTATACTGTCGTCGAGCGGGTACTTTTTAAAAGGCAATCATCTTAAAGGGGATAACGATATTACATGACATTACATTAAGACGTGTATTCATGCTTCCGAGTTCTGAAGGCGATATATTAATTAAATTACCACCCGGCTAAATATTTCCAAAGGGTTTGTGCTTGCACGGAATTAATTATTATAATGATGTACTATGTGAATGTGTACACGTATTGCTCAACACAAAAAGGGGTTTACCTTTTGAAGTGAAATATACTTTAACGCGTAAAAGTTGCATTCTACAACTATACGACTCTTGCGTTTTATTTTCAATGTTGTCATTCAAATCAAAATTTATCAACTAATAAAAATATTATTTAGTCGCTATTCATATTCGAAATTGGTTATTTTTTAACTCGCAGTATTTTTCATACAGAAAATTCTGCGAATAACTGTAAGTCTGTACAGAAAAATATAATACATAAGCTGAAATATCATTCAATAGTAAAAAAAAAAAAAAATAACCAAATAAACACCAGAAATATAAGGACTTATTATTTATCTAGTAACCCCTATAGGGAGCCGTCGGGTTGCCTTGCGGGTAGTTTATTATTATTATTGTACCTTTTTTGTATAGTTTTTCTTTTCATTTCATGTACAGCAAGTTTACATTGACGGTACACATAATAATATACACAGTTCACACAATAAACCGTGGAACGAGAAAATATTTTTCCTAACAAAACTAATCAAAATATGTTTTTGTTCCTTCAGCTGCGCGTTTTTCTATAAATTCCACGTTGAACGAAATTTCGTGTAATATTCAGATGTAAATTGTTATATACATTTTTACCATACCAATTTATTTTATTTTTTTAAATTGGCTTCCCTAAATGGAAGAGTCTTTCTTCCCAACTCGTTTCGCCAGATGGCACAGTACATTTATCTATCCAGACTTTTCTCTGTCATCCGTGTTCCTGGAGCTCAATCTTCTCAGAAAAGTTATTTTTTTTTCTTTCTTTCTGTCGCCTAAGTCACGGGCATAGGATCCACCTGTCACATGAATTTGGTAAATGTCTCTATATCCATTCTCTTTTATGTACGCTCCAAAGCGTGAAGAAATTATATTGAATCAGCCGTGCGTTATTTCCAAGTGCTTGTTTTTTATCGATGACGTCAAGCCACTTTTTCGAAACTATATGTTTTCTCGTTGCTTTATCTGAACTATTCACACTCGCGCCAGTACATCTATGTAATAACACTATAATCTTATTACTGTTGACTTTTTTCAAATAATTGAATTCGGTTTTGTACTATATTATTAATTTAGAATAGTGTTTTTTCTACCATAAACATTGGGTTTTATTAGATTTCTATCACCTATAGACTGCTCACCCTTTTACTCAAACAGAAAAAAAATACAATAACATTAAGAAGTAAAAACATTCATTGTTTTTATTGCACTTCGATCAACAACCTAAGAGCTTATGCGATATAATTTATGTTGTTTCGGTAAAACATATTATCTAAATATATGGCAACTCGGTTTACATAATCGTAGCGTCTCTGATAATACTTAAAAAATAGAAACCAAAGTAACTTCGTGGAAAATATTATAATTTTTAATAAAACCCAATCCACAAAAACAATGCACTTAAAGCGTATCATCGTCTCATAATATTGTCCCGTAATAAATCTGGCCTTTCTCGTGTTTGGGTATTTTTTTTTGCACGAGTCATCGGGTAAGTACGTGCGAGGGCTTCGGCGGTTAGGGTGTGCGGCGAGCACTATAAAAGCAAAACTGTGTCGCGTTAATAATATAATATATTATATTATGTGGGCCTCCAGGATGAATGACACAGGCTTCGTGTAAAGATATTATGTAAAACCGTCAAATCCAGCACACACACACACACACACACACCACACACACACACACACACACACATCCAACCGTATACCTAGTGTAGTATATAGGTTACACCACGTGGATAAGAGCTATACTATACATGCGATGGTGCGGGTCAGTTTTCAAAGGCGCGAATTCGTTAGAGCTAAGCACAAATATTGACTTCACACCACCACCTAATGAGATAGCAGTGCTTTGTGAAAGTTTTGTTAACCGAACGCCGTTGGAAATTAGAAAGTACCAGGCATGCCAGGTTTTCGAGCTTAAAAGGAAACGTCTACCGCGGGGCAAAATGGTTTTTAATGAGATCTCGGGCTGAGAGGATTTTACGGTTTTCCCGGAAAAACGCTTTGAACGAACAGCGTGGTTTTGGCGCGTGTAACATAATTAATTTCCCGAACTTATTAGATTTTTGGAAAAAATGTTACCGAAAAAATATCAAGCCACCGACTGACGTCATTCGGCTGATTGTATTTTCACGGTAAAATCGGATTTCAACTAAACCTAACCCGTATGAAATGACACACGCGGACAACCGCAAAAAGCTGTTTGAAAATTAATTATTAACCTAGAAAATAATATGATATTTCATTACGGCCAGAAAATCTATATAGGGCAGGGCCGTTACTGGACTCAACGTCAAAGCACGGGACAGGTGTCCAAGTGAAAACGTTGTCTTGATTTCATTACTTTATCGTGGATGAATATTTTTGAAGGAAGTCCGTAAAAAATTTAGAAAATATAAATTAAATATTCGATAATAACGGCTTACATCAGCGAATACTTCATCAACTAGGTGGCCAGTCATTTATAAGAAAATATATTTTCCAAAAGCAGCAACAGCTAAAAAAAACAAAATTTCAATATTCAAAAAGCAAAATTCAAGTCCTTCACGGTAGTAATGTTAGTAATATGATATCCATCTAATTTTATTTTTGGTGAATGGTTTCTTGAACTTAAACATTGAAGTTATAACAAAGTGTTCGTCTATCAATCTTTTGGCAAAAAACAAAATCTTAAACAATTATATTCTATATATTATTTTATCCTTGAAAAATAGATTCTTATTAACTCACTTGAATTTCACATAAAAAAAAAATGTATTATAAAATCCAAAATATACTCGAACAATAAGCCTTATAAATTTATTACACATTTACAAAACTTAATTGATGGAAATTAAAAAAATGTAGTTGTTCAACGTAGAAAAAGGGTAATAGTTAAACATAACTTGGTTTGATTTTTAAGATTAGACTTGAATGTTAACATATTAACTATAATTTATTAATATTTATCGCAAATTTTTTTATTTTCCATACGTACGTTTTATCTTAAATTTTTAAACTAAACGTATAATATATACATACAAGGTGACCATTCTATCGTGAACCACTCAATATCATTTTTTTTTCATGTTGTTTTTATACAATGTGATCATAATTGTTCACGATATTTTCTTTTTACCCCCTCCCGACATAGTTTTTTTCAAAAATACTTATCCAAAACTGGTTATTGACCAGTCAAAATTTTAAGTATATTATTCTCAATTTAATAAGCTAATGAATTGTATGCGTTACCCTTTAAGTTTCAAAAGTTGCTATCAAAAGAACTATGATGGGAGGAAGGTAAAAACGAAAAATGTTTTAAAAACTAAGAACACTAATTATATATATATATATATATATATATATATATATATATTTCTTTAATTATATTAATAATAATTACTTCATATAGAAATTTGGAACTGAGCTTATACATTTTTTAACTGTCCTATTAAGTTTTTTTTCGAAATCCGATTTTTCATAAAATTTTCTGTAAATATTGAAAATTGTTTATTTTACAGCCTCTTGTTAACTCTTAATAAATATAACTATCGTATGTGTACTATAGACTATAACTACGCTAGTTTAATTTTCTGATTCCCAGTCCAAACTATGCCAAGTCAAAAAGTGAATTAAGAAAAAACATTCTACCCCTTTTCGGTAAAATTTACAATTAGGTATGTTTTTTGGTGTTTGACTGTACTAAAGTACATAGGATATCATTTTTAAGTATTTTTTATACTATATTTAAATTTTTGGGGACACATTTAAAGTATTTTTTAACTTTAATGGCAGGGCGATCAAAATGTTACTATACATTAATTTTTCCTATTAAATAATTATTTTAGCAAAAAAAAAATGTTTTATTGTATATGATGGTAGATCATGCCTGCCACTATAAAATAATTGTGTAGCAGGTGTATAAAACTTTGTTTGTGGGTTTTGAGTGTGCGTCAGTAATATGACGTCGACAGACAGAATATAAACAACTCTTTATATTTTATTTGCTTTTTTTTAGTGTACACAAAAGAAAAATATAATATTGTATAATATATTGCCATAAAATAGTGTTATCGTATAAAAGACATTCAAGCAGATACATAACGATTTACTTAGACTGTATTATACAATATGCATATGTACAATATTGTTGAGAATGGCTTTGGGGTGATGCCGTATTTAATTTGATGCACATTGTAAAAATGTTGAGATCTTACAACTGTAATGATAATAAAAAAAAACATACAACAAATAAGAACCCGAGTAGGTACGGCTACACTGCTTGTTCGGTGTTGTAAAAGTAAAATAGAATATCTTAGCTAAAATAATATGATTTTTTTAAGAAAATCTGAACGCGGAACATACGAATAATATCTGTCATTATTAACTGAATAATAATTGTAGGTTTGAATTTTATAACTAAAATTTAACATTAATACCTATCTAAGAAAATAAAAACACTTGAAAAATAATGGTTAAGAAATAATAATAATACTAATGATGATTTAAGACACTTATAAAATATAAAGAAATTCAATATGTATAACAGTTGTCAATAATAAAATCCGCAGGTTAAGTTAGTTCTAATCATCACATCATAACTATATTTCAATCGCATAGGTATAAATAAAAGGCTATTATTTAAGAAATATGAGCGAGGGGTTGGAATATGGACTATCTTTCTTGAGATCCGGTAAAAATACAAGATGCCAAAATATCAATACGCTCAATGAAACAAATGGGGCATCAATCTTGCTTCGAGTAGGTAAGCTTTTAGAAAACCTGGAGGTCAGAGTTTTGTCTTTTGTTAAATTTTAACAATGGTTCTTCACGCGTCTCTTTAAGCGTCTTCGAAAAATAGTGTTTTTGTAATAAATTTTCAAATAATAATTAAAGCTATTAATTGAATTTAATTGTAATTTTTTTTTTTTAAATCATGGTTCAGATGTTAAAGTACACATCTGATAAAAGCCACATCAAATTGTCTGAATTGAATATACTTAAAAATGTTTCTGAATACAGCACTAACATGAACTTTAAATAGCAATAACTTATGAACCATATAGTATTAAAAAGTGTTGAAAAGTTAAGTTTTTTACTGTTTTATATTAGACCCGCCCTCCTCCTTGAATCCAAAACAGTTGAAATTATTTATTTTTCTAAAATTGGGTATCATGTATGGACACTCTCCGTTTATTATAACATTTTATGAATATCAGTTTTTATAGAATAGTTATGTAAGCCCGTTTACATTAGGCCGCGAATGCGAACGAATGCGAACGAACGCGAATTCGGCACATCAAAATGCAAGCGTAAACGGTGAGCCGAATACGAACGAACGGCCGTTCGTGCCATTCGTTCGCCTTCGCGGCGGTTCGGTCCGGTGGCGGTAAGATCAAAGGAAATAATTTTCTATATAATATTCTGTATGATATTCAGGTTGGCGAACGCCGGAGAATGAACACGAACAAATAGTCTGCACGGCGCGGCCGAATCTCTACCGGATTCGCGTACGAATTCGTTCGGTAGCATTCATTCGCATTCGTTCGCGTTCGCGGCCTAATGTAAACGGGCCTTATAGTTATGTTGTAGGTGATCTATTTTTGATAAGAAACAAATGATCCAATATCCATTATCCAAATAATTCGTTTTGTTGACCTTATTTTATAAACAAACAATATGTAATTTAGTTATTACAAAAGTATGTATGCTGAAATGTATTATTGAAACATGTTACCAAATGGCGACACTTTACATAGGATCAAATAATTCATGTGAAATAAATAATTTTAACCGTTTAGACTGTTACATTATTTTAAATGTGTTCTTTTTTACACATTTTTATAACAGCTAATAGCCGTGGTAATATAGTTATGGTTATTTTTTGCTAAATACTTATTACACGCAAATCCCAATTAATGTTGTAAAAAATAAGCTTTAAAAGTATTCAAATAGAAATATAATATAAGCATACGCACGTTGAATTGCATGTAAAATACCTTTTGAGAAGAAAACCCATTTTAATGCAAATATAGAAACAATTTGAAATTGTTCGAATTCAAATGCTTTTTGTAAAGTATTTGCAAAGAACAAATAGACATAACAATATTATAATTGTTATTGAGTTTTTTTTAATTTGTTATTTAACATACGAGAGGAATAATCTTCTTCGGCAGCTCAACGGTCCATTATAAACGTACAACTGTCACTTGCCATTTTTCTCTATCCAACGCACAGTAGATTGTTGCATTTTCATCAACAAGTCTTATATTGTTCAATCAAAATAATTGAATAAAAATCCCCCTTTTGTAAAAGTTTCTTTCCTGCGACAAGATTAATCTGATGAAAATGACGGTGGGAAAATTATAGTTGTCTAAAAAGTGTTTATGTAGTTACAAAATGTACTTTTATACTACAATATGTGTTGTGTTAGTACCGGTTATAATGTAAAGGCACGCTTATGCGAAATTTTAAATATAAATTCTAACTTAAATAATGTTTGTCTCAAAATTATTTTATAATATTATGTAGTTAGTATTCAGTGAATATTAATTGTATGATTTCTTTGTGCTTGGTCAAAACGAATTAAGTCAGATTTTTCAAAATAAGAAATAGGTTTTTACTAAGCTTCGGCAACTATGGCCATGAGTATTTTTCAGCCATACAGTTTTCTATGAAATCTGAAATACCAGTTTGGAGTTTCTCGGATAAAAAGTTTTTTATCACCGTATTGACTGAAGGCAATGATTTCCAAAAAATATATCCAAAGCCATTTGCCGGTCTCTAAATTCGACGACAATAATATTTAGTAGTATAATTACGGCTTTCTCTACAAGTGGTTTTACAGTTTCCTTGTTGTGAATGAAAGGCTCTCCGCTATTAAACTTTTTAATTTAGTTTTTTACAAGATAAAATATAATTACACCATAATATACCTTTACATATATTTTACCATATGCGTTGGTTGCTGTTACAGCGCTCGACGACAGTCAATATGTACATAGTACACACTGCATTGTTATTACAACACAATATATCAGGTAGGCATTTTCGGGTGAAGTCAAATATACATAATAGTACTCGCGTTGTTATTAATTTTTTTTTTTTTTTTGAGTTTATATACTCAAACGGAACAGTATTACGTTATTTTTATTTATATATCATAGATAGAAGCTAATGATGACGTTCCACCACCTTCCCCTCTCGTAGGGGCGGGATTCGCGCACGGTATAGTGGCTTACGACTACGGCTTTGTAGGTAGCTGCAACACGTCTATGTATATATAAAATATACACTCGATATATCGTAAACCCTCCCCGACTCCAAATTGGCAAGGGGGGTGCTGCTGCCGCTGCCTCCGGGCTGGTTCGGTCCCACGTGCCACTACCATCCCTCCGTCCGTCCGTCCGTCTGCTCCTGGGCCGCGGATTGAAATCGTTTACAAGTGTCGTAGAGGCGGTTCGCACAGGCGCCGTTGGCCGTCCGCACGCGGCAGAGACGACGGCGGCGGTCGCTACCGGATCGCCACTGCCCCGACAGACGCGTACACAGTAGCACAGCGTGCACTTTTTGGGGATTTTTCGAAATTACCGAACATTTTTCGGAGAGTCAATTTTTTTTTTTTTTAATTTTTCTAGTATTTTTTTTTTCCTTTCGCCGCCGCCTAACCAAAAGGCCGCAATTCGACAGAATCAAAAAAAAAAAAAAACAATAATATAAAAAGAGACGAGAGACAAATTTTGTTCTCTTCAAATACTTGGCCGTTCCAAAACCATTTGCCGTAGGCCATGGACAGCGACGACGAGGTATTAGAACGCACCAACCGCCGCACCGTGCCACCGAGACGCCGGCTGCTGCCCGTCCCCCCGACAACGGTGGCGGTCGCGCCGTTATTCGCCGTCAGCGCCGTAGTCAATTTCATCTACCAGTGCTACAACTGCTCGCGCGGTAGTTTAGTGAGCGGTGTACGGCTGACATCGGACGTCGTGTTGCCCAAGGTGTGCGCTACTTGCGGCGTGGTGTTTACGTTACAGTTCTTGTACCGCACCAACAGAGTGTACAACGAGCTGTCCACGTTGACGGATGACCGACGCGGCTCGGCGGCCACTGGCGGTGGTGGCGGTCGGCCAATGTCGAGACCGGACACGCCGTTAGAAGATAGGTTTGACGACTTACGCCTGTGAGTATATACATATAGTTTTTTTTTTGTATTCAACAAAGTAGTATATAGTTTTTTATCCCAAAAACGCGCGCACCACCCCCTCGTGCTCGACGTTTACCACAAAAAAATCGCGTGTTTCCACGTTAATATTTCTACGTTAGACCACGGTAAAACACTTTACACACGGTTTAGGCGTTTTCTTCACTCCATTCGGCATACCATCACATGTATTGATTTTTGTTGTTCAACGGCTAAACTGTACGTCTAGTAGCTAGCGGGTACCATTAGACACGATAATAATAATTAGTAGATCCCGGCGGAACAGGGGCGCAAAAGTCCGGATTAGGCATACCCAACGGGAACGGGGTCCCAAATACCGGTTAATGTAACGGAAAATTGAAAATAAATTATGCCACAGTAGCGCTATCTCTCCGGAGACTTCGGTTAGGTAGATTAAGTTAGGCGTGTAAACTAGACAGCGGGACAGAGCCATCTAGCGACCTCTTTGGGAAATACCGTTTCCGCTATGTGGCGTCACTGTGGCTTAATTCCAGGCTGTTACATTAGCTGGCCGTATCTTAACATCGCTCCCCTTTCCTCCCTCCCACCACTCCAGTTGATTCCATTCCATTTAATCTTAGTTATTAGGCATAGGTCAATTTTTGTTTATTTTTAGTTTGAATTTACATTTTGTGCTAAAATTACGCCGTTTCGATTGGCACTGACAGCTTCCATAATATTATAAAAATATGCGTTTGGTTATAAGTAAATACTGGCATCAATTTTTGTACAATAGGTGCAAGTTGGTAAAATTCAAACAAGAATAAAATAAAAACAAAATTATTTAGTTTCAAATATCTATAAGCTTATTTTTAAAACAGTTTTAATTGTATTGGTTAATTCAAATTCACTGAAATACCTATAACCACTTTATTAGTGATTTAACCATCAACTACAATCAAACGAAAATAATTTTAACAAACTGGTTATGCTGTTCAATATGGTTATCATGTTATCATTTTCATTTTGTCAACGTTCATTCTTATTAATATAGCTATAAATAATCGAATGAACTTAGATTATCAACATGGTGCTTGTGATTTATATTTATACAACAAAAATGATTCAAATCAGATGTACGTGCGTAATTAATTTCTTCAAGCTAAGTATGTGATATGTTTAAATGCTTGAAGCCAAGTAATGATTTAGCCTAAAGAAAATTATACTCAAAAGCTATTTTTCCGGGAGTGTAACTGTATTCTACATAATATTATGTGAATAATAGACGGTTTATGAATTGCACTAATAAACTTACCTACTTGGCCATATCGATAATCAATATTATCCAGTGTTGGAAAAAACCAAATCCAAAAATACCTAATAATTAGACATTTCTAAAAAAAACCGTGTTTTGAATGGCCTTGAAATCATCAGCTGGATGCAACAGGGCCTGGATCGTATTACTCCAAAAAATAATCTCTAATAACCAGATCAGATTCGATTCTTGAACAGAGATTGAGTAACACCTATGCTTCTATTTACTTTTATCTGATATTATATTGTGCAAAGAAGAGCTGGACTGCTAAATAACACACTACGGATTAAAGATAGAAACAATATAACTGTTGGTTATTATTGCAAAAATCAGAATACTACGTATGGTATTACAAGTTGATAACATTTCAAATAAAATAGACACAAAATTCACGAAATGTTGATATTTGTAATCCAAGAAAATAAAAGCGTCACAACATGAAGAGTATGCTGCCTTGAAAATGTTTGAGATTAATAGTGACGAGACTACAGGTACCAGTCGAAAAATGTTTAACGATTTTTCGCCAAGAATTCATCGATTTAAAATGATAAAAATCACTTATCACTCAAAGGGATTTGGCGTAACGAAGATTATCTATTTTGAATAAAAGTAAGTTTTTGCATAGATGGTTTTTAAACAGTATATTGCCTGCATTATTTGATCGTAAAATGTGTAAATAATCTTTATTTTAAAACTAGAAATAGAATAAAAAATATTAGTGTACATAGTTATCAAACATTATTAAAATGTATACAATTATAAAATTAGTAAAATTAGTAATGTATTTGTAACATACAGAAAAATATGTAGAGGATAAGGAGTAATTAGGAGGCTAGATCCAAAACCTTTATACTATGTGCTCTGCCGTTATTCTTAAACATTATATCACGCTATATATTCGGGTGTGGTTCAAGTAACCGAATATTTAACTCGCCGACAGTCGGATGACTGACCCTTAAATAAACAAATTATATAATTGTCATAAGAAGCTGATTAAGAAAAGGCCGAAGTTTGTTATGATGTATTGTGAATATTTAATAAACATATATAGTCATATTAATAGTGCAAGTTACATGCAAGTCTTTTGTCTTATTTGTAAAAATAAGATAATTTTCCGTTTTTTTTTTTTACTTTTTTATGCATTTTTACTTTTATTATGTTTTTCTGAGCGTTTTCATGGAAAACCATATTTGAAATTAAAACATTTTATGTAAAATATTACCGAAAAAATTACACAAAAAAAACTTTTTAGATTACAAACTCAATTTTAAAGATTTTCTATCTTTCGAATAAATAAATCAGTATTTTTTTCAGAAAGCTGAGATTATTTTACAAATGAAACTGATTTTTAGTAATTTTTTTTTTTGTTGGGCAAACATATCATAAACAAACGATAAAAAAAAGGTGTTACAGTAATAACATGATTTAAATAATAAATATAAAATGATGAAAAACAGAAAAAAAGTAAGTGCATAAAACTAAATGAAGTTAATATAATCTTAAATTAAATTAAAAGGCAAATAATTGCAAAAATGACAAGAACGGTACGGGTGTTTAATAAATTAATGTTAAATGGAAGCTGAATGTTAAGAGATGAGAGGAAATTAAATAGAGAGAGGTTTTTGTTGGTCAAGGCCGGACAGATGGTAAGGAGGTGAGAGAAGTCGCAAATAGCTTCATCATCATGAAGAGGACAATATGGAGCAGAATTAAGGGATAGATGGAATGCATGTGACGGTAGAAGATTATGGTCAAGTCTTAAACGTGAAAAGGAGGATATTACATTTCTGGGAATATTTAAATTATGGAACCAAGGACGAAAAGTAATGGTAGGGGAAATAGAACGGAACCAGTGGGTGGAACTGAGGTTAACGTTGGACCATTTGTCTTGCCACGCTTTGGCTAGGAACAATTCTTATAACAATAAATTAATAAAAAATATTATTATTCAACACTTAAGTTTAATACTTTATTATATTGTTTTATTTACTGTTTTATTAAATAAGCAATAATTTACTAATAACTGTTTTTAAAGTATATTTTTTCTTTTTATAATGACTATTTTGAAAAATGGTAACTTTTTAATTTGTCTCAAACACGTCTATTATAGTTTATCTTGTTCAGGTTATAATTTCTGGTATTTCTTATTTTTTCGAGTTTTTCAGTGGTAGTGTGTATCGGGTTAACTCGGATTCAAAGCTCTAATTTGCATTATATAATATCTTTTGAAATTATATTAGAGTTAGATTAGACATGTAGTCATCTATACTAAAATTATATTATATTATTCTAGTATTACATTATTAGACAATTTTAGGGTCTGGATTTTTACATTAAAAAAAGACAAATTAATGCTTATATACACTAAAATACCTTGAAATATTTCTATTATGATCACTTAAAAATTAGGAAAATATGTAATAATACCTATTTTATTTGTGCTAAAATAATCAAACTGTAAAATATGTTTTTTTGACATATCTTACTCTTATCAAACTGTAAAAAATATACTCAATAATGTATAATGATAAATTATTTTTAAAAACCGGACCCTACACATAACAATACATTATATTACACTTTATTCAATTATATTACAATATATTCAATTATATTCAATTATATTATATTATATTAAAATTATATTATATTACACTACATCATATTATCGTATTATACTAAAATATATTTATCAAAAATAATTAGCGTTCGAGTTATTTTTCTTATACCTATCCTTGTCCTTCGTAAAAGAATAAAACGTTTACTTATCGGCTATATAAGATGCATAAAATGCATACAATAATGTATCAATAAAATACATACATTATCTATATATACTAATCATTTTAATTACAGTGTGGAGTTGTTATATAATTAGGATTTATCGGTTTTTTAGTAGCAATTAATTATTTATAGAAAATGTATGGTTTCGTTTATGTGGATACTTAATAAGTTAAAGTTTTATTGAAGTAATAAGTCTATTTTATAGTTATACATAGTAAATCATTTCTAAGAGCTTTACACCAAATATAACACAATAATAGGCATTATACATACATTTTATCAACTCCTGAAAAACAGAATACAAAAATTCACTGTCATTTTTTTAAGAGTAAGAGCTTATGTGTTAAATGAAAAGTACAATCAAGACATGTGGTATTACCAGTCCAAGAGAAATCTGCATTGGAAGACCTGAAATAAATTAACAGAGTAATTGGAGTAACTACAATGGGACTACTCCACTGACATAGACAAGTCGTAGAATCAATGCGATTTTAATAATAATTAAACACATTTTTGCCTACCTACTTAAATTAAAAAAACGGATCAATTTTCCATCAAGTACTCGTATTATATTATTGGTTCAAAACTATTATTATAACTTTTGCAATTTCACTGACTTGACAGCTGTTAAGGGGATTGCATACGGTCTATTTTTAAGGAGTTTTATATAGGCAATATTTAAGAAAAGAGAGGTTTTAATTATTCCCCGTCCATGTCAATTAATTTACCAGTTAATTTTATAAAAGCTTCCAAATAATATTTCGAATTTAAATATTTTTTCTATAAATTAAAACAATTATGGTTTGTTTTAGACCAAAAAGCTAGGCAAAATTTCGACTACACACGATGGTCCAATTTCAATTATTCTGTTAGGTGATTCGAGTTCTTTGGCTACTTTACTATGTTATGTAGAAAGCCG